TCCATCGTGATTTTTAAAAATAGACCAACATACAATATTATATTACTCTGAAGTGAAAGACAATAAAAGAAAAAGAAAATCTGTTGGAATCACATGTTTTCAAAAGCCTCCCTATAAACAAACTGGCTAATAAGCTAGGAGAGAAGCTATGAAAAAACAACAACATTAAAATATTCCTGTTTGCAGGTCCAGTCATGAACAACAAAGCATGTAGAACATGTAAAAGAATGTGCTCTCTTTAAGTTGCACTAACATCCTTGTTTTGGGCAACATTCCAGGTGTTTTGGAAAAACTAATTTGCACACTACCCTGAATGCATCATTCCCCCCAATAAACATGACGATGGCAGCATGATGCTGCAGGGATGCTTTTCTTGGGCAGCTGTAGGAAAATGAGGGAAAGTTGATTGGTATATGGAAAGAGCTAAATAAATTGCATTCCTGGTGAAAACCAGTGATAAAGAGGAGAGGAGGTTATGTTTCCAGCAGGGAAACAACCCCAAACTACTTAAGATAATAGCATTTCCCTGCATTAGAATGGCCTAATCAAAGTCAGGAAAATAAAAAATAAATAAAAAACATGCACTAACTACTGATTGTTCTCAAAAAATGTTGGTCGCCAAATGATTTTTGTAGAAAGAATATTAAAAAGCCATTTCCCCTATAAATATGCATAACTACTTTATCTCTAATTAACAACCCCAAAAAAGTAAGTGAATACTTAATCACTCACATGGGTGTAAAATAACACCACTCAGTTAAAACAGGCATCCCTCACCTAAAACAGCCGCGATGGTAAACCTTTCCATCAATTAGATATCTCTGTATGAGGTGAACAGGCTTCAGACATAAAGTACACACTGCCCATGCGCTTGCATTAGCACAGCCTTCTCTGCTGGTTTCCAGTTCAGTCAGGCTCTGAAAGCAGAAAAGAAACCAGTCATACGGCGAAGACAGCAGCTGAAGCTGCGACATGGGAGAAGCAGAAGCTACGAGACTCCACCTTCTGGCTTCTCAGAGTTTTATATCCCTTTGAGATGTTTAAAACGTGTGATGAACGGGATCTGGAGGGACCTGCTGAGAAGGTGACAGAGAACAGTTTGGGAAATGAAACCTGAGGGATGTTTGGAGATTCCAGTCACATGAACAGTCAATAATAAAAAATAGAAATAAAAACAAAAAGGAGGCACATAAAGCGAACTCAAAGCCACTTTGTTGAATATTGACTTATAAACAACAGTTTTTGACCAACACATGTTTTCAAAACTTTACAAACCATATGCTAGGACACACAGCATCTTACAGATCCAGTGTCAGCTCTCTGCTTAATATTCTTTTCCATTTCTTAAATACATGACTTTCAAACACTGCTGATTTGCTGAAATTAGCTTTTCTAGGCCTAAAAATGTATTTCGCTTTAACTCGACATCCCCTGATCAACTAACAGGGCTTAAAACGAGAGGGAAAAGGAGCAAACATTGAAAATAGAAACAATAAAACCCTTTAGAAAATCTGGTAAACTAAACCTAAAAGTTTAAAATTAAGTTTCTATATTAGAAATGAGAGCAGGGGGGGGGAAAAACCCTTTTGGCAGTGAACTCATCAGTAGTAGGCCTACTAAGTATTTAAAATACTTAAATCAGTTAGAATTCGAATGTTACTTTTAAGTTAAGAGTTTCTAAACACTTCTGAGTATTAATCAATATCTACCCCATAGCACATATCTATTTTGCCGCCAAACATTAGGATGATAACGGAGAAAAGTCACTAGAGCTGAATTTTAGAACTACGGCACAAAGTGCTATTAGACGCCATTTCTATTTCAACTGAGTACTTGAGGCAAAAACAATTTCATTAAACACCTCAGTTAGGTTTTCCACTGTAAAGTACAGAAGAGGATATGTCATGCTGTGGGTCTGGAGTTGTGCTAGGTCATGAAAATACCAGATAAAAAAAACAAAAAAAAAAAAACAATGAATTGCCACTTTCAGCAGAATAATGACAAAAAAAAAATGTATCAAACTAACACAGAGAGAGTTCATCAGATGTAAAATTAACCTCTTCTAAAGTAATAATGAATTCAATACGGTTAAATATTTTAGATTTCAAAAGGTCATTCCAAAAAAAGGTCTTTCAAAAGGTCTTAGGATGAAATCATGCTACTGCACACAAAAAAAAGTTCATTTTTACGGTTTCAGACTTTTAGACTAAGATATGTCTGCAGTAATTAATACAGGATTTTACTAATGCATCATTAGCAAGGCAGTAATGTTACCAATCTTTAGTCTCAACCTTAATCCATCTGAAGTGTTAGACAAGGACAATTGAGCCGAAAGCCCAGAACTGAAACTACTGCCGGTGCTCCAGCACAGGGAGGTCAGCCCTGATACGGGAACAAGGGTTTGAATTCCTGCTCCAAACTGAGAAATGTGATATCTAACTACTAACCTTAATAAATAGTATGACAGTCATTTTTTTTAAAGTTTGTAAAGTTGTTTGACCTTTGAATTGTTGAATGAAAGGCTGGGGTAGTCCTGGTCTGTTTTCTTACTCAACTGTACCTCACAAAAATCCATTTGAACTGCATAACTGTGGGCTGTTTCACTTCAACAATCGTAAAGCAATACATACTATGAAAGCTAAATGACCAGAAAAAAATGGGTTTCTCTCAACAAACCATGAAACTTTGCACTGAAGAAGTTGTAGTAATGAGAAACGTAGGTGATGACACTCAGAAAATCCGGCATGGTGGTAGAAACCATGTCCTTTGGGTCCAGCAGAGGAGGGATTCCCAGCTTTGTTTCTGCAACCTCAAAAGCCTATAGATTCAAGAGGTTAGATCAGTTTCTAGTACTACTAAAGGGAATAGCAAACACAATACTGCCTGAGAAATTCATACAAGTTTATGTCAAAACATGGATGCAAATGACTCACCAGCTTGTTATTCTGATAAACATTTTCCCTGGAGAGAGAGCTGAAATCTCTGGAGTTAAGAGAGAGGAATAGAGGGAGATTACAAAAAACTGACAGAAGATTTCAAACAAAAAGGTTTAACATCAATATAAACCAGCTACATTTATGAATGGCAGATTACAAGTTTTAAAAGACTGGAGGTTAGCAATGGTATGATGCATTAAATTAGTGTTCACGCGCTGTGACTGAACCAACATCATAATGAACAAAAATGACACAAACCTGCAAGCAATCTGTCTACCTGAGCTAGCAGGTGGCAACTGTGATTAGAACATTTTTGGAGTTGGACTCAACAAATCTTGGGGAATGGCCAAAAGACAGCTAAAAGCAAAGCCCTAAGATGTTCAAAGATTATATTCTATACCCTTCGTGTGCCGGAGAGCCAGCACACCACATCACCTCTTGCAAAATCTCTTTATATTGGGGATAGATAGAGGGAGTATGAGGCAATCCTGGAAGAAAACCTGTTGAATTCCAGAACGATGAGGAGGTTTGTCTTTCTTTAGGATAATGAGCAAAAACTTACAGCCAGAGCAGAATGGATCAAGGCTTAGTGGAAAAACCCCATGCACACTATATGGCAGGACTTTTATGTTCTGCACAGATTACTCTCCACCAGATTTGAGATCCATTAAAAATAATTAGCAACAAGTTTGACCAAATATTTTAGTTATAGTTGTGTTTTTTTTTTTATTAGTGTGAATATTTAAGAGGAATGAGTATTTTTAGGAAGTGATTTAGAAATCAGATGATCCCTTTACAGAAAGTTGACCTGAAAAGGATTAAGGATTAATCTAACGAGGACAGCAGATTAGTCTCCACAGCATAGTGTTGCAATTTCATTCGGTTTATTTTAAATCTAAATGAAGAGTTTCCAGTCAGGAGAAGGCATCAATCTATGAAAAGTTCAAGCTCCAGCGCAGCTAAACGACTGAAACCTTTGGTCTACTTACATCAGGTCGGGTCGATGTTTGTGGATGATGGCACAAAACGCCAGCCCATCCCTGAATGAGCCTGACATGTTCTTTATTTCCACAGCGGGGTAACCAGCGCATGTGACGCGGCACCACTCCAGCAGAGCCTTCGGTGATGCCATTTCTTCCGCAACTTTCAGGTGTGGAGGGGATCAGCATTGCCTTTTACGGGTCGGGCATCAAACAAACAAGCAGAGCCGCGTTGGTTTGGTGAAGAGAACAGGAAACGATGATCATCTTTCAAACTGCAAAACCGCTGCAGCTTCTGCTGCGACTCCACTAACCAGGATACAAGAGAGGATTTTTATCATTACAACTAAACGTGCATCTTCACATAAAAACATCTGGATGGTTTTTAGCCATAAGCAAAGTTAAAGAAGGAGTTTTTTTCTCACTCACCAAACCGCAGACTCGGTTTTTCACCAAAAAAAACAACCAGGGAGCTCGATGGGAGGAGATCTATGGTTCGAAATATACCCACTTCTACGAATCCTCCTTAAAAACTTCCCAAAGTAGCTGTTAAAGTGAAATAAATAAAATAAAATACAGCGACTGGATCGCTCCACCTTGTGCTCGACTGTGTCTATGAAATACCACCGCTAGAGGGAGACATAGAGCTGCTCCACTTCTATAATTAGGAAGCAGAGGTTTCCAGTTACAATATTATTATCAGCATCATGGGGCACATGCTTTCTATTTCACAGATAAATATGTGTTGTTTAACTTCTCATTTTTTTTTTTATTAAATGCTTTATCTTTATTTTGTTTAAGATGTCATCAAGTTAAATATGTGTTGTTTAACTTCTCAATTTTTTTTATTACATGCTTTATCTTTATTTTGTTTAAGATGTCATCAAGTTTTAAATTAATTCAGATTGAGTAAATAGGATCTATTCCTTTTTTTTAAACATATCTTTATTTCGTTTTCCAACTTATACAGGCAACAAAACCCCACACAGTGAAAGACAGGAAAAATGAAATAAATGAAAATAAGTACCGGTAAGTCATAAATAAAACTAAATCAGGAAAACCTGTAACAATATGGTCTAAAAAGAATAACATAGCTAGTACAGAAAGAAAAAAAAAAACAATACAAAAACATGTAACAACATTAAAGCTCAGATTATTTAATCAATTAAAAGGATACATAAGCAGATATCCAGGCATTACAGTTTCACTATAATAACTGGTTGAATACACTCTCAAGTATAGTTCCCTCGAGGAATCTTAGACCAGAAAAGTCCATAGAGTCCCTTCTGTATAGTCCATTCACTCTCTATGCCAATGTAATCTAAGAATGGATCCCATGTTTTGTGAAATAACAGAGGTTTGTCCTTAAGGCAGTGAGTCATTGCCTACAAGGGAATTAGTTCCTTCACACTCTGCAACCACTGTGGAAGAGCAGGAGGTTTGTTAGAGATCCATTGAAGAAGAACACACCGTCTGGCACCAAATAGAAGAACATCTAGCAGTCTCCGCATACAAGAATTTAAGTTCAGTGCAGGATGTAAACCAAGGATACAAGACAATAGCATCTATTCTAATGGGCTTTGACTGGGCCATTAACATCCTGAGTTGAATCGAACCTCTTTAACCATCTCTTTTCTCTGCTAAAAATAAATAAATAAAAATAAACAAAGAAAAAACCCCACATCCAAATATTTTCCAATAATGATAATTATTATTATTTATTGCATGCAGTTGTAACCTACAAGTTTCATGTCTGTTCAGTGAGTATTCAATGTTTCAAGTCTAATCTAATGAAATGCAAGAAAAAAGGACTCATAAATATCTTTGCTCTGTAACTATGTGAACAGGGTGCACCTCTTTTATCTGATAAATCTATAATCTTAATTTAATAATTTGTGTTGAACAAGTTGATTAATCTGTCTACTGTATGTGCATGTTTCTGTTTGTATCTTTAGATGAATCTCAATTTTATTTGTGTATGAAAGTCTTTGAGCATCTATACGATTTAAATACAGTTTTATTTAAACTATGAGCTATATTTGCTTCATGTAACACGATAAATATTCCTCAATCGAAGGAAACTAAAAAACTGAATTCATAGAAACTTTTCAACATTTTTATTACTGTCTATTAATGTAATTTGTAAAATAATTTTTATTGTGGCATCTATTTCATTATTTGATTTATTTGTCAAAAGCGGCTTAATGTGTGTCTTTATTTCAATAGGATAACTTTTTCTATGTCAGTCTTAACTAAAGACCAGTTTTGGTGATTGCACGACAGAGATTTTACCTGATGATATATCATCCTACCTGAGTGTTGGCTCACTACAGCTCCTCCATAGGCCTTTGGTTGCTTTCCTGATTATTTAACCAAAATTCTGCAGTTATAGAAAAAGTACTTATAGGATTGGTATCCACTTTAATGCAAATGTGGCATAAGTTTTGTTTCTGTGTATTGTTACAAGTAGTTTTCTAATAAAATTATCTATAAATGTAATTAGCAGGTTATAATTGGGTTCTTCTTCTTGTTGTGTTTTATGGCAGTTTGGAAACTAGTTTAAGTGCATTACCACCACCAACTGATAAGGAGTTAAACGAGGAAACAGGAAACAAGACTCACCCCCAGACATTTTTTTTTAATGAAAAAACATAATAAAATAAAATAATAGTTTTGCAAACTGTATGTTTTAACCCAACATGATGAAATACATAATCAATTATAATTACTAATCTGTCTTTATGTTTATGTCACTTAAAAGTATTTTTCCCATCATACTTTCAACCGTTTTCAAGCTTAAATCTTTTACTTCGAGGTATCTTTCTGCAGTTTTCATGGCTATTTCGATTTTTTTTGGTTTTCTTTGTCGTCTCAGCACTACAATCAATTACTTCTACAATAAAAAGTACACAATCCTTCTTTTTAAGAATCAATGAGTTTTCTGCAATTTGGGGGCACTCTTCCAGAGGGTTTGAACTCTTTTGGGCCCTATATTTGGGTTATATAGTACTTTTGTGTGTGTGTGTGTGTGTGTGTGTGTGTGTGTGTGTGTGTTTGTATATATATATATATATATATATATATATATATATATATATATATATATATATATATATATATATATATATATATATATATATATATGTATATAATTTTTTTTTTATAAAATATTGCCAATTAAGTGTGTTACTTTTTTTTTTTTTTTAACAATGAAAGCATAAACAATCTAATCCCTTGTGTGGAGTGTAAGATTATTTCAAATCTTTCAAATGTGTTCCGTCTCTCCTCACCTCCTACGTCACTTCCGTCTTTGCTCGACGTAACCTTACGTACATCTCGCAGTGATGGCTGCGCCGCCCGATACGGAGAGTTTGGAGTCTCGTATCAGTAAGTCTTTTAAACAAATCCCTCCGAGTCGGTGTTGCCTGGGTTTAAGGACGGAAAGTAATTATCATCCGTAAGCGGTGGAGGAATTAGCAGCTCATTTCAGCCTTAGCTGTAGCAGGAATAGGAGCTCAAAGCCTGCCGCCACCTCCAGGATGCTAACCTATAGCTGCCAGCTGTCAACACTCTGACAGGCGTAGTTTTAGCTTCACCGCGACAGCTACTACCGGCCATTAGGGCAGAGTTTTTAATTATACTGATGTTACAAATGGTAATAGCTGCTGTTTTTATGTTGTAGTAGAAAAGACTACACCTGCTGACAGAAAGCTAGCTACAGTGACACTGTTAGCAGCTGAGGTAGACTCACCTACACGATGACAAGCTGGGATGATTTTTCAGTTGAAGGGTCACGCGGCTAGCAGTGGAAGCTTTTGGGCTGTCTTTCTTGCTAACTTCATATTTACACCTATTTTTTATTGGAAGGAATTTTTTTGTGTGTTTTTCTTGTCTACATGGCAAAATCTAGCCTGCATCTGGCTTTTTGTTTCTTACCAAATGTTAATTATTTGAGCATTAATATAGTTTTATTCTAAATAATATGTTATCATTCTTGCAAATCATTATTTTGATTTGCATGGCGATAAGCTAGTGATTTATTTACATAAAGAAGGAGAGGGGGCATAAAAAGTTTTACTTCTTCATACCACTTTTTAGACAATTTACATTAATGGATGTCAGTTCTCTGGCTGTATATGCCAACAGTTTTTTGTGGTGGAGATTTTTGTTTCTATTTATGTTCAGATAAATTTAGTTAGCTTGGAAATTGGTGTTTGGTTTGTTTTGATGGGTTTTATTTTGTGTGTATTTGATTGAATCATTTATTGTTGGTCTGAAATTGTCCGAAAAAAAGAAATCCTTTACATAAAGATAGTTTGATAGAAGGAATTACAATAAAATATCTTCTGTATAAACAAATATATATTTGTTGTCTGAAATGCAACCTTAATATAACCAAATTCACAAAAAGTTGTGGTGTTTTGTTCAGCTCACCTCCTAATCCTGTTTTGTTCATCTTTGTTGACTTTTCAGACAGAGCCACAAATCCACTGAACAGAGACACAGACTGGAGCAGCATTAATGCCTTCTGTGAACAGCTCAACAATGATTTGGAGGGGTAAGACGAGACTCTAAAGGCCACAGGGATGTTTGCAAGCTGGCTATTGCAGTTTATTTATTGGGAATCAAAGTGGAAATTTATACAAACTGAGGATTTCCATGTATTGCTTGAGGGAGAAATAAACATGGATTTAGATTTCTGATATTAAAATATAAGTAATTTTAGGTGTCCTTTTTCATAATTGGTTACAATAAAACCAATGCAACTTGTAGGGAATATTATGTGATCGTCCAACATGAGTCCATTATTGTGAAAAGTATAAAAAGTGAATAATGGTTTTGATTAGGGCTGAAACAATTTATTGGATAATTGTGATTAATTGATATTGAAAAAAATCCTGAACTAATTTAGTAATCGATTAATCATCAACTGGATTACAGAGACTCTAAAACATCATTTAAGCTGAAAGAGCAACCTAGCTAGAGCAGTAATTATACCAAAATTGAAAAAAAAAAGATCAAATATCTGGCCCTTAAAATAAAAATAAAGAAACGGTTTCCTCTGTTAACAAGCTCTATCCAGAGCTCTTCAGCTGGAACATTTTTTTGGTTGACCTGGTTTAATTCTTTAAAAAAATCGTCTTGAAGGAACCTTTAGCCATTTGATTATTAATCTATTTTTCGTTAAAAATAATCGACAGATTAATCTATTAGCAAAATAACCGTTACTTGCAGCCCTAGTTTTGATATTGTTATTACAAATAAAATTCAAATGCATTTGGTGTGCATTTGTGTTCAGCCCCGCTGAGCAACCCTTTAACTTGCACTCCTTTAGGCCATGTCTCTATGGCTACGTTGTCACTGCACGCCTTAATGCTCAAATCTGCTCAGATTTTCAGGAATCTGATTTTCTTTTCTGGTCGTTTCCCTTATTTTACAATGTTGCCTATATCTGACTAGGGTGAGCTGCTTGCTACTCCAAACTGACCTGCATATTTATAACAACAATAAGAGTGTTATCAGACATAGCACAACAGTAAACACTGAGAAATAGGTGTTATGATTTAATGCACAACAGAAACCATTTAATGTTTCAGCTGGAAACGCGTAAATAAAAGAGGAGAAAAAATAGTTGTGGTATCTTAGGGAGATCTTAGTCCGATGTAGCATAACACAATGTTTGCATGCAGAGGCGCTGCCAGGAATGGTTTGACAGGGATGTTAACAGCTACAGAGACTAAACTGCTCTAAGAAGACTTGATGAAATCCAGTATCCGACTGCAGCAGGAACAAATCACATACTTGCTAACTTCCATAGCATTCTAAAGACCTGTGTTTGAAGGGTTAATTGCAAAATTTTCCATATGGCCCACATCCAGATGGATGGTTCCTATGAGGCTTGAATGATGTTTTATCTCTGTTTATTAACAGGTCTAACATCTCGCTGTCTCTTCAATGCGCAGAGCTACTGACGCTTCAGATTGTTTTGCCACCTGCTTCAGTTTCATGATAGGAGGCTAAAGTTGTAACAAATGATGATGGAAAGTGATTTCAAAGTTGCATCAAATTACTCTTGGTCATTCTCTCTTGTTTTATAACAAGCTTCTGACTATTTCAAAGAACAAATATTTACTTAAGGGAAAGAAAATAGAAAATTACTAAAGGGTCGCCCTCTACAGGCAGTTGGTAGTGCTGGATTTGTTTTTAGGTGCATCACATTCAAATCGACAGCTTCTTATTTCAGGTTTTAGTAGCAAAGAAAAAAGAAAAAACTATAATTTTTCTTCTCACCTTCTGTTGCAGACCTCAGTTGGCCACCAGGCTTCTGGCCCACAAAATCCAGTCCCCCCAAGAGTGGGAGGCCATGCAGGCACTATTGGTAAGTTACCAAAATACACATCTTTACAATGCGGACTGTTTCCTACACCCTGCTGCCCTCTTTTTATGACCCGTTTCTATTGTTTGAACCCAAGGTTCTGGAGACGTGTATGAAAAACTGTGGGAAAAGGTTTCACAGTGAAGTGGGCAAGTTCCGTTTTCTCAACGAGCTCATCAAAGTAGTTTCACCAAAGGTAAGACTTCTCATCTCCTAAAAATGAGCATCTTTCTATCTTTTCTTTAGATAAACTGTTGAATAAGCCTTTCTGTCCTGGATGTCCAGTATTTAGGTTCTCGCTCGCCGGGACCAGTTAAACATAAAGTGTTGGAGTTGATCTATAGCTGGACGTTGGCGTTGCCTGATGAGCCTAAGATCTCTGACGCCTATCAGATGCTAAAGAAACAAGGTAGGAAGCTGCTAGCCTGAAGATGAATGACGGGTAAAATCACACTTTCTGTATTCTGGTTTCTTTACTTCGACAGTGTCACATATATGTCTTTAAGAATAGCTAAAGTAGCTCTGATTTTAAATATTTTTTTAATCTGTGTCTGTGAACCAGGTATCATTAAACAAGACCCAGAGCTGTCTCCTGACAAACTTTTACACCTTCCTCCACGCAGACCTAAAAATGCCATATTTGAGGATGAGGAGAAATCAAAAGTAAGGAGCTCCCAAGCAGTTAACATAATTTAATCATTTAATGAGGTAAAGGCTCCTACCATCGGCTTAACATGTCTCCTTTCTCTGTTTGCTGGATAGATGTTGTCCCGCCTGCTAAATAGCTCGCACCCAGAGGACCTAAAAGCTGCTAACAAACTCATAAAGGAAATGGTCCAAGAGGTAGACTCTGTTTTCTTATTGCTTCCATTTGATGACATAATGACGTGTTTCTGTTGAATTTAAGGAACTCAGAAAAAACGTAACTTTTTTCTAACTTTTTTAAAAATTTAGACCAGTTTGGTGCAAAAGTGTGAATTAAATGCAAATATTCTCTATTTTAAAAAGGCTTAATTTTATACCCGATGACCCACTATGATGTGATGATTAAGCAAGTTCCAGAGAACCACACAGGTTCAGGTGTGATTCCTACGGAAAGCTCTTCCTGATAGAACTGGTTGAATTTATTTCTTGGTGTGGATCCATCTTTTAAAACCAAAACCAACTTTGTTTAGGTTTGAGAATTGTTGTCTGGTTGGGACACCTAACCGCGTCAGACTTTCACTCATCTAATCAGATTCCTACATTTGATTAAGGGGATCATCAGGATGTTATTCAGGGGATCATCAAGGTTTACATCTCTCAGTAACAAGAAGAGCTGGAGCAGCAGAGTTGCTGGCTGCGGTAACACGGAAGACTGAGAGTGTTCTAGTTTTTAAATATGGTGACATACGCATCATGCTGAGGGTCTGTTTCACGGCCATTGGTTTTAGGGTGTTACACAGACGGGACAGAATAATGAAGAAAGATGACTTGAACTGAATTCTCTACACTTCATTTGGCTTTTGAGGAGCTGAAACTGAGACAGGGCTGGATGTTTGAACAGGGAAATAATCATAAACGCATAAAAACAGGTTTGACCAAAGAAAAAACAGGCTTACAGTACGTAAACATCTGAAAACACTGACGGTAAGTCTGTTCCTGGAAGCCAGCCAAGGAAATGTGCTCCATGGATTGTGACTGGACTGGCGGTTTCACTGCTGCTTATTGAGACATTTTACCAAATATTAATCAGAAAGTTGTTTAATGTTAGACCTGATTGGGTTTGATTTAAAAAAAATCCAAAGTGAAGTCAAATTCTTATTTTTAGTATTAAGTAATTTATTAACGATATGATATGAGCTCCATGCTGGAACGGACATTATAGCATCTGCTTTAGCTCATTTGTGAATTTGAAAATTTAGCTCAACAGGAAGGATGTTGTGGGACACCATGTTTTGCTTTTAGATCTTTTCCATCCTGATTATAAAGCCTTGCAGAGACTTTATGCTGTGAACTTTCCACTCACACCTTTACCTTTATTATTCTTTGTCTGCTGCCTACGATGGGTTTGTACATGGTTCGGTTGACTTAGTTGGATGTTGTTTGTTCAGGATCAGAGGCGAGCAGAGAAGGTGTCTAAGCGAGTGAACGCCATCCAGGAGGTGAAGGAGAGCGTCGCTCTGCTGACTCAGCTTCTGCAGGACTATGACCGCACGGCTCCTGCTCAGGACAACGCTGACCTGATACAGGTGGAGTGAAACACGGATCCTTTGGCTTCGGCTCTTTTTTTTTTTTTTTCTCACACTCTGCTGTGGTTTGATCCATCAACATGAAACCTGTCTGACTTTCTCTCTCCTCGTCGTCAGGATTTGTACCATCGCTGTGAGAAGATGAGGCCGACGCTGTTCAGGCTAGCCAGTGACACAGAGGACAACGACGAGGCTCTGGGTAAGCAGCACATTTTAGTTTTTTCCCATCCGCTAATAAGTATTTTGAGAATTTGATCACTCCTTCTGGGTTGTATCATCTATCTGTCTGGATTTTTGTTATATACTGATATTTTTGTTGAATAATGTTTGCTCGCTCCTCTGCGCAGCTGAGATCCTCCAGGCCAACGACAGCCTGACTCATGTCATCAACCTGTACAAGCAGCAGGTGAAGGGAGAGATTGTGAATGGAAACACGTTAAATACACAGAAACCTGCCGGTGGGTCTCAAAACGGACAGAAACTATTTAGAACGAAAGAGGAAATCCCTGTTTTTAGGACTTTGATTGATGCTGACTAAAATAATGTCTTTATTTTCTGCCCTGCTGCAGCACTGCTAGACCTGTCAGGATTGGACACCTCCCCCCAGTCACCTTATTCCTTCCCTGAGCTCCCCACTCCCACAGACAGTCTCAATGCTCCCTCACAGGACACAGGAATCAGCCTCCTTGACGATGAGCTCATGTCACTCGGTAACATTTTCTTTAACCAGTCCCATTAAGTTCATGAAGTCTTTAAAGATTTGTAAGACTTGAACCTGCTTCTAAACTATGAATCTTTGTACTTTATGTAGGTTTAAGTGAAGGAACGCACCCATCTAACCCCATGTCACAACCAGAGGACTCCACAGCGTGGGATTCCTTCCAGGTGAGAGACCGGAAACGATTTTCCAGATCTGGGAAAGACGTTCAGTTATTTACTCCTTCTGAACCCCACTGAACCTTTTCAGAGCGCCTGGTTAATCTTCGCTGTTTCTTCGCAGTCCTCTGACAGCATTGAAGCAGATGTCCAAGCAGCACCTAGTCTCCTCCTGAATCCCGACCCGCTTCATCACTCTCAGGCTGTTTCTTCTGGCTCCAACCCTGGGAACTCGGCACTGGATGAGCTGGACCTCCTGGGAAAGACGCTGCTGCAGCAGTCGCTGCCACCGGAGGGTCTGCAGGTCAAATGGTATGTAAAATGAAAATAGGGGAGAGCTAATAAAAAATACTCCCTTTGAATTCTTATGAAGATTTTCTTTACTCTCCTCATCCTTTTACTCCACGCAGCCAGTGACATATTATATTTGATGGTAGTATAACTGAAAAAAACAGTCAGGGGGGCTTGAGAAACCTTCCTCTCCCATGTTTCCACCAGGGGAAACTTGCAAGCTGTTTGCTGAGTCATACCTTACAGAAAATATCTTCCACTGCCAAGTTTCTGTATCTTGAAAACCCACAGACTTGAGGAGCTGCCTCTAGACTTGTACTTGACAGAAGAGTTTAGTCTTGTGAGCTTGCAGCTCTCTGTGAGCTAGTGATTTGTTTTCAGTTGTTGTAGCTTCATATAATAATCAGTAAAGTGATTTGGCTTCAGTAGAAACAATTGATGTAACAACAAGAAGAAGCTTTACATCCCTCCAATCATCTCTTCTGTCTTTTAAAGCTTCATCATTATGAAGAAAAATTGATCCGCTTCCCGTACTACTCGTTCAGAAACGCCAAGTTCTCTTGTTTAATCAGTACAGCAAACCATCATCTTTAAAATTAAACTTCATCAGAAGTGACCTAACATTGAATAGAGCAGTTTCACCATCATGCTTTAGGAGACACTGATTCCCATTGAGTTTAAACGCTTCGCTTTTGTTAAATGTGTTTTCCTAAGTCCTAAATAAAAACATATGTTAACTTAAGCCGGGGATACACTGTGATATTTTCAATCGTTGCACACAGCTACAGCTCAAACTGTATGAGGAAACCACAGGGTTTAAAAGTTCACTACTCCCGATGCATGTTCTCACGCTGTGCGGCCCGACGCTCTGATGCGATCCTGCGAAGGCTGACTGAATTTCAAACATGTTTGAAACATGACCTTACAAACTTTACCTCATAATTCCTGATTGGAAGGTGGTTGTGAGAGGCTAATCGCCCCTCAGTACCCCCTGTACACTACAGGACGCATAATCAGGCTGAAAGTCAGCCAGATCGCAAAATTCTCCAACGACTGGAGTATCGGCTCAAAAAAGGCAAAAATCGTACAGTGTGTCCCTACCTTTACAATGGCCGACTAAATTTCAAACGTTTGATTTTCTCCCGACCTTACGATTCTTCATCGGGTGGAGGTCATGAGAGGCTAATCGCCCCTCGTTACCCCCTGTTCACTACACGATGCACAATCAGGCTGAAAGTCGGCCCAGTCGAAAAATTCTCACTCGGCTTAAGTAGGTAAAAAAATATGGGATTTCTTAGTTTCCCACTTGTCTGTTATCAGGGCCTTTGTGAACAAATAGTGTCTGACTGATAGAGGTGTAAATCACACCCATCATCGCGATTCGATTCAGTATCGATTTCCTGACCCAACGATTCGATTATTTTCGATACTCAAGAATACACCACAATACGATTCGATTTGATTAATTGTTTCATTTTTTTTTTAACCTTACAGGCTAGACAATGTTTCAAATTTGAAACAAATCAATGAAAGCTGTAATATCGTTATGCATCTTTTTGAGAAACAACAGCAAATAACAGAAGTAGAAAAGTTTTACTCCACCTATTCCTATTAAAACCTCATTCACTGAAAAATAATAATGCCCCTGCGTTATAGATTCTGAAAGGCCTTGCATCAAAAAATACTGCACAAAATCAGTGCAATGAGTGCAATGCAACTTTGGCTCTAGAGTGTCGACATCCTCGCCCCCTCCACAGACACTCTGCTGCACCTCTCCCAAATTGTAGGTGACCGCAGACAGGAGGCCGGCTTGTTTTGTTTTTATGACCGAAATTGTGGAAAACAACTTGTTAAGTTGGACCAGCTTGAAGAGCGAGGTGCGCGAAACAGCCTTTTTTCACCTGGATCCCCTCTATTTTTCGCCGTTATGTCCCTCCGTTGTCGGACAAACTCGCGCCAACTTCATCTCTGTCTCAACCTTATCTAGACCTACAGCGTGTTGCGCAGACCACGCTTCAATATTGGGCATAAATCAAAAAATGTCTGTGTCAAGCTCACTGCAACACACTGCTGCAAGAGTATAACCAGGAAGCGAGGTAGGAGGGCAAAATAAGTTTAGCGCCACTGCAGCAAGGGAGTCAGAATTACGCCAAGGAGCAAATGGATAAAAATAGACCGGAGGGGAAAAAAACATGAATCGATAATCTTGCGGACGTGTCGATGCATCGGATCGTCGGCTGTTGGATCGATACAAAACATGGCTATTTACACCCCTTCTGACCGGTCACCCGTGTTCATTCAATGGCCTCCTAAAGAACTTAAAAACCCTCTGGGTCAGCCTCCCGATACTTTAAAGATGACTCAATATTGAAGGTGTTTACAGTTCACTACAGTCCGATTCTTTTACTAGCGTTCTAACGTGATAAATAATTCATCTTAAATATCATTAACTGCACATCTATTTATGGTTGAATTAATAGCCCTTAAGAAGAGATTTTTATACATAAGGGTACATCCACATATTGATCTGTTCTAAGCATCTAACCAGCGCTCTGATGGGTTCATAGTCACCTGATGACATTTTGATGTAAAGCTGTGTGTCGTCTACATAATTATTGCAACTGATCTTGTTGTTAGCTATAATCTGAGCAAAGGGGAACATGTAGATGTTGAATAGGAGGGGCCCTAGAAAGGAGCCTTGAGGAACTCCGCATGTGATTTTTCTGGTCTCTTATTTAAAGGTACACTATGCAACTGGTGTTGATTTTCCAGTGAGGCTCCCTCCAGAGGGCGAAAGTAAAAGTGCACTGTCGTAAATATGCACAGCTGTTCTCCTGGTTTCTCCGTCAAGCCAGGCGCACCGCAGCTGGCGCGACAGAAGCAGCGAGTTTACATGCAAAGTCAATGGTTGACGCGCGTCAAGGCGCAGCAAAAGGTCCCGCGGCGCGTTTTGAGGCAGCAGGCGCAGCACGTCTGAGCAGCTGAAGCAGGGAGAGAGACACAGCGCTGATGATCAGAGGCTATGATCTCTCCTCTTAAACAGTTTATTGACGCCTAAATTAACTTAAAATGCAGAAATCTGCCGGCAGAATATGCAGTTTGGATTATTTAGATGAAAAACACCTACCAGCTGCCGCGGTGAACCGCGAGGAGGTGACCTGGCCAGAGGCTGCTGATGAAGGGGTTCCTTCTGTCGGCGCACCGCTGGTATGTGGGGGTCTGAGCGGCTCCGAAAGAAAAAATATTGAAGGCAGGATAATAATCTGAATGAACTGACGGCACTGATTTCGTTTTCAGGTGTATTTTCTCATTTAAACACATATTAAAACTACTTTATTCCAAATGATCACAGCAAATATAGCTGCAAGGCAGAGAAAGGATAGTGAAGCTCCGCCCAACGCGCGTCAGACACACTTTTGCACCGCACAGCCAGAGCGTCAGAACTAACTGGTTCAAGCAGCAAAAATGAAGCAGCAGACACGATTTTGCTAGTTTTGCTGCGTGAACGTAGCATAACTGCACAAGGATCGCCACTGTGCTAGCAACGAGCATGCTTTTAACTGGGGGGTGTAGCAGTTCTCGCCGTAAAGCAAGACTGACTCTCACGAGACTTCTGAGCCTGTGGGTGCGGGTCGGTGCTCCTGCAGTTGCAAGTGCGGTATTTCCCCCACAGACCACCAGGGCGGCCGAGAATACCTTTGTTCAACCTGAAATGACTCATTTAATCATCCAAAACGTTATGGAACACATTAATTAACTGAAAAATGTTGCATAGTGTGCCTTTAAAGTACCCCACTGACTCAGGTGGGACACCTGACATGATGGATGTGTTTATGATTTGATTCAAATCAGACTCTAAAACAGGTAAAACCTTCTTAATAAAACCTGTGGCTCAGCTGCTGAACAATTTCTTCTAAACTTTTGTAGTTTAGGCAGAATTGAGACATTTTAACAGAGTTTATTCTAACAGGAAACAGTATTGGTACTGGTGTTGGTGATGTTTCTAATACGTTGTATTTTTTCAATAAAGAACTTTGCAAAGTCATTGCAGGCCTTTTTAGATCGATTTTTATATATATAGTTAAAATGTTAATAATCTGTAGGAAAGTGTCCCATGGTGGTCCAAAGGGACCAGAATCTGCTCAGTTGGTGTATTTAAAGACTTCATTAGTGGCTCAGCTGCTGATCTTTTCTCTTTAAGGGACAAGCAGCAGTCCAAGCCCACACTGAGGGATCTCCAGAGCAAGTCAGGATTGAGCACAGCTGCACATCCAGTTGGAGGTTTTGTGCCCGATCATCCCGCTCCCAGCCTCGGAGGCTCACTGCTGGACAAATCTCCAGCTCACTCAGCAGCTCTGTCCCCAGAAGTTACCCTGGCTAATGTTTTTGTACCGCTAGAATCCATAAAGCCCAGTAAGTACACACCCCAAATCTACATTTCTGTCATTCTTACTGCAATCAATATTATTATTTTCTTTTTGTGTTTTTATAATTTGGTGATTTTGGGTTGGCGGATTCCTTTCGCTTATTTTTTCCCATCTCCTTCTCCAGGTAGTCTGTTGCCCATAACCGTGTTTGACGGCCACAGTCTGCGGGTTCTTTTCCACTTTGCCCGTGACTCGCCTCCGTCTCGACCCGACGTGTTGGTGGTGATCATATCCATGTTGTCCTCAGCCCCTGTTCCTGCCACCAACATTCATTTTGAAGCTAAAGCTCCACAGGTTAGCAGAGATTAGCCGATGCAGTTCAGCTCCTTGTTTCCTCATTAGAAGATGTCTGAAGGTTGTTAACCCTTTATAGGACACTTAGTGAAATACTTTGAAATTAGAATTTCAAGTCAATTTTCAAGGTGTTTGTAGAACAGAACAGGACATTTTTACTTTTGTAATATTAAAAGAAATAACCCTCAAAATGCATGCTGACACAGGAACTTTAGTGGTTTACTTTTTAACTTAGCTTATTAACATTTTAAATTAGCTTTAACTTGGCTTATTACGTTTTTAACTTTTTTTAACATAGTTGGTGACATATCACACTCGGTAGGCAAAGTTAGACTACTGGCGATATATTCTATCAAGCAGTTACACTCAGCTGTAGGACAGAGGTGGACTTGCAGACCTTATTTGACATCACAACTTTTGCCTTGTTTGATGTAAATTGGTGTTTATGTCCAAATGAGCAAAAATGCTCATTTAGATATAGACACAGTTTTGATTTAGGGGTCTCAGACTACAGGTGGGAGGTGGAAATTTTGATGTTTGTTTTGTTCTTTCCAGTCTGTGGGGGTGAAACTGCAGCCTCCATCAGGATCAGAGCTCCCAGCATTCAACCCGATCCTCCCTCCTGCAGCCATCACGCAGATCCTGCTGATAGCCAACCCTAATAAGGTAGCTATAGATCCTTAAAGATTGAATTGCACTCAGTCAGGTGAATTCCTGCAGGAACTATAGGAGCAGTTTAAAATCCTTTCGGTGACATGTTAGAGTGAGCAGATTGTTTTCTTAAAACTTCTTCACTTCAGAGGATGCATTTATTGCTTCAGTCGTTGAATATAAATACCATAAGTATAGGTAATTTACAGAAACATAACCTTTCCTTTTTTGTTTTCTTTAGGAGAAGTTTCAGCTGCAGTACAGACTAAGCTTCTCCATGGGCGAGCAGGAGCACAGTGAAAGCGGCAGCGTAGAACAGTTTCCTAATCCCGAGAAGTGGGGGAACCTATAGCACCTAAACACAACCTGACAGACTCTGCTTCAGACTCAGCCTCCCTCTCTTGAATGCTCCACCTCAGCTCGTTTTCATTGCAGCCACACTGACGAATATTTTTTCTGGACGGTTATTTTCTTTATGGATTACTGTCATGCTCAGTCAGTGTGATGTGTGCCAGCTTCGCTCTCATTTAGCCATCAGTGTGTAGGTCTAGAGTCTGGGTTTCTGTGGCTGCATTCAATGGAGCCTGCAACTGCTTTTCATCCCATTTTGAAAGGAAGAAAACAAACGTGTGCATGTTTGCTCATTCTGTGTGCTTTGTCCTTGTTTTTTTAACCTTTTTTTCTAACTTATCTGCATCAACCCTCGTGTCAGCATGCTCTGCAAACATGGGACAACATTTTGGAGGATTTCTGCACAGACAAACACGTGTTTAATTTGTGATTACTTGCTTCTGTCACGGTGGCTGAGTCACTTTTCGATTGCACAAAGATTGATTGTTCTTATAGTACTGTTTTTCTTTCTCTTGTCACTTCCCCCTTCGTCCTGTGTAATGAACAAAATCAACTGTAACATCAGAGCTGTGTATTTTCTGCCATATGTGCCTATTTTGCTGTTGTATTATTTAAAAGTTTTAAGCGTTTGAATGGACTTACCCTTTTCATCTGTTACATGTTATTCATTAGCGCTGCTGTGTCTTTGTGTTTAAACACATGATTTCCTGGGTTTAAGTTAATATTAAAGCATTTAGCAGATGAAATTGAATATCAACTCAAATATATGCAAAATGAGCTGTACTCTGATCTGTGTGCACAGTGTCTCAGTCGAACATGGAGTTGTTTTTACATTAATGCATGGTGAACCCTCACAGCCCCCCAATCACTTCACATATATTCAGTATGTGCTATATGATGGAGAAACTGGCCTTTGGGTCGGAGTTTGATCAGTGTGACCTGCAGGAGCGCAAAAACTTATGGGAAATGTTTTGTTTGTTTTTTTTTTAGTGATCCTAAGAACTTGTGCCACTTGTGGAAAGATCCAAGTACAACATCTGCAGTAGACAAAAATGCACCGAAATTAATCTAAAAGGAAAAACTTGATGCACTTACCTGTCTGTCCTAGAAAACTTGTAGGGTTACAAGAATCTGGCTTGTTTTTTTTTTCCTTCTGCTGGGTTTATACTGTAGTTTTCATTAGACGTCAAAGAAACTTTTCTGCTCACTTGCAATAGGAAACTCTAGGAGCTCAGAAGATTAAAAACTGTCCTGTTTTTGTGAAAATGAACTATGATGTAAATAATCTTAAATCTGTGAACTGGGTCAGTAAAATGGGCAGATTTTCCAACAGTCTTATTCTGGTGTTGTATGCTCCAAATGCCTCCTGGGGCATTTCCGATGGCAGAGGCAACAGTTTCTAACAATAAACTCTATAGAAGAGGGTTCTGAAAGATGCAGAGAAAACCCGACCAAGTGGCCATGTATGATGTGTTGGAGAGCCACGCTCAACATATACCTGGGAAATTGGTTATCAGGTTAAGATAGTCCTCTTTTAGTCTGATAAACCTTAAATAATCCAGTGCTAACGAAGAGTCGCTTAAATAGTATATTCCTTTATTTTGATGTTAATCCGGGGATAAATGCAGGTGATCTGTGGAGACCTCAGAGTTGGTCAGAGAACATTACATAAAAGACCTCATGACCTCATCAGATCAGGGTTACAGCTGAGTTTTTAAAACAATATTGCAAACTTTCACAGACCTGGATTCCTGTCGGTATGAAAAGCATGATGCCTTAGATCAATGGAGGGCTTTTGGTTCAACACACATGAACCAAGTAATTAGATGATGGATAACTGACTGCATACTGAGGAAATAATTCAGTGGCCATTTTATCCGGGTGTGTTGAACCAAGGCTGTATCTTTAAGTTGAAGGAAGTGGAATTGCCCACCCTTAGGTAGTGTCCTTCCAAATAATCTGTCCTTGGTGACTGCCATGTTTTGCTTGTAACGTGCTTTGATCCATTATGCATTTCTGCCTTACCATGCTGCCTTTGTTACATGAACTGACTTCCTCCTTTAAGCTCTCAGCAGAAAGCTTCGGTCAAAACTCTGAAACGGAAATGACTGTGCTAAAAAGCGCCAACAGTGCAGATTTACTGCTCATGTTTAGGTGGTCTCTGCTTGGCCCACCGTTCCTACAAGACCAGAAACATAGCTGTTAGATAACTCATGGAAAAGAGGTGTGTTGAAGATTAAAGATGCTGACAAGTAACTCGATTTTTTTCTCGACACTTTGATGATTGAAAAATAAAACCACTTACGAATCAAGTTATACTATGAGTGTTTCTCTGCTATTTTTGATCTTTTATATTAGCTTTTTCGTGCAAGGGTTCTGAAACCTCTGACGATGTTTATCAAATGCAAAGTATTTTCCTCACATATGTAATTGCAAAGTTCTAATTCAATTCAGTTTATTCATATAGCGCCAATTCACAACATGTAATCTCAAGGCACTTTACAGTTCACCAGATCATACAGTCAAAGTGATTCAAAGGTTTGTATCTAAGGAAAACCAGTTGATGTCATTGACTCAAATGCAATCCCTCACACTAAGCATGCTTGTAGCGACAGTGGAGAGGAAGAACTCCCCTTTAATAGGAAGAAACCTTCAGCAGAACCAGGCTCAATGTGAGCAACCATCTGCTGAGGCCGACTGGGGTTCAAAGTGACAGGAGCAGAGATAGAAAAAGTAACTGTAAAAGGCGGCACCGTCCAGAAAACACACAGCCAGGCAGACGAGCTCCGAGCCAGCTCCCATGTCAGATGATGAAGAGAGCACATTCAGAGAAACAGGACTACACTGAAAAACAGGCAGATCTCCAACATCTATAAACAAACGTGTTGATGGCAGCAGAACAGCTGATTTTTCTCTCCAGGATGGTAACCCAGGCTATATAGTCTATATATGGATATATATATCTATATATAGATATATATAAAGATGTGACTGTAAACTTACAGTTCTAACGTTTTCTATATACATACATTATATATATATATATATATATATATATATATATATATATATATATATATATATATATATATATATATATTTTTTTTTTTTTTTTTTTGTCTAGAGAGCTGTTCTTTTTTTTACTGAAACAGTAAAAAATACAGCTATAAAATAAATGAATAAAGTTTAAACAAGCTATGATCTACTTTTGAAGCTTTTTGGAAATTATTTTCGATAAATTCTCAATTTCAACATAACTCTTCTCTGATCTAGTACACATGATTTTTCAAATCTGTTCAAAATCTCATGTCCAGCATGCGTTTAGCATAATCTAGCAGTCAGTTTGTTGTTGTTCAGTCTAAATAATGAGGAATCTAAGACCTATTTTTCAGATATTATTGAAGGTTAAATGTTTCTATTTAGCAGCCAAAGCCTCCAACGTTATTAAATACATCTAGGAATAAGATGCATTACTGCATATTTAAATTTTTCTCTTTTTTTTCCCAAAAACTTAAAACTGAGAAACTCTTAATCTCTTTCAAGATTCTGGATTAGAAGTCATTTTTGCACACAGGTGCTTTTTCTGATGATGGACTTGCTGGAATCAAACGCCCCCTGGTGGTCAAGCTCTGCCAGTTTGTTTGGAAGGTTCAACACCAAGCAGTTCAGAAAAACAATTAAATATTATTACAATGCACCAACATGTTTTTGACAACACTCAGTTTTCTCCACATCCAATAAGGGATGTATTGTTGCTCCTAGAATAGCTGTGACCATTTGCTCACATGCAGAACACAGCTAACAAATAAATAATCGGACTTTACTCTGGTGTTTATTGATCTGACCTGTCAGATAAAGGAGAAGGTCTTTCCCAAACCAGTCTGTGATGAAGGTTCTGCTGTTTTAGGTGGTACATCGCATATTCTGAGAGAGTCTGCCCAGGGAAGCCCACCACAAGGGATGACAATAAGAAATAAATTATGAATAAATGTATCCTTCTGTAGCACATCTAGTAGGTTTACTGAAGAAAGAACATATTAAATGGATGTTGATGATGCTCCAGTCAATCTTATATTTGGTGCCAAAAATAATTCAGTAGTTTTTTTTTATCAAGTCTGGACTGAATTTCACCATCTGCAGTCAATGAAACCTTTACTCTATTTGTGAGACACACAATATGTTTTTAAATTATTTCTTGGCATAGAGAACCCCATAAAATTTTATAAAACATGAAAAGGACCAGTGTATTGACTGGTCAAACTTGGACTCATCTATGGATCATTTCACACTAACCTTTGATCAGTGTTTTTAGATCCTGATATGTTTATATAATGAAGACGCTCCAAGAACCACCACTGAACCCAGCTGCTGTGTCTCTGGTTAGAGGAGCCAAACCGGTGGACTGAGGAGGAAAGTGTGCTTCATGGAAGGAGGTGATATGCTCTGGGAAGCCAGATCAGTGATCCGTGATTTTTTCTTTTTAGAAACTCCTCCAAAACACACTTTTTTTTTGTTTTGTTTCCAATTTGTAGGTTTTACATAACTAAATGTACATAATATGTTCTTCTATCTATCCTGCATATCACAATCAAATCCTGACTCTTCTTTTTTTTAGGTATTTTCTTTTATTTTTACCACTCGTTTTGACTAAACTCTTCAATCGAGAGTCAAGTCAAAACAAATCTTGATTGAAGAGCTGTTTTTTTTATTTGATTAATCTATCTCTGTTACAGGGATATGTACCTAAAGCTTTTAAGGTTGCTGTAATTAAACCTCTGCTTAAGAAACCGTCTCTTGACCCAGATGACTTGATCAATTATAGACCTATATCCAATCCTCCTTTCTTATCCAAAATTCTTGAGAAAGTAGTTGCCAAACAAGTTTGCGATCACTTACACCATAATGAACTTTTTGAAGAGTTTCAGTCTGGCTTTAGAGCTCATCATAGCACTGAAACAGCTCTGGTGAAAGTCACTAATGATATTCTCATGGCCTCAGATAATGGACTTGTATCTGTGCTCGTCCTGTTGGATCTTAGTGCTGCATTTGATACAGTTGACCATAATATTCTTTTAGAAAGACTTGAATATTTTGTTGGAATTAAAGGAACAGCACTAGACTGGTTTAAATCTTATCTATCTGATCGAATTCAGTTTGTTCATGTTAATGATAGATCTTCAACACGCTCAAAGGTTACCTGTGGAGTACCACAGGGATCAGTGCTAGGACCAATTCTCTTTACTTTATACATGCTCCCAATTGGTAGAGTTATTAGACAGCATGGGATTAATTTCCACTGTTATGCTGATGATACCCAGCTATATCTGTCTATAAATCCAGATGAAGCTAACCCATTACATAGATTACAGGCATGTCTTGAAGACATAAAAACCTGGATGACTCTTAACTTTCTGCTTCTGAATGCAGATAAAACAGAAGTTATAGTCTTTGGACCAGAGTCTCTGAAAAAGAAACTGATTAGCCAGTCACTTCATTTGGATGGGATTAAACTGATTTCAGATAATAAAGTAAAAAATCTTGGTGTTATTTTTGATCAGGACCTGTCATTTAAATCCCATATCAAAGAGGTTTCTAGAATTTCCTTCTTTCATCTGAGGAACATTGCAAAAATTAGAAATATCCTGTCCAGGGGTGATGCTGAGAAACTAGTCCATGCATTTGTTACTTCAAGGCTGGACTATTGTAATTCTTTACTATCAGGAAGTCCACAAACTGTAGTTAAAAGCCTTCAGCTGATCCAAAATGCTGCAGCCAGAGTTCTGATGAAAATTAAAAAGAGAGATCAAATCTCGCCTATCCTGGCTTCTCTTCATTGGCTTCCTGTTAAATCAAGAATAGAATTTAAAATCCTCCTTCTCACATATAAAGCCTTAAATGGCCAAGCTCCATCTTATATCAGAGATCTGATTGTTCCTTATGTTCCTAACAGAGCACTTCGCTCTCAATCTGCAGGTTTACTAGTGGTTCCTAGAATTTCTAAAAGTAGAATGGGAGGCAGATCATTTAGTTATCAGGCTCCTCTCCTGTGGAACCAACTACCAGTTTTAGTCCGTGAGGCAGACACCCTGTCTACTTTTAAGGCTAGACTTAAAACTTTCCTTTTTGATAACGCTTATAGTTAGTGGCTCAGGTTATCCTGAGCTATCTCTATAGTTATGCTGCTATAGGCTTAGACTTCTGGAGGACATAGGGACCTCCATTTCATCATTCTGCTTCATTCTCTCTCTGTTCTCCTATTCTGCAGAATCTGTTAGTTCAATCTCTAACCTTCTGCTCTCTCTGCTTTTCCTCAGAGTAGCTTTGCCTCGTCTGTTCCTGTTTGGCTGTGACGTCATCCTGGAAAGAAACATCAGCTGTGCTGCTTCCATCAACACCCTTGTTTATAGATGTTGGAGATCGGCCTGTTTTCCAGTGTGGTCCTGTTTCTCTGACCGTGACTGGCTGGATGTGCTCTTTTCGTCCTCTGGCATGGGAGCTGCCTTGGAGCTTGTCTGCCTGGCTGTGTGTTTCCTGGACGGGCCCGCCTTTTACAGCTGCTTTTTGTATCTCTGCTTCTGTCTCCTTGAACCCCAGTCGGCCTCGGCAGATGGCCGCTCACACTGAGCCTGGTTCTGCTGGAGGTTTCTTCCTGTTAAAAGGGAGTTTTTCCTCTCCACTGTCGCTACAAGCATGCTTAGTGTGAGGGATTGTATTTGAGTCGATGCAATCAACTGGTTTTCCTTAGATAGAAAACTTTGTATCAATTTGACTGTATGATCTGGTTGAACTGTAAAGTGCCTTGAGATGACATGTGTTGTGAATTTGGCGCTATATAAATAAACTGAATTGAAATTGAATTGAAATTATTTATCATTTGAACTGTTTTAATTCAAAGAGACATTATTTTAAGTCAAACTGTGAGGAGCAACCCTAAAGGAGTACTTTGGGTATTCTTTACAGCTCAGTATGACAAAGAGATTGTGCTGGTATTAATACCTTTTCTTCCTGTTTGGGATTCTAATGCAGCAAAGTTCACCACAGCGTTCTGCGCTCCAATCATAGTACCTCCTGCAGAACTTTGGTCGGCCTTTGATGTTTACATAGGGAAAGGTGGATTTTTCGCTTAACATTCAGACAGAAACAGTCAAACCTCCCTGCTGCCATCTCAAACAAGCTCTGCACCGGATGCTACTGGTTCCCTTATTGAAATCCTGGTCCTTGTTCCCATTGATGTGCATCTTAGAGCCTTCTTTGCAGCACTTCTCACTCCTTAATGACTGATATGTTGTCGCCTGTTAAGCCTTTCTGAAGCAGAGCGACAACAACAGCACGTAGCCCTGACTAAAATAGACTAGTGATACCAGGCACCATTCCTTTGTAAAGAAACCATTCTTCTCTGCTAATTCGGTTAGGATGAGTGAGATCAGCTTCTCTGATTTGTCAAAAGATTCCAGCAAGTTAGCGGCAGACCTAAAACAGAGTTCTTGGTGATTAAGTTAGCTTTTACAAGTCTGTAAAGGAGAATTGATGTTATTAGATTAGTCATCAACCAGAGAGCAAAAGCAGCTGTGGATAAATGACTGACAAACCCATGATATGCCTTTAATGCTAAGCTGGAAATAGAATCTGTCTTTTTGCAAAATACCTCTTTTCTTACATTAGTATTTAATATTTCAGAAAATGTCAGGTTACCCTCATATGTAAGATATCAATCATAAAAATATTGTGACATATTCTTCTTTATTAACATCCAACCTCATTTTGATATAAAAAATATTTTTTTGAGTAAAATGTAGTGGCTTATAAAAACATGATGTTGAAATAAAAATGCTGAAGCTGAAAAATACCTCAGGATAAACTTAATATTTCTCATATTTATTTTTATTTGCTTTGCAACACCAACTGAAGTCATCATAGCTTCATTACAAACAACCAATATACATATTAAAAAGTATACAACCAAAAATGGCAGGAAATATAAAATTAGAACAACTCAAAGCTAAAATATTACTACAATGAACAACGCCTCACACATTCATTCCCAGCACGAATCTCACAGTGCTTCATTTACCTCTATTTACACTCATGAAGCTTCCAGCTTTGTGACACTTTACGCATAACATCAAAACTATTTAAATCTTTTAAAATGAAGATAATAAACATAAAACAAAAAGCTGAAGTTTAGTAGTGAATCTGTTTGTTTTTTTTAACTAGTGTTGCTAGTGATTAGTTTTTGATCCGACACAGTAGGGATGCATTTTTTCAAAGCAGATGAAAAGTTGAAGAAATATTTCGGCAGCAAAAATCTGATAGACTTTCTACGGAAGAGGATTAAGGCCACTGGAAAAAAAAAAAAAAAGTTAACTGATTTTCAAATTTTATTTCAGTTTAGTATGGTAAAAAAGTGAGAATTCTGAGTTTTTTCTCAGAATTCTGACTTTAATCTCAGAATTCAGATTTTTTTTCTCAGAATTCTGAATTTTTTCCCTCAGAATTCCGACTTTTTTCTCAGAATTCTGACTGAGTTCTGACAATAAAAAAGTCAGAATTCTGAGATTAAAGTTAGAATTCTCAGATTAAAGTCAGATTTCTGGAAAAAAAAGTCAGAATTCTGTCAGAATTTTGTCAGTCCACCTTTCCCCCCATACTAAACTGAAATAAAATTTTAAAATCAGTTAACTTTTTTTTTCTAGTGGCCCTAATTCTCCGATCCTTGCGATCAGGGTTTATTTTTGTGATTCTAAAGACATCTTAGCAGAAATATAAATGCTGTATTTATCAGATTTGTTGAAAGTCACATATATTTAATCCAGTTAGATTTTCTACATGAAGCTGAATGTTTTCCATGATATATCAGCCTTCACATGCAGCTAAATGATAGGCTAACGCTAGCATCTTAGCTCTGTTTTGATCGGACTCATTGATAATTCAGCTTTGGACACATTTAAGCTGGGCTCCAATTAATGGCTTCCAAACAAAACAGTTATTTTGAATGTAGGGGCTTTACTTTAGGCATTATTACCTGAATAAATGCAACCACATGCTTGAGATTTACAGCACAGATTTGGTCACTTGAAAAGAAAGAGTATTTCATTTGTAAAGGAAAACCATTGTGTATTTTAGCAAGCTGTCCACATTTATATCTGCTGTGAGTTTTAATGAATAACAGCAGAAGAAGAGCAGCTATAGGGAACTGGGTTTAGCTGGAGACTCTTTGGATCAGATCAGAACATGCCTACTCAGTAATAAGATACTCACCCACCAGTCACACAAATTCCCATTTGAAATTTATTCATTCATATGAGCTGTACTCTGAGGTGCCTTGTTTTTCTATAACAATAATCAATTTAAAATGATATGTAAACCATGATTGAATAATGCATGAACAAAGATACACATTCAAAGGCATGAGAAACCCTATAGAGTGATGGCTAAAATGTAAAGGTTAATAAGGATTTCCTTAAAGCCAGCAGAGGACAGCAAACACCAGAAATCACAATTTTCTGCCTTGATACAATCCTAAAACTTTTTGTTTTTTTTACATTTTAAACAAACTCTTAAAATAACATTCATAGAAATATTAATCCTCTTACAGTTAAAGCCTTACTTTACCCTAAAATAATCATAGTGGTAAATCTGGAATCTACTACAGTAGAAATGCGCTTCCATGTAGGAACCAGCGGGGGCAGGCCTGATCTGTGCTGAACATAGCATCAATTATAAGATTACACACTCCAGTATATCACAGCTGGGCCAGCTCGGCAGGAAGCAGCGCTTCTTCTGTAATCTGTAATCTGTGTAGGCGCCGTCCTTCCGCTTGCCCCTCCGCCCACGCCAGATAAAAAAAAAAAAACAACAACAACAGTAGTCTCCTGCTACAGCTGTTCTGTCAGGCTGAAGGGGCCGTAAACTAGAGTCCCAGACAGCTGGATTGACCTTCTTTTGAAAACACACCTACAGTAACAACAAATGATATAATTTTTCCCAATATGTCCGACATAACGGTGTGTTAATGAGTTGTACCCACAGCATAACATAGAAAAGTTGTGATAAAACAATCATTAAACAGCTAAAGCCAGCAGATCATGCTCTGTACCTTTCACTATTAAGCTTAGGAATCAGTGGAGCTCGGATTTTTTGGCAATTCTTTTAAATAAGTAAAAAAGAAAAAAACATTAAGAAAGCTGTGTGTTTTAAATAAAGATGGCACTTATTTCAGGCTTATGTTTTCTGCTCTTCCATCTAAAGTGCATTAACCAGATGCTATAAGGAGGCACGGTTATTTGTACTAATCCATTCAGGAGGTGCTTACAGCTCTTCTGTAACGTAACAACCACAGCTGCTCTCTGACTTTGACACAGTTAGCAACGTTCCACTCCTCGCTGCCTCTAACACCTTCCCCGTCGCTGCTTCAGTTCAATGCAAATCTGAGCTCTCCTTCTCATCCAAATTAAAAACTAAACTCCACATTTCATGTTAAGGCTTAAATAAAAGAACAGATTGGTGACGGCTTTACAGGAGGTCTCCGTCTCAGAACTCGTCATCAGAGCTGAGCAGCAGGGTTTTCTCGTTGTCGCCCCGTGCGCTGACGTTACTGTGGCTGCGGGACAGGGACTGCCCCCCGCCTCGCTCCAGCGTGGACTGCTGAGTGTACTGCTGGTAGGCCGGTGAGAAGTTATGGATGGCGTCCTGAACCATGTCCCCTGGATTCATGGTTTCCTTAAGGCTGCTGGAGATGCTCTTCATCGGAGCGCAGCGACCTGCATGCGGGACGGCAAGGTTGGAAGATTAATGATGGAACAACTGGAAAAAATATACAGGGAGAGAGATGGAAGGGCTGGAGGGGGATGAAAGAGACTTTTAAATGAAAACAGGAAAAAATGATTTAAAAATAATACTATAAAGTAGAGTCCTGCACCGGGTCGGGTACCCGTATAAATGTATATCTATGGGTAGAAAAAACCTGTATTATTTCATTGGTGCGGGCATAGCTATCATAGAGTTACATCATGAATGAAACTTATTCATATTTTCTTATTTATTAACTCTACATCTTAAAAATAAATTGATTCAAGAATATCCAGATAACAGTAATTTTTAAGCAACAAGGCAAACCTTCTTTCTTCGGCCAACTTACAGCTGTTAATCTGTAAGTGCAGTATGCACTGGATGCTAGTGTGAGGCTATGTTCTTTACTTCCCTGTTATTATAAATGGCTGTGTGTACACTTTGTGATCACAGGTTGGGTCACACTTTATTATTTACGGTCCCTTGCGGTCCCGACCGGGTTTTAAATGGGGATAATCAGGGTTAACAGGTCGGGTCTTGTTTCTGAACTCTGGATGCCGGCGAATACAGTTTTGAAAAATCAGACTCATGCAGGACTCTGCTTTGAAGGATAAATTAATAAAAATGGGTCAAAGTGATAAATAAATCCAGTATATGTAAACAAAAACAAAAAAAGCAGATTAAAATTTCTTAAAGATGTTTTACAATTAAAATCTGTAGTTTTGTTGAATATATTAAATCTACATGTCAGGAAAAGTTCCTGGTGCTTTTATTTGGTTATTTAAGAGTATTTCTGAAGACCTAATATCATAGTGGAAAAGACCTGCAGAACGCTGCACCATTATCACTATAATTCTATCTCAACCAGACATTTTAAAGTTTTTAATGTTTGTTAAGAAATGTGAAATGTTTACTAACTTTGGTTCAGTTCGGCACTCCAACCTTTCACGTTACTTTCTTCAGAAAGACCTGAACACACTACAGCAGGACTAAAGGGGTAATAAGGGAATACTCTTAGGGTTGCTGCGGCTAATCTTCATAGGACCTCTTCAGATCATACTTTGAGTCTGTGATCTACTCTGGTTCTAAACGTCTCATCATCTGAAAGCTGTCGACAGAACGAGGGATCAGAGATCTTCTACCTCTCATCCAGGTAGATGCTGAACCATAATGACCTTCAGCAAAGGCAGAAACATGGAACCAATGAGGAGTCGTGAACCTCTGATCCTACAAGTGTCTTTCTAATGTTGGAAATCTGTCGATTAACAGCTTCTGATGCAAATATAAAGTATTTATCTTTTTTCTTTCATCAAGGTGAAGTTAACACTGAATATGTACCTTTGCTTTAAAACACAATACATACTAACTAAACTTGGTAGTAGTAGTAAAGTAGTACTTTGTGTCACTTTATGAATGACAAAGTTGGCTGCTAAAACTAAATTAGGCAATAAAAAACTATTTGGATAACAATCCCATAAACCATTTTAGCAGCTGAATAAACTCTGTTTATGGCTGCCAGGAAAAAAAAAGATTTTGTTTGACCTTTTAAATTTAGAAACCACTTTTTATTCTTAATTTCTAGATTTCAGCTAGAATAAAAAAGACATCCAGTCATATAAAAAAATATTTTAACAGAATTACCATTTATTAATATTTTTAAGAGCTAATGAGAAATAAAAATAATTTTAAATAGTGTAAACTAAAAGAAAATATAGCATGGAAACATTAAAATATGCCAAACAAGCTTTTTAAATTGTTGTATTTCAAACACTTGAGATGAGCAGAATTTTAATTCCTTTAACATAAAATTTGTAGTTTTGGAGCCTTTCATCTAAACAATTTTCTTGTTAAACTGAGAGGGGGAAAAAAACTCATATTTACTCATATTTAAATATCTGCAGATCCTGAGACTTTTCCAATACCAGAGCTCTGTTTGCTTTAGTGTTTTTTTATTTAAGAGGCTGTTATAATTATTTAATTTCCCATTGGGATAAGTAAAAAAAATTATGAACTGAATTAGCTCCTCTCTACAAGCAAGCATAATAGTAACAGGAGTATCTCAAAAGGGAGTCATAAAACCAGTATGTCAAGAGGACAAACTCCATTCTGGGAACTGATATGTAACTCTATATCTAATAAATTAATGACCGAGTCCTATAAAGGGGTAAACTTTCCTAAAGTTTGGAAGATTTTTTACCCTGAATTTAATTCATTATAGAAACAGAATGAATAGATATGCCGCTATGGATCAAGTCCACTTTCAATGATGCTCAATCTGGAATATCCTTCAATATCAGGACCAATGCTGATATTGCTTTGGGATCTGTGCATCTCTGACTTAACTAAATCGTGCAAACAGAAATTAAACAAGAGCTAAAACAGATTTTAAATGATAAGAAATAATATCACAGAATATTGAGACGAGCCACCAAAGCAATAGATCACTAAATACAATAGAATCAGCCTTCTGACACACAACGGGGGGGTAAAGAAGAAAGAGAGCCGACGTTGGTCCTACCGTATTGTCCGTAGATTGGAAAGGAGCCTTTAGGTGCAGCAGAAGAAGAAAGTCAGGAGGAAAATAAAGGCAGAGCAGAAGGAGAGAGAACAGCCAGTGTTATTAGTTGACTGAGTTATAGACAGGAATCAAAGAGGAGGGAGGGACGGACAAAGAGAGGTTAGATCCTTCCAGAAACACTCAGACTGTATCAGGAACAGAAGAGCTTTGTCCAAACTACAGACGGCGTCGCCTACCGTAGGAGTCCAGCCGTTTGTCCATGTAGACCTTGTAGGTAAAGGCGTGGCGCAGCGCCACAGCAGCGAAGAACATCTCGATGCAGATGATGAAGTTCTGGTATCCGGCCGCCACCGTTCCTTCTCCCACTGAGAAATCGGCAGAGTTGATCTGAGGAATGGCGCCGCATTTCTCCAGGATGGCCAGAAGCATCCCTGCATCAAATCATCATCCAACAGAGGCCAGTTAGTTTCAGGTGGGATTTAAAAAAGCCTGATCTCATTGGTTAACACACATTGTCGTAGGAATACATGCTGTCAGTTTGGACTTTGAATGATCTTTTTTAATGCTTTTTTCATCCAGTGTTTTCCGAGTATTTATACAAAATTAAACTGTTGTGAATTTTCAAGCTTCAGTCATATTAACTACTGACCAGAATATAGGGTGACCCTGATTATAAGACGATCCCGTCTTACAAGGACCAGTTTTTAGGATTTCGTTTGTTTAAAGAAAACTATTTTATTTTGAAGTGGTAGGAATTTAATTTAAATAATATTGCATTGATAGATTTGTCCTCTCCTTGGGCTGCCACCTTATCGTGGTGGAGAGGTTTGAGTGTCCCAATGATCCTGGGAGCTATGCTGTCTGGGGCTTTATGCCCCTGGTAGGGTCACCCAAGGCAGACAGGTCCTAGGTGAGGAACCAGACAAAGCGCGGCCCAAAGACCCCTATGATGAGCAAAATATTTGGATTCAGCGTTCCCTCGCCCGGACGCGGGTCACCGGGGCCCCACTCTGGAGCCAGGCCTGGTGGGGGGGCACGATGGCGAGCGCCTGGTGGCCGGGCTTTTACCCATGGGGCCCGGCCGGGCTCAGCCCGAAGAGGAAACATGGGTCCCCCCTTACATGGGCCCACCACCCGTGAGAGGGGCCACAGGGGTCGGGTGCAATGTGCGTTGGGTGGCGGCCGGGGGAGGGGACCCTGGCGGTCCGATCCTCGGCTGCAGAAGCTGGCTCTTGGGACGTGGAATGTCACCTCGCTGGTGGGGAAAGAGTCGGAGCTAGTGTGTGAGGCTGAGAGGTTCCGGCTAGAAATAGTCGGTCTCACCTCAACACATGGTTCTGGTTCTGGAACCAGTCTCCTTGAGAGGGGCTGGACATACTTCCACTCTGGAGTTGCCCACGGTGAGAGGCGCCGGGCAGGAGTGGGCATACTTGTTGCCCCCCATCTCGGTGCCTGTACGTTGGGGTTTACCCCGGTGAACGAGAGGGTAGCCTCCCTCCGCCTACGGGTGGGGGGACGGGTTCTGACTGTTGTCTGTGCTTACGGGCCGAACAACAGTTCAGATTACCCACCCTTCTTGGAGTCCTTAGAGGGGGGTACTGGAGGGTGCCCCTCCTGGGGATTCTCTTGTTCTGCTGGGAGACTTCAACGCTCACGTGGGCAATGACAGTGAGACCTGGAGGGGCGTGGTTGGGAGGAATGGCCGCCCTGATCTGAACTCGAGTGGTGTTCTGTTGTTGGACTTCTGTGCTCGTCATGGATTGTCCATAACGAACACCATGTTCAGGCATAAGGGTGTCCATATGTGCACATGGCACCAGGACACCCTAGGCCGCAGTTCGATGATCGACTTTGTCATCGTTTCATCGGACTTGCGGCCGTATGTCTTGGACACTCGGGTGAAGAGAGGTGCTGAGCTTTCCACTGACCACTACCTGGTGGTGAATTGGCTCCGGTGGTGGGGGAGGATGCCGGTCAGACCTGGCAGGCCCAAACGTGTTGTGAGGGTCTGCTGGGAACGTCTGGCGGAGTCCCCTGTTAGGCGGAGCTTTAACTCCCATCTCCGGCAGAACTTTGAACACATCCCGGGGGAGGTGGGGGACATTGAGTCCGAGTGGACCATGTTCCTTTCCTCCATTGTCGAGGCAGCTTATCTGAGCTGCGGCCGCAAGGTTGTCGGTGCCTGTCGTGGCGGCAACCCTCGAACCCGTTGGTGGACACCTCCGGTGAGGGATGCTGTCAGGTTGAAGAAGGAGGCCTATCGGGCCTTTTTGGCCTGTGGGACTCCGGAATCAGCTGATGGGTACCGGCGGGCGAAGCGGCATGCGGCTCGGATGGTTGCTGAGGCAAAAACTCGGGTGTGGGAGGAGTTTGGAGAGGCCATGGAGAAAGACTTCCGTACGGCTCCGAAGCGATTCTGGTCCGCCATCCGGCGTCTGGGGAGGGGGAAGCAGTGCAGCACCAACACTGTTTATAGTGGGGATGGTGTGCTGCTGACTTCGACTCGGGACGTTGTGGGTCGGTGGGCGGAATACTTCGAAGACCTCCTCAATCCCACCAACATGTCTTCCATTGAGGAAGCTGGGCCTGGGGACTCTGGACTGGGCTCTCCAATCTCTGTGGGCGAGGTCGCCGAGGTGGTTAAAAAGCTCCTCGGTGGCAGGGCCCCGGGGGTGGATGAGATCCGCCCGGAGTTCCTCAAGGTCCTGGATGTTGTAGGGTTGTGTTGGCTGACACGACTCTTCAACATTGCATGGACATCAGGGGCAGTCCCCCTGGATTGGCAGACTGGGGTGGTGGTCCCCCTGTTCAAAAAGGGGGACCGGAGGGTGTGCTCCAATTACAGGGGAGTCACACTCTTAAGCCTCCCCGGCAAGGTCTATTCGGGGGTGCTGGAGAGGAGGGTCCGTCGGATAGTCGAACCTCGGATTCAGGAAGAGCAGTGTGGTTTCCGTGGAACGCTGGACCAGCTCTACACCCTCAGCAGGGTCCTGGAGGGTGCATGGGAGTTCGCCCAACCAGTCTACATGTGCTTTGTGGACTTGGAGAAGGCGTTCGACCGTGTCCCTCGGGGGGCCCTGTGGGGGGTTCTCCGGGAATACGGGGTGCCAGGCCCTTTGATACGGGCTGTCAGGTCCCTGTATGACCGGTGTCAGAGTCTGGTCCGCATTGCCGGCAGTAAGTCGGGCTCATTTCCAGTGAGAGTTGGACTCCGCCAGGGCTGCCCTTTGTCACCGATTCTGTTCATTACCTTCATGGACAGAATTTCTAGGCGCAGCCAAGGTGTTGAGGGGATCCGTTTTGGTGGCCTTAGGATTGCGTCTCTGCTTTTTGCAGATGATGTGGTCCTATTGGCTTCATCAGGTAGTGATCTGCAGCTCTCGCTGGATCGGTTCGCAGCCGAGTGTGAAGCGGCCGGGATGGGGATCAGTGCCTCCAAATCCGAGGCCATGGTCTTGAGCCGGAAAAGGGTAGAGTGCCTTCTCCGGGTCAGGGGGGGTGTCCTGCCCCAAGTGGAGGAGTTTAAATATCTTGGGATCTTGTTCACGAATGAGGGAAGAAGGGAGCGGGAGACCGACAGGCGGATTGGTGCAGCGTCTGCCGTGAAGCGGGCGCTGTACCGGTCCGTCGTGGTGAAGAGAGAGCTGAGTCAAAAAGCGAAGCTCTCGATTTACCGGTCGATCTAGGTTCCTACCCTCATCTATGGTCATGAACTCTGGGTCATGACCGAAAGAACGAGATCGCGGATACAAGCGGCCGAATTGGGTTTCCTCCGTAGGGTGGCTGGGCTCTCCCTTAGAGATAGGGTGAGAAGCTCGGTCATCCGGGAGGGACTCGGAGTAGAGCCGCTGCTCCTCCACGTCGAGAGGAGCCAGTTGAGGTGGCTTGGGCATCTGTTTAGGATGCCTCCTGGACGCCTCCCTGGTGAGGTGTTCCGGGCACGTCCCACCGGGGGGAGGCCCCGGGGAAGACCCAGGACACACTGGAGAGACTATGTTTCTCGGCTGGCCTGGGAACGCCTTGGGGTTCCTCCTGAAGAGCTGGAAGAAGTGGCTGGGGAGAGGGAAGTCTGGGCCTCCCTTCTTAAGCTGCTGCCCCCGCGACCCGACCCCGGATAAGCGGAGGAAGATGGATGGATGGATGGATGGATGGATGATAGATTTGTGCAATTAAACGATAAAAAGTGAAAAGAAAAAAAACACAGTAATAACCAGTGTTGTATAAAGTACTGAAATTTCGGAGTCAAGTTAAAGTATAAGTACCTCTCCAAAATTTGACTTTGGTAAAAGTCCAAGTCACTGACTGAAATGTTACTTGAGTATAAGAATTACTGTAAAAATAGATGTACTCAAGTAATGTAGTAAAAAGCATAAGTAAAAGGTAAGTGCAGTTTGAATTACATTTTTTTTTACATTTTGGTACACTTTGAAGGTTAAATTCACCTAAAATAATATAAACAACCAAGTGTAGGATAAATTTAGACTGGCTTTGCCAAACAGGCATTTCCTATTGGTGTTGATGAACAAGCCCAGGCAAGACCCCACTTTGTAGTCACACTTGCGTTTCTCTCGCTCTCTCGCTCGTTTTCGCTTTTTTTACTTAGTAACTAAACCAAACATTGAAAATGTATCGGAGTAAAAGTATGCAATTAAGTTCGTAAATGTAGTGAAGTAAAAGTGAAAGTTCTCAAAAAAAATGTATACTCTTGGAAAGTATAAAGTACTCCAAAATATACTTAAGTACAGTAGTGAAATATTTTTACTCTGTTACTATACAACACTGGTAATAACATTTAGTTGAAATCTTGGAATACTTCAACTGGAATGTAATCTGACTCACTCACAGAACGTCTCTAAAACCTGTGTGCTTTTCCTCACAGACATCATCTGCCTCGCCGTCACTCCTACTCTCACCCTGAACTCTGCAATTTTTTATAGCTTTTCTTTAGCTGTTCGCATCTTTCTGGTCTTTTTGAACGTGTCATTGCACTCTGTAACTTAAAATTTCTCTGCTGCCTGACTGTTGTTTGGTGCCTCCGCTGCGTTGACCACCATTATTTTAAAATTGCCGTAACTCAACCTCAAACGTCTTTAAACTTGTCTGACCTGTGATCCACTCCATTCTGGGCAGCGACTCCGCATTTGTAGCATCTTTGTCACTTCTCTGTTGTGACAGAAAGATGACCCCAGCCACAGTGAGGTCACTGGCTTTACTAAAAACTGGCAACCTCTCCTGTTGTGTTCGTGTAGCGAACCCCAGACAACTGTCACACTGTATAATTGGTTAGATCCTTATAATAAGATGACCACACATTTTCACATTGTTTTCAATGAAAAAAAAAAAGTCTTATATTCAGGCCGATACGGTAGTTTGAATTTATCAGGGATTTTCTCTCATCAGTTTAGCTTCAAAATGACTGATATATTCCAAATATTTACCTCCCAACCATAACGGCAGATCAGAGTGTTTCACTGAAGGCTTCATGAGGCCTCAGTCTAATGAGACTAAAACACTGATTACTGTGAAGGGCTGAACTGTCCAACAACAGGAGGCTAAAGAATTGGCTGAATACAACCAAGGTGGACTGGAAAGCGAGGGATTCCCTAGAATTAGACGCCTATGAACCGAGAGAGCGAGAGTTTTGGAACCTAAATGGAAGCTTTAAACTTTGTTACTACATTCATGAATAAACCGACAGCCTTCGTTTTAGGATCAGACAAAAAAATAAACAACTAAAAAATTTGGCTGACATGAAAAGAACCATGTTTAGAGAGGTGAAAGTGAGGCTTTCAAACCACAAAACACTAAACTAGCAGTTAAGCAGGTGGTGGCAGAATCATGCTGGGGTACTAGAGAACAAATTGACAAAACTAGTTAATCTAACAGGACAATGAACCCAAACAGGCCTTTAAGTTTGTATGGCATGGATAAAGTGGGCTAACATTAAGCCCTGAACTTAATCCTAAAGTCACAAGTAAAGATAAAACAAATCATACTTGTACATTTTTTTTTAATCATGTAATTTTTCCACCTTAAAAAAACAAAAAACAAAGAACAAATCGCTGCTTAAAAAAAAAAAACTACTAAAAAAACTGTATTAATTTAAATCCAATCAATACAAAAGATGAGTTGTAAAAACTTTTGATTATGGTTGAATCCTTTTAAACACATAATTAATGAATGATTGAAATCCTGAACATTTCTGATGTTGGCCAAACAAAGAGTGCTTTGTTTATGCATTTACCTTCCTTTACCTACATTGAAACTCTTTAACTAATGCATTCATTTAACTTTATTATTGGTGTCTCAGGCCTATTGTATTTTTTATTAACAGAACACCTTTAAAGTCCTTTTCTGTTTCAGTTTATTTGAAGGAAAATAAACTTAGAATTAAATCAATCAGAACTCAGTGACACGAAGAACTTAAAAACTTGCAAAAAGTAAACTTGCAAATTGATAAACATTTAATGAAATTGTTATTATTAGATATAAATTTAATAGAAAGACTTGGATCAATATCCATTTTGCTGCCTTTACAAATTTTTATCAATATTATATCAGCTATATATACATTTTACCTTTTCTGTCATATAGGTTAAACAAGCTAACAGGGTTTAGCGTTCTCACCCTGCCAGAAGGAGAGGAAGATGACAGACTTCACCATGAAGAACTTGAGCACGGGGTTGTAAGGGACCAGCAGCTCACGCGTGGCAAAGTAAAAGAGGAAAAGCGCGTAGAGCGACAAACTGACAGAGATGTTATAGATGATGGTGACGTACAGATAGCCGCTGGCCACACTGGAGAGGACAGAGAAAATAAAGTTTAGTAACCATTAGGAAATAAACACAGGGATAACCAGTAGTGGACCTGGTTAAAGGCATGAAGCATAAAATATTCAATTAAATTTAATTCAGTTTATTTCTATAGCGTCAATTCACAACACATGTCATCTTAAGGCCCTTTACAGTTCAACCAGATCTCCAGTCAAACTGTTTAAAAGTTTTCTAAAGGAAAACCAGTTGATTGCATCGACTCATTGACTTGAAAGCAATCCCTCAAACCAAGCATGCTTGTAGTGACAGTGGAGAGAAAATAATAATATAATTTTATCCAAACATTCTGATGTTGAGAAACTTTTGTATACAGAAAACATTGCGGTTAGACTCTTACTTGAAGTCTCCATCTTTGTATTTCCCAAAGGCCTGAAGGATGACGGTGATGACCGCCATCAGAGGTTTAACCACACAGAACTGGAGCGTAGCCTGAGGACGCAGAGGATGATGGTTTAGAGAAGGCTAATGCAAGAATGTTATTACATACATTTATATGACAGATGTAAGCCAGCTAGGGATTGGATGGCCAACTTCTAAATGCACCCCAAGGGACATTTAATTAAAAAAATTCCCCCCATCCCTCTTTTGGGGATGGGGGGAATTTTGTAGTAGGACCTATGAACATATGTGGCTATACTGAGATTAAATCACTGTCGTTGAATACTTACTTACAAATCTGCAGTTTAAAAGTATTTAAAAAATGAATTTATCATCAAATAAAAACAGATTTTTTATCACTGTGTGCAGTGAAATGAGCACAGGTGAACGATTTGACTTGTAAACGACTTCATCGCTTTTTTTCACAGTTGATCAGGCAGTTGGGTTAAAGTCAGAGGAAGCAAAAAAAGGGTTAGCAACATTTTAAAGGGTAAATTATTCGGTAAATTCAGGCTGCTACAGCAGATAGCTGGACTTCGCCAGCTGCTGATCTTCATGCGCTAAATAATAATTGGTACGAAGCAGCAACCTGACCTGAACCCGTCTAGAAAAGATACTAAGGAAGGTAAATAACCAGTTTAAGCATATTATATAGATTTATTTGAATGATAATAATGTTTGCTGACATCAGAATATCCAAAACGATTTAATATTAAATTAATTCAATAAGAAAGTCTGCAATCAATATGATCTGATATTATCAAACACAATCATATCAGCGCACAGAAATGTAGTTTATTAAAAACAATCAAAATGGATCAGCTGTTCACATTCTGACACAGCATGGCTGAAGCTACCCATCCAAAAGATAAAAACACGGATCAATAGTGCGATTTGCATGAATGTAATCAAAATCTTTATATCAATATGGATCGACGTGTTGCTACACACTGAGAGGGTTCAGGAAGGCTGAACGTCTAGAGGTGTTTTATTTCTCTCTTTTAAACTTTAAACCTACAGTACAGCTGTTATGGAAGCTGCTGAATTTAATCTGACGTCTAAATAAAAAGGAAAGAGTTTCTTTCCTTCTCAGATGGGAACAAGTTGTTACTTTTCAGGTCCAAAATTAGACTAAAGTCTTTATAGTGTAGACTTTAGAGAAGACTAACAGGTCCAAGTCATTAAAACGTCTTCCCTGAAACATTAATGATGATAAATATTTTATATTCTTACTGTCGGTATTTTGGTTGGTAAACTTTGACTTTAGTGTATGAATTAAGTAATTTCGAGTAAAGAGTCTTAAGTCCAGCTTAACAGACAAGTTATTAATATTTAATTGAAAACCGAGTCGTAACCCTCTTCTAATAGGATAGAATCTCCTTTTCTATTTAAAACTAATAAAATAATCCTCATGGCAGAAGGGCAAGAAAAACATTTCTTATTCCATTAATTATGTCTCTGTAGAAGGAACTGGGAGTGTTCATCTTTTAAATAAACAATGAATCAAATCTTTTTTTAAACAGTACAATAATCAGATTGTCACAGAGCTGAAGGTAAATGCATGCAGCAGGAAAAAGCAGGAGGATTTATACCTGTTTGCAAAACCTGAGGAAACCGATGGAGTAGGCCTTCCCCCACAGACAGCAGGTTCCATACATGCAGCTGGATCTACAGGAAGGCAACACAGGCGCAGCGAACATTTCTTAAGAATCTGGGTCATCGCCATGGAAAATAAGTGAAGCCGATAGTAAAGATTAAAACTGCAGCTCAGCTGGCAGCCTGGGAAACTTACTCGATGGGTTTTCCTCGAATTTCAGCCATGATGGCGCTTTCTCCACCCAGATATTCATAACACAAACTAAGAAAGTTGTAGATGACAAAAGCTGAAAAGGGAACAAATACAGGAAAAAGGTTTAGCTTTTATTCTCTGGAAAATAAAGCAAAGCTTCATCTTAAAACAACGACACATCTAAAACAAATTACACTGTTTTATATGAATAGATAAACTAATTCCTAAAAAACACTCAGACGTTAGGCAGCTATAGCAGAAGCATTACTCAGTTGTGAGATCTTCACAGTGCCTGACACGTGTCTCCTAATTACAGCTCTGTTTTGCTGATTCTGCCAGATTCAGGCAGAGAAATGAATCACAGCCATCTGCTGGTTAATACTAAAACACCGGGCTCCAACGTGGCGGTGGATCAGCAGGGTGAGAGGGAACCTCTGGGAACACGTTCGAGGAAAACAAACTCCTGGGACAGCTTCTGTTCGTGGAATGCTGCCACTAATAGAGATACGAGCCTGATGTCATGGTTGGGTCTGTTAAGACGCCATATTGTTCTCCTGCTTAGTCCCAGTGGTCTTTTGCAGGCATGGATTTTAACATCAACATCAAATTGTTAGGCTAGAACCACAAATAATGATGTAACTGCCACTTTTTGTTAAAGTGAGGATCAGATTGATATGCAGGCTTTATGTCGTATCAAATAAGAATCAAAAATGTCTGTGGTTATACTGTGAGAAAATGCTTAAAGGGTGTGAATAATTTTGAAAACTTCAAGATTTGAACAAATCAAAGACCAAGGAGTGAGAATCTGGACATATTTAAGGCCTAAAATTAAGATGAGAAAGCAGCTTTTTAACGACGTCTTTAAAAATCTGCAAAGAAATGAAAGTATTAATCAATTCATTGAGTTAGCAGACAGTTTCATCTGCTGCCCCACAGATGCCAGCTCCACTCTGCCTGCACTCTGCGTTTTATTTTAGTGTCTAAGGTGGCTGAGTTTGAATCTGCAGCCAGAGTTCAGTCAGCAGCACAGTGCTGGCTTTGTTAGAGTTGCATAATCACAGATGCTGTGTTTTTCCCTCTAAAATGAACTTGCGCCTTGTCGCTTGACAGGGCCAAGCATTCCATGAAAGGAAAACATTGTTCATGGAAACCTCTAGGAGAAAACAAACAAGAAGAATTATTTCAATAGAGCATAAAGCAGCAAATAGTCATTCGTTTACATTATTACGAGGTTGTAAATACATTTTAAATGCTTCACTGTGCACATAAAAAAGTAAGCTGTTACGTTTCTTTTATTGGAATCAGATTTTTTGGTATTTCCAGATATATGAAGTAAAGATTTGATCTCCATTTCTTCTTAGTGTTTGCACGTTTTCCTTTCATCTGACCTGGTCCTGTTTTTGGTTTGAAAATGTTCTGACTCTGAAAACACAGAAATATCTAAGACACAGTCAGCTCTGAAGTCACAGCATATAAAAATGAAACACTGCTTAAAGCAGTTTGGAAGAGGCCCGTTCCAAAGACGGCAGCTGATGTTTCTGGGACAGTTTATATGTTTTTAAAGGGAATGCAATATACAGAGAAATACATTAAGCAACGTATTCACTTTATCACATCAGATCAGGATCAGATCAGGCAGCTTCTAAGTTCATCTAAACGTATAGTTCTGCAGTTATTTCAAACGATGCAAATGGTAACCAGCGTACAGATACCACACTGAAAAAAATCAATGTTTTAAGATCCTTTCACGTTAACCAAACAGCTAAAGCAGCATAACACAGCTCAATACAGCATAATGAGCCAACTGTAACTATTCCAGACCCCTTCAGCAGTTCGTGTCAGAACAGTGATTCCAATAAAACCGCGCTGATGTTGAACAGTGCTTGGAAAACTGGTCCTGCACTGCAAAGCTGATCTGAAGAAAAGTAGTAATTTCTTGTAAATAAGACATTTGCCCTCCATTTTAGCAGGTTTGCCAGTGGAATAACAGTACTTAAAATAAGATAGTGAACTATAACTAAAACAAATAATATCCCGTAGCATATCATTTGACTTACCTACTCAAATCAAGTTTGAAAACCCTTATTTTAACTAAATTCTACTTACATTTAGTTCACTTTGTGCATTGAAACCCTTAGATTTGTATAATTTTTGCCGAACTACCACCTCATGCTTTGATACAGTGGGGCAAAAAAGTATTTAGTCAGCCACCAATAGTGCTTCTCCCATTTAAAAAGATGAGAGGCCGGTAATTTTCATCATAGATAAACCTAAACTATGAGAGACAAAATGAGGAAAAAAAATCCAGAAAATCACATTGTCTGATTTTTAAAGAATTTATTTGCAAAATATGGTGAAAAATAAGTATTTGGTCAGTTACAAACAAGCAAGATTTCTAGCTCTCACAGACCTGTAACTTCTTCTGTAAGAGGCTCCTCTGTCCTCCACTCGTTACTTTCATTAACGGCACCTGTTTGAACCCGTTATCAGTATAAAAGACACCTGTCCACAACCTCAAACAGTCACACTCTAAACTCCACCATGGCCAAAACTAGAGAGCTGTCAAAGGACACCCGAAAACAAAATTATAAAACTGCACCAGGCTGGGAAGTCTGAATCTGCAATAGGTAAACAGCTTGGTGTGAAGAAATCAACTGTGGGATCAATTATTAGAAAATGGAAAAGATACAAGACCACTGATAATCTTCCTCGATCTGGGGCTCCACGCAAGATCTCACCCTGTGGGGTCAAAATGATGACAAGAAGGGTAAGTAAAAATCCCAGAACCACACGGGGGGACCTAGTGAATGACCTGCAGAGAGCTGGGACCAAAGTAACAAAGGCTACCATCAGTAACACACTACGCCGCCAGGGACTCAAATCCTGCAGTGCCAGACGTGTCCCCCTGCTTAAGCCAGTACATGTCAAGGCCCGTCTCAAGTTTGCTAGAGAGCATTTGGATGATCCAGACGATGACTGGGAGAATATCATATGGTCAGATGAAACCAAAATAGAACTTTTTGGTAAAAACTCTACTCGTCGTGTTTGGAGGAGAGAGAATGCTGAGTTGCATCCAAAGAACACCATACCTACAGTGAAGCATGGGGGTGGAAACATGATGCTTTGGGGCTGTTTAGCCATGTATCGTCATATTTTGAGTGAAAACCTCCTTCCATCAGCAAGGGCATTGAAGATGAAACGTGGCTGGGTCTTTCAGCATGACAATGATCCCAAACACACCGCCCGGCTAACGAAGGAGTGGCTTCGTAAGAAGCATTTCAAGGTCCTGGAGTGGCCTAGCCAGTCTCCAGATCTCAACCCCATAGAAAATCTTTGGAGGGAGTTGAAAGTCCGTGTTGCCCAGCGACAGCCCCAGAACATCACTGCTCTAGAGGAGATCTGCATGGAGGAATGGGCCAAAATACCAGCAACAGTGTGTGAAAACCTTGTGAAGACTTACAGAAAACGTTTGATCTCTGTCATTGCCAACAAAGGGTATATAACAAAGTATTGAGATGAACTTTTGTTATTGACCAAATACTTATTTTCCACCATATTTAGCAAATAAATTCTTTAAAAATCAGACAATGTGATTTTCTGGATTTTTTTGAGGTTTATCTATGATGAAAATTACCGGCCTCTCTCATCTTTTTAAGTGGGAGAACTTGCACTATTGGTGGCTGACTAAATACTTTTTTGCCCCACTGTATAATCTGTTTCAGTTCCACTGTGTGTTAAATGATAGAGGATGGGAAACATTCCAGGGTTCTCAACATTTCCTTCAATTAAAACTCAAAAGTGTGATGTTAATTTCTATCCTTTTTTGATCTGATACTCTAGGTTAAAAGATAGTGGGTCATGAAGGTCTGGGTTAGGCTGTGCCTTACTATCCCAAACTGTAGACATCATACAAGGCACTATTTAATCCAAACTGCAAATCTAAAACATCAACTAAGACTGAGACCAAGAGGCTGATGGTAACTCTGGAGGAGCTGCAGAGAATCGGTTAGTTTTACTCGCAAGAAATCTGGCCTAACAAGGAAGTAAAACCATAAATAAAAGGAAATGTTGTGAGTTATCCATGTTGAACAAGGTGCTATGGTTACATGAGTGTAAAAAAGGGGCCAAGTGGAATGGTGGTAAAGCATGCAGCCTCAGCCCCTCAAACAGATTCCCAATGCAGTTTCTTTTTAAGGCTGATGCCAACACTAGCTACGTTTACATGGACACAAATAATCGGATTGAAGGCCTGATCAGATCAAAAATGTTTCATGTAAACATGTCAGACTGAAGATTCTAATCCGATTCGGTCCGATCGGAAATAAATTTAATTCCGAATGAGAGAGGTGGTTTTTGCCGATCGCCATTCTGATTGGCGTCCATGTAAACACCCATTCGGATCTTAAGAATAAAATAATCTTCACTGCGCATGTGTGCGACGTCAGCGTGACGTTTTTCCGCCTTATCAACAACAGGAAACCACCGGTCGCTCTCGCTCTTGTTGTGAACAACATGGCGGGAGGAGTCTAGGAACGCCGACTTATACACTCAAGTTCATTTAAAGCTGCAGGAAGCAGGAATTTATCCTCCTCCTCTTCCTCTTTTCTCTCTCCACAGCCCACTCGCTCTCCCACGCCGGTTCAATCGCTCATTCCCTACATTTTCTCTTGGACATTTCGCTGCCAAGCGCTTTTTTCCTCCTCTCTTTTTTCTTTCCGCTCGCTCCGAGCGCATCGTTTGTCAGGCCTCCCAAAAACCAGAAGCAGACAGAACTGCCAAGTTTGGAAGGAAGTTCTGCGCATGCTTAAAAGATTTAATCTGATCCAACGCTTGGTACATGTATACACACGTCATGATCGGATCATTTCATTTAGTGTCCATGTAAACGGAGATTTTGAATTTCCGATCAACCAAGGTTTGGATCGGATCGGGGAAATTTTGCGCATGTAAACGTAGCTAATGATTATTCAGTCTCACTGATCCCCTAAATGTAATTTAGTGCCATAATTGAAGCCAATATTGTTTTCTATTTGCTAAACTTTGCATTTTCAAAAGAAATTAGCAGAATATTTTTGCAAATATTTGGTCATCCAAGTATGATTGACTTTGGACATTGCATAGTATGGGCAAAAAAAGGTCAGGTCTTGCTGAGTATAAAGCCCCACACATTATATATTTGGAAAATTATTCTGAAAAACTTCAATCACATAAAACACTTTGAAGTTTACTCTTGTAAGTTCACAAAAAGTGAACATTTATTTTCCAGGCTTCATGATCAAACTTTATATTAATGATGTAACCATAATTGGCCAGAAGAGTTGTGATCAATCCTCTCAAAGGTGGGATGCCTTCTGTAGGATTTCTAGTTGCTAGGAAACTGGTTTCCCCTCCTCTGCAATCCCAGCAGGCCTTGGAGACGTGACAACAAAGATGGCGACCTTTGTAAATGAAGACGACACAAAGGCCATCTGCCAGCAGGGTTTCACATAAACCCTCCCTCCCTGTTTTTTATCAGGAGTTTGAAACACCAAACACTCCACCGAAGTTTGTTTACAGAAGCCGGTTTCTGACTCTAGGTGCGTACCAACCTTCGTAGCAGTCTCTGACTGTGTCGAAGTATACGTAGTACTCCTCGTTGGTGAAGAAAAGGAGGCTGAGCCAGGAGTCAAAGGCATAGATGGGGACTATGAAGAGGATCCGGACAATATGCCTCTGCTCATTTGGAGAGCTGTAGTAACGCAGGTGCATGTAGATCTAAGAAGAATTGGGGGAAAAAAGAAAAACATTTCTACCTATAGATTCACAAATTTAGAGATTTAGTTTTTTCTACACTTAATGGAGATAGAAAATCACCACATAAAGGTAAAGGCAGTGTCTGTGTAAACAAGAAGCAGAGTTTTATTGTCTGGTTGTAATAGAGAACTGAGAGCAGGTGAACAGAACCAAAGAACCACAGTATGGTATTTGTCGTTCTGGGAAGACCTAATCAGTCAGAGGTCTCGGGTGTCTGCCTCTTTTGAAAAGCCGTTGTCGATGGTAAAAAGCATGTAAACAACATCAGGATGGATGGAACGTACAAAAAAATGGCCCAGGACCTACACTTAAGCATCCATGCAGCCAGAGGGGACAAAACGCAGGAAGCAGAGAGAGTTTAAAAGGGTTAAAATCACAACTAAGTCCTGGATCAGCTCTGCTTTCAGTGGAGCCAAAATTTTACTTTATGTTTTGCAAACAAGCTGCTAGAAACCGAATCCAACCTGCTGAAACCCGAACCCCGATGGACGGTATTAACTGGAGCCAGCAGGATGTGTGCGTGTGAAAAAACATGCAGGGGGGTTGTTTTAGGAAACTGACACCAAGCTTTCATCAGTCCTATTCAGAGCAGCAGACGGCAGGAACAACAGGAGTAATCCTTCATCATCGCCGCTACTCTTCTGCCTTCTCCCTCCCCCGTTGGCTCCCTTACACAATGTCAGCACCTATTGCCTCTCCTGGCCTTTAAACAGACCCACACCTTGGGTGGAATGATGAAAAAGTGGCTGACAACACGACGAGCTGCTCCATTTACATCAATTGTTACTCGGTGGCCTTCAGCTGCATCTGCACGCCTACCAACACGAGCAAAAGCCCTCATCTGCTGATTATTGATGAGGTGGTAGTCGAGCACCTGTTGCTCAAGTGACAAAAGCCTATTCTATCTCTGTATGCGAAGGGCATCGGCAAACAATGAGAAACAAATAATCTGGCCTAAAGGGTATTATAGATCTGCAACTCATAGAGGGACGCTGACATCAGCACCACTGAACATCTAAAAGCAGGGTCCTCAGAGATCTGCTCTATGAGTTTCAACAGGTGCCATCAGCTTCATTGTGAAGACTCTTCTTCTCTCTGAGGGTCAGCATGTTTCCACCATGTCACTGTATATATATTTTTGTATTATTTGTCGTTCTTTTTCTCTAGATTCTCCAGTTTTCATTCCCAACCAGATCTTTACATTTTGTCTCATGACCAACCCAAACCTCAAGGATTTGTATGTGACAGACCAACACAATGTGAAGCGCTAATATAAAAATGAGGGAAAAATCATTTTTAACTAACTAAAATCTGAAAAGTGTGACATGCTTTTATTAATCCAAGTCTAAGTCAATGCTGTAGCGACAATCCACAGCTCCTGTTCCTTCAGATTATTTCAGCTTGGCACAGCCATAAACTAGATTATTATCACATTTTTTAGAATCACATTTTTTGATCCACTGTACCAGATTATCACAAGCTAATTTGCATATCTGGTCCATTGACAGGTAACAAAAAGTAGATATATAGATATGACAAACAATAAGGTAGTTCTGGACTATAATTCGTTTCAACACATAAACAGAATTCACTCTGCATCAGTCCACTTCTTCAATCTCCAACTGGTTTTTTGTTTTTAATTTGGGGTAAAACATTCCCACAGCATGATAGAAATCTATATCTTGGTAGTTCTTCAGTTGAACTACACTCCTCTAATTGTCAGATGATAAATTGAAAAGAGCTCTCACTGCAAAAATCAATCTACAAATAAGATTTCTTTAAATAAATATACTTGTACTTGAATTGGGCAGCTGAGATATGAATGATCGCCCGATGAAATTAATATTTTGGTTGCTAAAAGATAAGATAATTATATACACTGCACTTAAAATTAGATACTGAAGAAGTTTTTTTTTTTTTTAAGTTGAAGGATAATAAATAATAACGTACATACAAAAGGTTTATTAGAAAAGATTTCGTCGACACCCACCCACAGAAATACGCCACAGAGTGTTTTTAAATACACCTCACGCTTAGGGGGCAGTATGTTGCAAAACTAAAACTTGTCAGCCATTCAGAATCCTTCAAAACAGCCATGACTTTCTGTTAGGAATGAATCATGATTTAAAAAGCACAAACAGAAAGTCTCTGAGAAAATGTGAAAATCAGCACCTCTCTGACGAAATTCATTTTAAACAAAAAGCGTAAACACATGTGTGAAGAAGCTGTTTTCATGTACAATGAATGCTCAAAATTACAGCATTTAGAAATCCCACTTTTAGCCTGAGTTTGTTTTAAGGGATGTATTACGCCGTTTAAATGTGGCTAAAAGGCATAACCACATAAACATGTATCATTTTTCCTAAATATCGTGCAACGTGTGAACAAATGCTTAATCCTGCTTTAAACATCTTTATCCCGGACCTCTCTGTTGTGTTCTTTCACAGATCAGATGGATTTATACTGAGATTATACAACAAAACAGGTGAACTCTACTTTCTAAATAAGAAAAACTTCTCAAGGTGATTGGTGAGGTTGAGTTTTACAAAAAGCTAGAGAATTAAATCGACACTTTTATTTGTAAAACATTGTAACATGACTTGCTTTCCCTCATAGTTATGTGCTGCTTTGTGTTGGTCTGTCACATAACATCCACTGAAGTTTGTGGTTAAACTGTGGAAAAGTTCACGATGGATGAATGCTTTTAATTTTCCTCCATCAGCTACCTCATTGCATACTCTAATAATATACCAAATAAAAGAATTAAAAACTTCCCAAACACACCACAATAATCAGTCCTATTAACTAACATCTTCCAGGTTTTAAAAGAAAACCTTCTATCGACATGAAACAAAAGACTCTGGGTGTGCTCAGGTGTTGTAGCGCAGGTAAACATGCGAACAAAGACTAAAAAAGGCCATTGTTAGGATCTCTTCTGTAAAAGGTTGGATTCGAATTGAAATGCCCGACTCTTACCTGGTGACACGTGATGAGAAGCGCTGTCCAGACAAAGAACCCGGAGATAGTCTGGGCAGTGGACGTCATGAGGAAGATTGGCTCCTCGGGTCGGACCACCGGGGCAATGGGCGCCCAGGAAGAGTTGGACCCCTGGGGGGCCACGGTGCTCGGAGAGCCTGGAGGAAGGCCATCAGGAGAGTCGCTTCCCAACCTCTCCGACAGGCGCTTGGCTCGCCACCAAAGCTGACTCATCTGTTTGAAGACAATGCGACTCATCAATGATCATGCTTCATGTGATATGATTGAGTTCAAACCAGAACAAATCATGCAAGCAGCTTAAAAAAATATGATTGCAAGGTTAAAACCCCTGAATAAACGTACGTGATGTGAAAATTCAGCCGAACAGACCTACAAAAGGCCTGTTCTGTGACCTAAATCTGCAGCCAGCGTTCACTGATGTTAGAGAGAGGGAGAGAAACAGGAAAGTAGGACAGCGCACAGATCTAAAATGCAGAAGGCATTGGGTGGATGTGACGTGAGATCAAGACCGTGGGGGTGAGAGGAGATGGTATGAGGTAGGTGGGTGAGGAGAGAATGGAAATGACAAAAAAACGCACACAGCGATAATAAAGCCAAACAAAGAGAGATCGGGTATTTTTCTGTGCCGAAGGCAGAGAGAGGATGTACTAAAGATAGAAACCATAGAAAGGGAAGACAGCTAATCACAATAGGGGCATTATAAACTTTATTCAGATGAAGGTACAAAAAAAACTAAACTATATAAAATAAAAAGCTCCAAATGAATGATTTACCACAGCAATCCTATACAAATATTGATTAACAAATAGCCAGACTTTGTAACCTAATTTGAGGCTCTTTTAACACCATAAACAAGCAAAGTTAACAATGAATCTCGATTGGATGGATGGATGGATGGATGGATGGATGGATGGATGGATGGATGGATGGATGGATGGCTGGATGGATGGCTGGATGGATGGATGGATGGATGGATGGATGGATGGATGGAATGAATGAACACAGTTTTTCTTCCAAACCCTCACAGACTTGGACTTTAATTTTCTAAGCTCCATGGCTATCCTGAAGGCTTTAACCAATCAAATTAAAGATAAGTAATGTGCATCAATCACTCGTATAACAATCACATAGAACGATGACAGCCAGGGAGGCCAAATCTAAAAGCTCATTACATCAACCGTGTTTGGGATGAAGCCTGACATGGCCGCCACCAGCATCGTTACATCACATCTCTCAGAGCGACCACCTTGACAATGACGTTAGCATCTCGGAGACGATACCAGGAAGGCAGTAATCTAATCGTTCACACATAAAACTCCCCCCAACCCTTTCTGAGTAGCAGCTAAATATAGGCATGTGCACAGAGTGGTCATGGGTGAGTCATGCTGCTCGCCTTGAGACTCAATGAGGATGTGACAATGCAGAAGCAGGGAGCATTAGCTGAAGATGGATGGATGGATGGATGGATGGATGGATGGATGGATGGATGGATGGATGGATGGATGGATGGATGGATGGATGGATGGATGGATGGATGGATGGAAGGAAGGAAGGAAGGAAGGAAGGAAGGAAGGAAGGAAGAACGAGAGAGAGAAAGACTGGAATTGTCTTAAACTGATGTCAGAGTTGTCTTTGATCTGCTTGTTTAAATTTTTATCTTTCCCAAATGTTTTTTCTACAGATTATAGCAGATACAACAAAAACACTGTGTCGCATGAAATGTTCAGATGTTTTGGGATTTCAAAGGAAATAAAGGAATTAAAAGATGATCCCAGTTTATGCATCAGATACTATGTGCCCAACTGTCATCAAATCAGATCAGAAATCTGCATCAAAGCAGATAATGAGGATTCATGCATCCATAGCCAGGAAATAAATATGGTATGTTTTAAAACATGACTTAAAACCAGGATTACGGATCACTCGATTAAGGAAAAACTGACTGATTTTAATCTGTGGATAATTCAGCGGTGCATTTATATATACCGTATATATAAAAAAAAAATAAAAAATTATCATCCTTTGTTTTTCTATTATATCAATTTAAACCTATGAGATTCTAAAATTCCCAGTCTTCTCCAGATTATGTAGGAAACTAACAAACAGCTCCGACAATCCAATGTCATTTTCAAAAGATTAAATTCCTTATCAGTATGGACTCAGTCCCTCTACTGTCTTACTAATCTTTTGAAAAAACATTTCCTTTATTCATACAAGGGAAAAGAGAAGCAATGATCTGAACATAAATAAAAAAAAACTCCATAAAAACTGCTGGTTCCTTTAAACCAGGACTGCAGCTTGCTGCAGAATTTGACAAATGAACCGCTTGTCAGATCAGTGATCGAACTCTGACTGAAGAATAGATTTAAACTTAGATTTAAATTTGACTTTTAAATATTCATTTTAAAAATGTGATTCTTTTTTTTTTTATATACATGAAAAGCTCTCTTGTAAGCAGTGCTCAAAAGCTTCCCAACTGCACTGGGATTGTATAGATAGATTGTAATGTATAGATTGAAAATAAACAAAAAATTTTGATATTATGTTTTTAAAGCTGTGATTCAAGGTTTTTTTGGCTGGTTTCTTACTTCTTTTTAACTGGAACCCCACCTTTGGTGGTTTGAAGCAAACAGCAAAGTAATCCCTGCTACAAAATAAATACATATTAATGAAATAAACATAATAATTTCTTTTTTCAAAAGAAAGAGAGAAAAATCCTCTCCAAGTGTTCTAGTTTGCAACCAGGAACCAATAAACCTTAATATAATCTTATTTCCCCCTAAACTATGTAAATACTTTTTTAAATATTGTGTTCATTAGTATAAAAGTAAACCAAATCAAGGATGACATTTTTTTTTATATTTAATATATTAAACCAGAGCATTTTTCAAATAAGAATAATTCAATATTCCAGCCATTAAACACATCAGAAAAAAAACATTTAGACACAGAATAAACAACTTGATCAAATATATTGTCCAGTAACAGCTGACTGGTTCCAGAGGACAGCAGACAGCAGCAGATCATCAATCATCCCAGTTTAAGTTTCAAAACATGGACTTTACTCTGATCTCCATCGAACCAGTAACATGTCATCATTAAAGCACCAAGCTGATTTCACGCCAGTCAGGGACGAATATAACCATTTAATAACACAGGAAACTATAATCAAAATGCTAAATGAAAGAAGACAAAGATCAGTAATAATGTCTAACCTGACGCTGGAGATGCTGACAGATATTCAGCCGTTAAAAGAGCTAAAGGATAAACGTTAATGTCTCCATCCTGCCGCTTTAAGCTTACCTCCTTTGCAGATGTTTAAATCCAAGCATCAATTTATCTCTTCATCTCTAGCTGGTCGTACAACTTTATGGAGTCCAAAATAAAAGATAAAGGGTCTAAATATTGAGTCGACAACGAGCCACGTATGTAAAATCACTGCATTATTGTCTGAACACCGGAAACTTCTCCCCCTCTTCCCAGGAAAGCTGGATAGAGTCGCTCTCTCGCTGGCTGCTGCTAGCTCTGTGGCATTAGCCTTACAGCCTAAAAAAACCCTCAATGTAATGGTAGAGAAAGCAAATAAAGATTATTTTAACTTCTAGTTAGTGAAGAGAAAAAAATAATGAGGCAGTCCGAAGCAGAGGGACGCACACCGATATATCACTAGCTGGTAGCCGCGAGCCGTTAGCAGGAGCTCTGCTCTGACGGCGCATGCGCAAACAGTTGGCTGATTGGCTGCGTTTGATTCCTAAACTTTAACCCAAGGCCTTAGATGTGTGTGTGTGTTTCCCCCAGCAACTTTCCGCAGAAATGGTGTGAACATTTCACCAATAAGTTCAATACATACACTTTGGCTTTTAACAATATATGGGAGACGATTAGGGCCACTGGAAAAAAAAGGTAACTGATTTATTAATTTTATTTCAGTATGAGAAAAGGGCAGAATTCTGACCTTTTCCCCCCTCAGAATTCTAAATTTCATCTCAGAATTTTGACTTTTTTTTCCTCAGAATTCTGAATTTAATCTCAGAATTTTGACATTTTTTCCTCAGAATTCTGAATTTAATCTCTGAATTCTGACAGCAAACAAACCTGTTAGCATCAAATAGTAGCCATGTCTGTTTTAGAGACTAAACTAGCTCTCTTGTTTTAAACACCTTTTACTCTTCCATTAATGAAATAGCATCACCAGGGACCCCTAAGGCATGTAAAAAAAAAAAAAAAAAATCACCTTATTCTGTCATTTTCCACCAATGTCACATCTCTTCCTTCATGTTGCCCATCTACAATAAGATCCAAAATTCTGAGATTAAAGTCAGAATTGTGAGATGAAAGTCAGATTTCTGAGATATAACTCAGAATTGTGAGAAAAAAAGTCATCTGAGATTAAAGTCAGAATTGTGAGATTAAAGTCAGATTTGTGAGAAAAAAGTCAGAATTCTGTATTTTTTTCTCATATTATACTGAAATATAATTTAAAAATAAGTTAACATTTTTTTTAGTTTTCAGTGGCCCTAATCCTCTTCCGTAACAATATGTGGGACAAATTTCTAAATTTGCTGCTGTTAAAGGAAGATAATCACTGATTTAGCTGAAAGGGAAAACATCCCTCAATCAATCCACATTTTTCTCAATAGGTTGATGGATGAATGAAACTCAAGTCGTTTCCACACTAGGGAGGCATGATGTATTGCTGTTGGCATCGGAATCAGCTGTTTTTCATCCTTTCTTAATGTCCAACAACTTATAAATATAGTGTATTTTGGTTCTTTTGTGTTCTCAACAATAGGAAAAGATTCAATAAATATATGTTTGAGATATTTTTTGGAAAATACAAACCTTACTGAAAGCATCTGTGTCGAGTAACTGTAGGTCCATCAGCCGCTAGTGTCCCCACCAACTTTCATGACAAAGTTACACGTAGTTACACGCACCTGAGTGAACGGGAGGGAGCATGAAGGTGCAGCAACTCAGAGAGATAAGGTGGAGCAAGACCACAGAGACTTCAAAACAAAAGAACTTTAAAATAAATGCTAAAATGCACAGGGAGCCAGTGTAATGAGGCTAAATTGGGGTAACGTCATGCTTTAGATTAGGTAACTTGCAAAACCTGATCGTAAAAAAAGAGCTGATAGATGAAGTGCATAGGAATAGATGGACAAATATGAGAGATGGTTGGTAGAGACTGATGGTAAAGAAATATAAAAAAGCAAAAGGGATGCATTGATAGATAACAGGTAGAAGGCGGTTGTATAATTGACAAATGGATGGGAAGACAGGAAGATAAATGGATACTGAATTACAGAGAGAGACTAAAGACTGCAGGATAAAAGCGACCTTCAACCCCCCACCTATTTTCAATTCCTGAAAATATTTCAACAAATTCCATCATTTTCAAAACTAAAAATGGTCTAACATCCAGCTCATTCATTCATAAAAGACAAACAAAAAGAGCTCTTTCAGCAATGTTATCCATTTTTATTACTTCATAAAATATACACAAATACTGTAAATAGTGTTAAAGAACTGTACAAGATATCAGTACACAATAGACAATGTGAATACCTCTCGCCTCATCCTTAAATCTACAACTGCGATGCCACTGGGTCATGGTGGCCTGTACAATGAGAACTATACACAGTGCACACAGTCCATACACATTTACACACACACCATCAGACGCAACTAATGTCAAAAGTTGGTGAGAAGATAATGAAGAACAGCATTAAATAAACATTTTTCTGCGACAGGAATATGAAAGTTTGAAATATTGTGGTTTTAAGGAATAGGCAGTCCAAAGGTGAGAAGATTCAAGGTTTTAAAAAAACAAAAGTAAATAATCATGAATGGATTAAAGTTGGAAAGCAGATAAAAGCGACTTTATTGATCTTAGAGGTTTAACTGTAGCACTCAACTCCCTCACACCTGTTAGATGACCCAGCTGGCACAGCAACAGTCACTCATCTCCATCTTTATTACTCCTGCTTCAACACTCTATAGTCATTAGTATGCATTTTTCTACTTTACACCTTTACAATAACCACATTTGGCTTTACAATGAAATAAAAAAAATATTTACAGTGGAGTAAATAAAAAAAAAAACTAAATAAAAACAAATTTGATGCCCTAACCCGCCCCATGTCGTTCTTAACAGTGACAGCCCCCCCACTTCCTCCATATAACAAAAGATTAAAAAAGGTAACGTTAAGAAACATCATAAAAATTGCATCCCCCGTTTGTGAGCTCAAACGGGCGGCTGTGGTCTCAGGTCAAATATCAGAATGCTGAGATATTTCCTGAGGAACTTCTCTAGAGACTTAGGAGTGAGTCCTTTGAATTTCCACAACAGTACTTCACCTTACCGTCACAAATTAAAACCAAGGAGAGAAATAAAAGCGTAAAAACCGGCAGATGTTCGGAGGGTTTTCATGTCCTTATGGGAGTGGGGCGAGCAGTTACCAGAAACATCTCCAGGAACATAACGGCTAAAACATCACTTACCCATCCTCTTCAGTTCTCTTTCTGGTTGCAACCTTCTGATCTACATGCCTCATCCGATTAAGCTTTCAATTCTTAAAAACATCAAATAAAAAAGGAAAAAACAACCTTCCTTCTAATAAACCTTTATGAACAATGAAGATAACAGTTACATTTGCTGTGCTAAAACTGAAAAAAAAAAAAAAAAAAACCCTACAAAGCCTGTACATCACCTTTGATAAGAAACATGCATGTCCCTGAAATGTTTTTTTTTGTTCCTTCAATGCCAACAGCCTTTTCACATTTGTCAAAGTATTAAGGGAATGTTTTGAGGAACATACAGTGTAGGAATGAGCAACTGTCAAGGTGCAGCATTGTCGTTAGCTTTGTGGTAATCCTACGTTTAGTAAGAACGGTCCGGGTCAGAATGCTTGTTGAATACCTTCATGTGTTTTCCTGAATCCTTGAAACATTTAAGGTCTTGCTCCGAACAACCTGCATGTCCATATACAAAAAAAAAACCTTTTCAAGAAAGAAGGTATAAAGTACAGGGGAAAAGAAAGGTGTAGAGAGAGAAAAAAAAATCCTTGCAGCCCTGCAAAACAAAAGATTGGTATCAGACTCTGTTTATACATTTATAAACAAAGACGAAATGTGAGTCCAGACTTTACCTGTCATTTTCTGTGCATGAAGAGCTGAGGAAATTCACTTCCCCATGTGCTCGAATGGCACGCTGACCTGCAACAACACAGATTCAAGATTTTAACACCCAATTTATAGTTCGTCCATCTCAGTTGCAAACGTCTCCGCTCCACTGCAGTGTGATGCCCGCAGTAGAAAGCAGATCTCACATTAAAGCTCTGTGAGCAGCCTGGAGGTCAGACCACAACGCTCCTACGTTAGATTTAAAACCGTTGAAACTTTGTCACTTTTAATTTTTGGACATCCAGATATTTTCAGTTCTATTATACAATGGATTATTAGGTTGAGTGCCTTTAATGTTTAATCGCTAGCTTTTGATTACCTATGTTAATATATACATCTCTATAATTAATTCATAATTATTTATAAATAATAAGTCTATGGAAAGAAAATGTGATTTCAAAAAAATGTCCTGCCATCTTTCTGCTGCATTTGCTGCATTCTAAAAAATAGTGTGGTGGGAGAGTCTCTGACCCTCAGGGGTTTTCATGTGTGCACATTTTTAAGCGTGGTGTATCCCACTTAAAGGGGAACACCGTTTTTTTACATTGGGCCCTTGATTTTACGTTATTACATCATGTTCTACTCATCCATATAAGTTTTGTGTCATTTGGAGCTGTTCTGAAGATATTCCGTTATATCCAAGTAACGGTTATATCCAAGTAACGTCTTCCTATGGGCAACGACTTGAAGGCACACACTAAACTGTTCATAATTTATCATTTATTATTCGCCAGCATTCATAACATGTAGGCGAATCACTGTCCCCCAGACATCAGCGGTTTTATTTTTTATATTTATATATTTTTAAAACAAAGCGGAGTGTTTATGACATCATCTGTTCGCCGCACTAGAGTTGTGACCGGAAGCCCGGGCCACAGGCGGCTACGCTCTACCCCTTCTATTCATTCGGCTAGCTAATCTGAATCGTTCAATTCCATTTCAAGAGCGAGATCATCTGTGGTAGTAGCACTAGACATCTTCCAGGCATGAGTAAAACTAGCAGCAGTTCAGAATGAACAGATGCCGGCGTGCGCGGGTGACATCATACACACTCCGCTTTTTTTTTTAGATCATCATGTGATAACGTAAAATCAAGGGGCCAATGTAAAAAAAAAAAAAAAAAAAAAAAAAAAAAAAAAAACGGCGTTCCCCCTTGTGGTCCACTAAGCAGCCTACAAATCATTGTCTTAGAGAGGAAAAGTGATGTTATAAAGAGTGATGTTATAAAGAGAGATGGAAAAGTTGATTAAGTGACTGTTGCTGTGTGAATCAAATGCCGTTATTTAAGGTAAAAAATTTCAAATTCAGCTATTTATTTTAGACCAAATAAAATTTACATCCCGAGCGCTACCGCCCTGAATGTAAGCCGGGGGGGGGCTTACATTCAGGGAGCTGAGGGTAAACATGCTGTGGCTCTGACTGCAGCGCTGAGAGGGACTCCTGCGGAAGCAGGAGAACGGGATTGAGACGGGGGAAGAGTAGGAACGATACGTGCTTTCACGTAAGAGTCTCCAAAAGCCGCCAGTGACACCAGAAAAACTCGCTAGATTTGTCGCCAGTCGATAAAGAGTCGCAGGAGGGATGTGAAAAGTCACTAAATATAGCGACAAAAATCGCTGAGTTGGCAACACTGCACGGGTGAACCAGGCAGCATTTTTATAAAGGAGGGTGGGAAACATGCTTCGAAAAAAATATAACTGGCGCTTGGAGTGAGTCTCGCCACTGACCATCTCTCTCTCTCTGTGTCTGTATAAGACCCGTGGCGGGCTGTCACAGTCTCGTTCATTAATGAGAAACACTGAGAATTGAAATTTTGCAGCTGTGCCGTCTATTCACCAGCGCCATGTAGAGACACTGACATTGTTCTTATCGATAATAAGACCACTATGTAAATTGGTAAATAAACAAAGTTGGACACAGACAAATTTTTGTTTTTGCAAAACATGCTGCAGCCACCAACATGTTTTGCTTCTTTCAATAATAGGTTTCACACAACTCTTCCAAAAAAGCCAGATTTTTGGGCAGATTGTTTTGACATCAATCCAACTGTTCCCTTATGCTGCCAATTTTTTAGATTTAGTCTTTAGGCTGATATGGCTTTGACACCATGATAACAAATGATACACAAATCTAAAAGGAAATAATAATTTCTTTGATTTGCTCATAAATGTTTAACACAGGAAAGCAAATGGAGGCAGTAACAATACATGTGCATCACATGATATTCGCCTTCAGGCGATAGCCAAACATGAAAAAAGTGCCAATATCATTCAGCTGATGTTGAAGAGTCTATTCACTGCGAGTACTTTTGTCAACATAATTTAGCACATGAGTTAAGGATCTGAGTGCTCCAGATATCAGGGCTTCCTGGTTGTTTCTGCTCAGTGGTATCAATGGACTGAACTTCAGCAGCTCTGTAGGATCTTCAAATCTAGAAAATTGTTTGACTTTTTCTCATAATGCAAACTGCACAGCTTTTTTAGGATAACATCTAGAGGAGCTTAAACTAACTGTTGCATTTAGTCCCGCGGTTCTCAAAGTGTGTGGCGCGACCCACTGGTGGGGAATTGAGACGTGACAGGTGGGGCGCGCCAAGTTCCGGTGTGTGTGTGTGTGTGTGTGTGTGTGTGTGACTATAAATGTAGAATGTGTGAGAGCAAACTGTCCTTATAGCTGTATGTTGCCGCTTTTTAGACCAATCAAACCCACAAAGTAATCATTACTAGCCTACATGCAGTCTAATTAAAAGAACATTAGATATGAGAAAAATTTCCCCTGGAACTGAAGTGCCAAAATAATGATTGACGTGACGTCGGCATATTATTTGTAACAGAATAAACTTTCGCGCCCCAGTGTTGCCAACTCAGCGACTTTGTCGCTATATTTCAGACCCCTCCAGCGACTCTTTTTCAAAAAAACAAATCTAGCGCCTTTTGGAGACTCTTACGTGAAAGCACGTATCGTTCCTTTTCTTGTCCTCCAGCGGCAGGTGCTGCCGTGGGGCGCCTCCCCCGTCCCAACCCCGTTCTCCCCCGCTATTGCAGGAGTCCCTATCAGCGCTGCAGTCAGAGCAGAGACACAGCATGTTTAACTTTTGCGTCCAGACTGCAAATAAAGCGCACATGCGCCGGGATTGACGGCGCAGGTTGATCATAAATAACTGAATTTGAAATATTTTATCTTAAATAAATAACGGCGTTTGATTCACACAGCCACATGTTCATGTTTCTGGTTAGGAGTGGAGAGCGAGTATCCACTCATCGGGCAGAGAGCTGTGTGCATTCTTCTTCCCTTTGCCACATCATATCTCTGTGAGATGGGCTTTTCAGCTGCTGCTTCAATGAAAACAAAATACAGATCTCAGCTGAACATTGAGCATGACTTGAGAGTGGCAGTATCAAGCCTGCAACCCCGTTTTGAGAAACTGCAATGCAAAACAGGCTCATTGCAGCCACTAATGCAGGGATAAACTGTCTTGCCAGATGGATTTCACTTCTTTTCTTTTATTAACAGATTGCAGAGTGGCACTTTAATTTTTTCTATCTTTGAGCTTGATACAAATTTTGACACAGCTGCATTTTTATTTTCTTTATTTTTGAGCTTGCTGTTATTTGATGTAGATTTGTATTTAGATACTACTTGTTACTTCAATAAAATTGGAACATTTTAAGATTGTTGAATATTTCATTAGCATTGTGTTGGGGCGATGGGGACAGGCGGGGCTTGAAAATTCCCCCTTGTCCAAAGTGGGGAATGACAGAAAAAGTTTGAGAACCACTGATTTAGTCCAAGAGTAGGTGAAATGTTTATTAGCTAGCTTTCTTCAGAGGTCAGTGTATTTTCAATCACATCAAACCATACTGATTATCATAAAATCCCAGTAAAACATTCTGAGGTTTGTTGTTGTGTGGTTCCCAAATGCAGAGAACTTAGAGATGAAAAAAAAATATTTGGCCAAATAATAGTGGTTATATCTAACAGCCAATTAGATTATCATTAGATGTTGGAGGTAATGGCTGATCCCAGAACAGTTATAATTGAAACAATCCACATAACGTTTCCACGTTGTCCATTAAAGTATCTTTATAACGTATATAAATGTTAATAAAAAGTTCCAAAGGATTTTAGAAAATGTGTTAATTGAAAAAGATAGATTATGTTATTCAAATATTTAACCCACTGAAGACATCCTAACTTCAGCTCACCTGTGACGTGGATATCCTCGACTGGTCTTGACGCGCTGTGAGGTCAGAGGACGATACGTTGGCAGGAGCCCCGCGGTGTAAACGCATGCTCACTTTCCTCTCCCGCTCAGCGCGAGATATTGCACGTGGCGACGTGTTGCCTGGAAAAGATCAATTAGACACTTTGAATGAGCTATAAAAAAATGCTGCCGACAAAGTTATTTTCCTTTTTTTTTCTCCTCAAAATTTAACATTTTAAAAATCAGACTCTGTTGGTCAGTAACGTACCAGACTGTTGAACCCGTGAGGCAGGGTTTGAGATGGCTTGTTCTGGTCCATTCCTGACTCTGTTAGGAGCGCCTTGGGTGGGACCTGAGGGGAGGCCCCGTGACGCAGAGCCCCTGGGGGCCCCTCCTATCCGATCTTCTCTCTCATCCCCCGTCCTCCTTTCCCGTTCCCCCTCCTCAGTTGTTCGACTGGCGCCCTGATAAATGTGATCAGCCGTGTTAATTTTAAAAGTTAAAACCACCACTACCAAAAGCTTTTAGTAAAAACGTACAAATTTGAGCATGTTCCAGTCAAAGACGTAATCATAGGAGAATCCCTGACGGTGGAAGAGATTCCGGAAAAGCTGGCGTAGGTAGGAGTAGTCTGGTTTGTCATCGAAACGGAGTGAGCGGCAAAAATTCAGGTAAGTGGAAAACTCCGCTGTAGAAAGAAGAATCATCAGAACCAGAAGTTAGCAGAGGATCCACTAGAGCCCCAGTTGCATTCTTTGCAGAACAAAGCAAATATAGCATCTGTGGATGATGTGAGAAAAAAAAACGAGGAGAAATAAAAGGACTCACAAGGATAGCCTTTGCAAAGAACCTCGATGGGTGTGGACATTTTCTTCTCGCTGATTCGCTCATACTTCTGTCTCTTTGTTGCAGCCTTAAGGCCCTGCCAGGGGAGGGACCCCAGGTTGAAGTACATGAGGACGTAGCCCAGAGACTCCAGGTCATCACGTCTTGACTGCTCTGTGGACATAAAGCATCAAATGCATATGAATGAAAGAAGTAAAACCTGCCAAATTAGAAACAAATGGAGATCTAAAGACCTCTAGTTAGCTTAAAGGCTAGCTGACAATATAAAGTTACAAAATTATCAAAGAAACTTAAAAATAATGAAATTGCCATTTTGATACGTTTACATTTTATTAAATAAGTAGTACTTAATGATTGAATAACAGTGATTGCATAGTTGAATTTTTTTCAAATCCTTTGCTTGGATTAACACGATTAAATACAAAGTCAATCCCATGCAGAATGACACAGGAATTTCCTGTTGAACTAAAATAAAGCCTCATTTTCCTTTGATTTCATTTACCGTTGATCGATATTTAGCTCCATCCACCAAGTAAAAATACAACCATTATCTTTCGACTAAATCTTACCAATTCCAAGATGTGTGTTGATGGAGGCGTAGCGTGCCGTTCCGGTCAGGTTCTTGTTCTCCCTGTAAGGGATGTGCTGGTGCGTGCGTGCATCGCGGTACTTTTTGGCCAGCCCAAAGTCGATGATGTACACCAGGTTGCCCTTCTTGCCCAACCCCATAAGGAAGTTATCTGGCTTGACATCTCTGTGGATGAAGTTCTTGGAGTGGATGTACTCGATGCGACTAATCTGGATTTGAATGAGATTCACATCAGAAGAAAATATTTAGTGACAACGTCACAAGTATAAGATGCGCCTTAAATAGAAGAGACTGACAGCAGCAGAAGCCATGAGCCAAGGCTGAAAAGCAGCTAATCAGACGTCTGTATTGAAGCCTGATAAAGCAACCTTGGCTGCAGGTCAGACAAAAGGTGAATCAAGAGTCTGATCTACGATATGCAGTATCTAGGTCAACCCATTGTAAGGCTGGGCACTCATCAGAAACTACACTGGCAGTAGCAAGGACAGGAGATTAAAACATCTCTAATCTTTAAAAGAGGCTTTAATGGAACAGTATACAATGTTTACACACAGAATACACACTGACTCGGTGCAGTAAAGGTCGCCCCGATCAGGTTTCTCTACAGGGATTGAAAATAACTCTTTCACATGCACGCTGTTAAACTGGCTGGATGTCATGTTTGTATCATACCATCTGGTCGGCCAAAAGCAGGACAGTCTTTAGGCTGAACTTCCGGGAGCAGAAGTTAAAAAGGTCCTCCAGACTGGGCCCCAGCAGCTCCATTACCATGACGTTATAGTCTCCCTCCGCACCACACCATTTTATCGATGGAATACCAACTGGTCAAACACAAACATAGATGATCAAGACAAGATTCTGGTCAGAGACACTAATTCAAACAGCAAGAAATTGAGAATATCTGGGGTTTAGCAGCAGTGCTGTATTAAGTTATACTAATGCATTTTTAAATTGTTTCAGTAATGCTTTAATTAGTCTATCAAACTTGAATAAAGCTGTGAAAATGTTTTACCCATTTTATTCTTTGCGTTTAAAGATTTAGTTTCTAGTAAAACCTTTCTTATCTGCAGCTGTGATTTCTTATCAACAGCAGCATCTAGTGTTTATACATCACTGGTATAAACAAATCCTCTGCCACGTTAACAGAAACTTGGAGGTTTCTATTACTATTGTGACCCCCCCATAAATAAAATCTTACTATGAGGAAGCCTTTTATCAATGAAAACGCCTACTGCAGGAAATAAAAAAAGTTAAAAATGCCATTGACTGGACATTGAGGAAGTCTGATAGTGAAAGATAAAACTAAAGAGGAAGCCACAGCGTGGGATGACTTCTGGCAGTAATAATCGGGAGTTAGGTGTACATAAGGCAAACTTCCTCGATAAACAGGAACTACAATGATAGGCTGATGTCAGCTGATCCTAAGGGGTATCAGTAAATATACCAATAATCCCCCCCCCCCCCCCCCCCCCCCCCCCCCCTAAATAAAGCCCCTTTAAATGGTCTTGTTTTAAATAAACCTGCTTCTTCAAACTAACAGCACACCATATTTGATCTAGTGAGTTTAATCACCCAGAAAGCAGACCTTCTTATGTTAAAACGTGTGTGTTGGTGTCTGACATCAGTTAAAACCTGTCGGACTATTGGAGCCTGAACATTAGCGGTTTTAAATGCATGATTTAACTCAGACCTTTAAAAAGAAAAAAAGTCGGTAAAACATACAGTTAGAATCAACTAAGAAATGACAATTTTGCCACTTTCATTACCAATGGCAACCTTTTACCAAAGCAAAAAGTTACAACATTATAAATAAGCTGGAGAACAGCAGCTGTATTTTGCAATTACTTATGATACTTTCATGTTTAAACTGTTTCATTTTATATTTCTGATTGTAATATAAAATGTCCTGGTATTTCAGTAAGGCTCAGTGTTATCAAAAAATAAAATATGTGAAACATTCTTTCAAGGAAACCGATTTTTCCAGACTGAAAAGAAGCCTGATAGACACACCTTTTATCATTATCCCTGTATTTTAAATCTGCGACATGTTGGAGAAAATTTAAGGTTTCCCGATTTCTTACAAGTGTCAGGTCTGGCAGGATATCTGCATGGGAAATATACTGCCAAGAAAACATCTGAGAAGGAATGCAAGAAATGAGAATCTCTGACAAGCGTGTCAAAGCTGGAGGTTCTTACCTCCTCCCTGCATCATCTTGTAGAATTTGCTTTCAATGTGCAACTGTGGGTGTTTGGTCTTCACACATTCTAGCTTGATGGCTACCTCCTCACCAGTTGCAATGTTGGCACCTGAGGAGAAGCGTACAAAAATAATCACATCTGTAAGGAACATGTAAAAGAAACATGTAGGACCTGATCAAAGATCTATTTCACTGTCCGGACAAAGGAAGCTAATGTTAGGATAGAAGAAGTGACTGCAAGTGCATTCATGTGGGAAGAATAGCTATATCATCCAATTTTCCGCTTACCAAGGTAAATGTCTCCAAAGGATCCACTCCCTATCTTTCGCCCCAGCCGGTATTTGTTCCCCACTCTCAGCTCCATGGTTGCAAGGTGCCACTGTCATCAACAGACAATGCAGATCTAAGAGCCAAGTAAAAAAAGCATACTTTTAATCTCATAAGTCTTATTCCTTTCACACCAAAAATGTATATAGATATATATTTGACAGGTTAAAAAAAAGCTTTCAGCTGTAAAAAAAACAAAACAAAAAAATTCGATACCCAAATATATATATCTGTATATAATAAATAAACTTATACTGTTATTTTCTCTTTAAATGCCATGAGACAGAATGCTCATGATAAATTATCTTGGCAGAACTGACCACATGTTTATGTGAGGAATCACCCAGTTAGCACCTCCAGTTGAGCAGAAAACATTCGTCTAGACTCCATTAAGAAAATATGATTTTTCTAGAGGGTTGCAGGATGGGGGATTGGTCTGAACTCAGCAGAAGAGAGGGGGGTAATGTAAAAATGGCTGTTTTGACATTGAAGGGAAATTAGAGGAACTCAACAAGTACAAGGACTTTAAATGCATGAAGAAATTAAGCTTTTTTTTTTTACTAAGCTGCACGTGAGGGCAGAGCGGATTCATCACTTATTTAGTGCTTCCTCGACCACGCCACACTGAGCAGCCACTGAAAAAGCAAGGTTAAGCTCTGTGGCGCTCTGGGCTGGCATCGCCAAAGGAAAGGAGGCATGAGCAGCCGCAGCCACTGGCTGAATGTATTTGTGTCAAAGCTCTCAGACTGTCCTCAGTAATGAACTCCGGGAAGCAGAGCTGTAGAATAGCTTTGTTTAGACTTTGTTTGCTCAACACTAATTTGGGAACCATGTGAAGCCTTTTCAGGATTCAGCATAGAGTCTGCAAATAAATGGGAAAATACAAGTACATGCAATTTATCTCCTTTATTAAGGCCTGTGATGCACCAATGAAGGTGGGTCAAATTAATCCAACTATACAGTTTCTAAAACCCAAGAGCTCCAAAACAAAACAAGTGCACTTTGAGGCTAACTCAAGGAAATTGAGCACACATTTTATGCATCTAATCCTGTTCATTCTAAGTGACTCCACTAAGAGTCTGAGATTTCAATTTGGATTATTCTAGTTTTATTATACTAGCTGCAGATTATGCAGATGATGGGGATGGAGCTGAATGGGTGCTCCTACTTTCTGTAAGGAATCATTTTAACAGATTTCTAATCTCTGCCAGAGTCAAAATGGTTCGTTCAAATCGAAGGTGATTTGAGTCTTTTAACGGAAAGTCTACACTGGAAATGTGACCCAAGGCGTCCAGGGATACCGCAAACTTGTTTCAACAGTCAGGTGCCCTGTGTTTTGAGATTAAGCATCTGAAGCAGGAATTGGGAAACCTGAACTTTATGAGGCTGATGCAGCGCATCGACCCAGCAAAGAAACTCAGCTTTGTTTTTCCGCTGACATCAAGCATCTGTTATAGTGTTCTAAAAGATGCAAAAACCAATGTGGCTCAGCAGGTTTTCAAACTAGGCAGCTCCTGGAATAAATGGGTAAATTAGCCAAAGTCTGAATACCTCAGAATCATCTCGTTAATCAAGACAAGGCACAAAGGCGCCAAACGTTTTCTAGTTTTATTCAGAAAATAAAACCCAGCCACTGTCTTGATTGCATCTGCTTTTAGACACAAGAGAACGCAAAGAAAAAAATAATATGGCATATTATTTGTGCTGCCGACCAGAGTGTGCAGTATTTAAATCTCAAATGGCTCCCTAAACACATGTATGGGGCGTGCTCAATCTTCTAAAACTGCTCCGCCACTCCTCTTTGGCATCAACTCGACTCTTACTGTCCGTGCTGAGAATCATTCCTGTGCGTTATAGACCTGGACCCTCTTGACTTGACACTAGCTGAGTGCTGTCTGTTCCATCTCTTTGCTCACAACCAGATTAACTGTCTGTAAACAAACTACACCAGCAGCCAATCAAAGATCATTTTATCTAATCATACTCCCTGCAAATACATTCGGGTGGACAAACAACTAATCACACCCAGTAAATCTAAATATTACCAAACAGATTACAAACCGAAAGGAAGGATTTAAGAAAAACATCAGACTGTAATTAATAAACACTTAAACCTTTATCATTTTAATATACTTACTTAAACTGTTGCTCTAAAATATTTTTAATTTTATTGAAGTGCAAAGCGACTGCTAAAAATGCTTTTCTCTGGTTGAATTATTAGAAATGGAATTAAGATAAAGACTGTCTGTGGCTCATGGAATGAGTATATATATATATATATATAAAAAATTTGGATCAGGGTTGCAACTAACAGTTATTTTGCTTATCAATCTGTTGATTCTTGATTTATCATTGGATTGAAAAGGTTCCTTAGAGAACATTACACACAAAATTCAAGCAAAGTTAGCCCTTAGATAGAGTAATAATATACTCTGGATAGAGTATATAAATGGACAAAAGTAGGGATGCATGATATTGGGATTTTGGCCGATATCCGATATGCCGATATTTTAAAACTCATGTAGCCGATATCGATACCGATGTTAAAGCTGGACAAAAATAAGTAGTCATTGAAAATAGCAGTTTTGTTATCCATTCCTGACACTTTGAAAAATAATATACTCAAATATATTTTCATATGCTTGATTTTTAAAAACGCGGTATCGATCTATTTTACTTTCAAAATCTCGTGAAATTTCATCGTTCTGTTACAAACCCGGGTGATATTTTGCAAATTCTTGTGAGATTTTGTTAGTAAAATAGATTGATTCCAGTGTCAATATATCAACATATAAAAATATGGCAAAATTTTGTGAATTTTCGGGGGATTTCGTAGCATAACGATGACATAGCAATATTTCATTAGTAAAAGAGATTGATATGGTGTTTTTAAATGACAATATATCAGCATATGAAGATATTGTGATATTTTAATGTATCAATATTTTTTCCCTCGTCTTTAGAAGTTTTTAAGTCTGTAAAAAAGAAGTTTTTGAGGAAGAAGAAGTAGTATTTTTTTTTTTAGACTTTAGAAACTCAGAAGCTGATCAAATATCGGGTTAAATATCGGTGGGGTGGCCGATGTCCGATATTCAGTTTTAAGGCCGATACCGATAGGGGGCCGATTATATCGTGCATCCCTAGACAAAAGTGTTTTCAATCTTAAAAATGCTAGATGTTTATACATTTTTTACAATTTTGGTATAATGATTGAGCAGAGTGGGTTGCTTTTTCAGCTAAAGGTATGTTTTAAAATCTCTGTAATCTAGGTAACAATTAATTGATTACTAAATTAGATATCGATCATATTGATTAGCCACAATTGATTGTTTCAGCCCTAATCTGGATAAAATATAGTACCTCTCTTTGGTAGAAACCAAGGTGCTGCATCATCTATCAGGAGCTATAAGAAAACAAACCCTGAAAATAAGGCAAAAACATTTTCCATGTAATTTAGTAATTTAGTAGCTCGTGAAAAGTAAAGATACCATTTAAAGATAATTTGTAGGCCTTTATTTGATCATTTTTGAAGGTTGTCGGATAGAAAATGGGATTAGAGAGAGAAGGAAGGCAAAAGACTCAAAGTCGAAAACGAGATCACACCTATACAAGGGTAACTGCTAATCAGTCTTTAATTTGTCCTCATAGATACATTACACACTTAATAGATAAATGAAAGCTTAAAGCAAGTGGTGCTTTGATTATGCATTTAGTATAGCTAAATGTTTCACAATTTTTGGTTGCATAAGTTTGGTCTGTTTGGTATGACTAGTTGATGCAACACAGACTTCAGACAAAGTGTTTTATAAGTCATCTAATATGATGCATCTGACCCTGCTTTTAAGAATGAGGCTGGGGGCGACTTTAATGTTGTTTTTTTTTCCATGGCTGACCTGAAGTAACATAACTGACCTAATGTCCGAGTTAGTTTTATATTTGCCTTAAAGGGACCCAGTGATGTACTACGACCAGCAATGAACACTGGTTGCATATTAAGGTCTTCTGAATAAACTATAACGCTGTCTTTGTTAAAATCCCTTTTTTTTCATTTGCATTTGCTCTACTTGTTAGAAAACATACTTGATTTCTCTAACACTAGCTACATGACTTGAGATTTAATATTGCATACATATGAGCCAAGGGAGTAAGTGACCTTTAGCAGAGTTGTGGAGAAAAAAAAATAAAAAATAAAAAAATAAAGTCCAAGATGTGGTGTAGAAACAAATGGGTGGTACCCGACCGCTGATTGGTGTTCTCTGAAGTAGGATTTAAAGATGCAGAGGCATTCAGCTTTCATTACCAAATTGACGGATGCAGGAGTACATAGCCTTACCAATACCGATCCTAATGAAATCGAGGCTGTTTTTAAGCTCTTATTATGGAAACGAGTAGTTCATAAGATGACTAATTGCCTTTTAGAATTAAAAACTGTGAATTACATTTCAGATACGGACACTGTTGAAAGCTCTGCGGAACAGATACTGCGCAATAATATTTATCCTTATTCATTTCACTCGGTGCAAAAATTATTCTTAGGTTAAGAAAGGGCTTGGTAAACACCAGCAAAACAAACACTTTGTATGAGTCTTTTTTATTAGTCACAGTACACGTCCAGAACCTACGACAAAGTATTAGGGCCAGACTAGGTAATCTAATTTTTGACAGGTTCTAATATCATAAAAAAAAATGACAGATTAATGAGAATAAAGTCATATTCTGAGAAGATACAATGTTGCAAAATCATATTATTAGATCAATGTTGCAATATTACAAGAAAAAAAAGTCAATATTTAATGATAACTCTTGCACTGCCGTCCCCTGCTCTGACATGAGGACTGTTGAGAATCTTGTGAAGTTATACCTTCATACTGGCATAAAATTATTACGCCATTATGTTAAACAGAGTGCCAATGGCTATTTGGTAGTTTGCGCAGGTCAGATATTGTCCGAAAATATTTTTCTGAAACTACCAATAATCCAACCACTTTGTTCTATCATCACTTAAATCACATAGAAATTACGAGAATAAAGTCTCAATATTACTACTTTTATCTCGTATTATAAAAATGGTAATATTATGGGAATAGTCATAAGAATATGACTTCATTTCTTTAATTTCTAATCTTTTTTGTCTAACCCAAATACTTGTAGTAGTCAACCTTTAATGTTAGCCGACGGCAAAAATAAAATCAAAATTTTTAAGAACAATCTACTTCAACATCTGTCCATGTAAACTATTGTCTCCACCTAGGTCCACCTAGGCAGAGTGGTATTACAGGTAACAGCTTGTCATTTGCAACATCAAACCCATCAGAGTGCCATATAGCTTTCTGATAAGCTGTTAAAATGCTAAAATATCATCAAGATTATGATTACTGATTGAAAAAAATAATAACCTTAACTAGTTTTATTAAAGCCTTCACCTAGAAAATTTTGTGGTTTCAGATTTGTCACAAGGACTGAAAACCAAATGTATTTCTACCTCAACTGCAATTAATAGGCAATTGTTTTATATTGGAATCAGAGGTGATGTCATTTCACTTGTGTGAGGATCAGATTTTTAAAACTCGCTGTAGCTAAAATTTGACCCAGTTTAGCGATTTCAACTTAATAGTATGGTCAGCATCTTTAGTAGAGTACACAATAGTCTGTGTACTTACCATCAAGTCTAATAATACTTCCATGATAATTCCAAATCTACATTTTCTAACTTGACTTTGTCCTGATAGACCAACGGACTGCTTTTATACATATTCAGCCCTTTCAACTATCTGATAGCAAAAAAAAAACCTTGAAAATTTGTTTCCATTGTACTACCATATTAAATATATAAATAAATGTCTATCACTCGAGTATAAAACTCACTTTGACTTTTCTTTTAAGACTAACCACCAGTCAGAACTGTTTATTAAAAAATTTATACAGTTCTAGTAATCAGCAATGTTTAGGGTGAATTTTTCAAATTGACCCTTTTAATGCATTTCTTTTGCTCCTACGTTTGCTCTAAATCTTCCACATGAATGCCTTTAACACCAGGTCTCTCCCACACTCCTTACACGTTGATCACTGCTGCACTTCATACATGGAAATGTTCATTTCACTGCCAAGCTGCTCATTCACTGTCTAAAAGCTGTATGTATCAAAACTTTGTTTTTTATACACCGTGTATAAGAAATGACAATAAAGATGTAAGTCTTAGGCTTCATTTTAAAAAGTAAGAAAAATGTAGTTTACACTATTGGGTAAGGAATATACAATAATTGACTTTAAGACTACTCTGATTATGAGCGAGGGGATAAACTGCATGCACTGTGACCATCATCACACAAACCCACAGCAGATGGGCAACAACATTTCAAATGGCTAAACTGGGTTGTAATTGACCTGATGAAAACAGCTTACTATGTTAGACGTAACTGACGCAGATGGATCAGGGTCAATAAAAGGTTTGGGTCATTGCACCCAAAACTGGGGCTCTGTGTTGTGATGAAAGACCAGATTCAACAAATAAAACTAAAAATCACAAAAATAAAAAGCAAGGGCTCAGTTCAGGAACAGGCAAACACTATTACTGTACATTCTTAAGATCATGCATGTGTAGTTTGTATAAAAGCTTACAGATTTAGTTAAAATTATTATTTGAGTTGCAGAGATGGCGTACGTGTAACACGAAGCAATGGGAATTAGCCTGTCACACTGCACTGGAAAAACAACATGTGCTGTAACAGTAGTAATCGTCTCCAGGAGAGTGGATTGGTACAGCACACATCTGCTGGTTTAAGGGGAGTCTAGTAGTAGCTGTGAAGACATGATGTTCTCAGGAAGTGGAATACTAGAATTTAATACCTTATGGTGACTCACTAAACAATAAAATGGTAAGTATTTAGAAAGTGCACCCATCTACATAACTTTGGTTAGGTGCGTGTATATGCAAAAATGTATCAATAAAGCTGTTAAATTAAATAAAAAAATAAAAAAATGGTGCCCCGGAACCATGTTATTTCGCAATCACATGAACACTGCTAAGGTTACGCCCCTCACAGCTGTCACTACAAACAACAACAACTTTGTCTTAAATTTGACGTCTGCCACACTTTGTGCGCATTTTCCTCCCTTTACGTTAAAAAAAGACGACTGTTCTGTCACGGTATCGGTACAAATCAACGTTTCCTTCCTTCCGTCTGTCAGAGTACTGCGAGATAATTTGTAAAATAAAAATAAAGACACGGAAACAATAATTTGACAAAAACTATGAAAAGTCTAAATGGCTTACACAGGCTTTAACTAGTTTACGCTGGAATTACAACCACAGGATTTAGCGTAAATTGGCCGTTAGCCGCTATCACTAAGCTAGTAGACTTACGTTACCAGAACAATTGTAGGTACTCTCTAACGGGTTCTTTATAAAATAAAATATATCACAATTCATTTAACATCGGTTTATATATGATATACAATCGCACCCTTACACACCGACCAGCGTAGAGAGCCAGTTTTACTACTTGCCCCCTCCCCCTCTCCTGTAAGCCCTGAATAGGGGACTCCGCTTCGGTCGAATCTGGTCCCTTTTCCCCCTCTGTTTAACTGCTTCTCCAACCCAACACTCACACGATATCGGGTTGGTCCGACAGCTGGTTAAGTGGAGCTTCTGATCCGATGGTTGTCAGTCGGACAGGAGACCGACCCGAGGAAGATGGGAGCGGATTATGACAGCTCTCATACCCCCAACTCTAAGCTCAGTCGTCGGTTGCGCTCCCTGCTGACAGTCCCTACGATGCTCCAGCAGTACAATCGGCCGTTCTCTACTCTGGTCGCCTCCCCTCCACTTGGTATATAAGGGCCTACGTGCTCTCAACGTCAATGATGTCACCAACATTGAAGAAACGTCACGACTTTCTACACTTACCTTTATTTAATTTGGCCATTCATTAAATGTGTCCTTTATTCGGTTAAACACCTTTAAGTGCATAGATTTTAAATGATAGATCTTGTTAAGAAATTAATCTCTGCTTAGCTTGTAAATATTTAACTGTAAGCCACTGATGAGTGTAGAATGACGTTGGTTTTAAATAGGATGATGGTAATATGAAAGTAAAAAACATGGCTTGATTCTTTTAAGACCATTGGCTTCAAAACCTACAAAATCTATTCAATATATCATTAGGATCTACAATATAACATTCAAAATAATACTGTTCAAAAATTTCCATGTCATTGCTACTAAACAAGAGGGTAATTTCAAATGTGTCTGGCTCTTAAGTTTAAAAAAAAAACATTAGTGTGAGGATCATTTTTGGGCCTTTAAGCATTTGGTTATTTTTAGAAGGCAGAGCTGAAATGTTAGAAAATGGACTGATAAATTAATCCATGTTATTCTCTAATCCACATCTGCTCTGAATTATACTAAGACTTAAATCATGCAATCTCACTAATATTTAAATAACTGTTCCTTAGAAAATTGTATAGAATAGAATAGAAATACATTTCTTCAATGTGGAAATTAAATAAATAATAAACTACATGTTTTTTTTTATTTTATTTTGCCTTAAAAAATAATCTGCCAGAAATCAGGGCTGAAGTTGTGGCTTTGCGAAGGCCCATTCCAAAGAAATACTTCTCATACTTGATGTTTAGTATTTTTCCCTGTTTGAGAAACATCACCTCATTAAGCCTTTTCTGTCATTCCATACTATAAAGTAATTAATAAAAGTGTGCATGATTTATGCTGATATATCAATCAATACTAAAAAGCAGCTAAATTGCTATCCTATCATGAATTAAAAAGTTGTATCATGACATCTCTGAAAAAAAAAGCAAAAAAGAAAAAAAACCACTAGCCTGCTTTTTTAATTCTAAAACCAGTTGTATTCATTCTCCTGGAGCATTTGAGTATTAACCTTCTGCTGAATTGAAATAATATTAAAAATTAATTTACTTTGAACGATGATCAGTACCAGTGGAATTTAAAAAAAAGCACACCATGATGCTCCCACCACTTCTACTCCTTTAAAGGTATTTTTTCCCCTTATATTTTGTCTTATCTGACAATGCGTCCGTTTGCCAAATCACTTTCTTGCATTCAAAAATTGAAAATTAGCAAGTGACGTTTTAAAAAGAAATATCAAAATGGATGGATAATGTAGAACAAACATTTTGCCCTCAGCTCTATTGAGCTATTCTTAACCAACAGACATGAACACTTCATATTCTGTCAAGGCAGTCTTATGTAAATATTAGGGTGTATGTATATGCTTCAGCCTGTAATATTAGTCTCTTAATTACAGAAAAATTAAATTTGCATTCATCCATTTTCAGTCACGCTTATCCCTGCTGGGGTCGTGAGGGGTGCTGGTGTCTATCTCCAGCTCTCTATGGGCGAGAGGCGAGGCACACCCTGGACAGGTCACCAGTCTATTGCAGAGTAACACAAACAACCATTCACACGCACACTCACCCTAAAGACACTTTAGAGAAGCCAATTAACCTAACAATCATGTGTTTTTTTGGACTGTGGGAGGAAGCCGGGGTACCTGGAGAGAATCCATGCATGCACAGGGAGAACACGCAAACTCCATGCAGAAAGACACCGGGCCAGGAATCAAACTCAGAACTTAGTAGTTTGACATGTACATTTTGAACAATAATATTCTAATTGTTATATCGTTGATGCTTACGATATATTGATAGATAAGATTTTGTAAGTTTTGCAGCCAAACGTCTTATAAAAATTAAATGGAATTCACCCAATTCTTGGTTTAAAATGATTATTCCTTGAATAATCACTCAATCTTAATTGCAACAAAATATAACTTTATAGCCCAGATAAATGAAAAGTTATGACCAAAGTGTTCTCACATTAGAAATAATAAAAAAAAAGAGACGGAAAACTTAGAAGCCAATACTTTCATCTTTATTAATCTTGTTCTCATTGTTTAAATAAATTTTTCTTCTGTAAAATCTCAAAACGAAAACACTGAACAGGAGTGTTAAAGCCTGTCTTAATTTAAAACAAATACACAACAACAAACCATTAAAAACGAACGGTAACGCTTACACTGTATCTGTAAACAACCCGCCCCACCCCTCCCCTCCCACTGCACACAGTTTGATAAGATTTGGCATGTCCATTTTCTCAACGCATATGCCTTCAGCTCTTTGTGTGATTAAAATGTTGTTTTTTTTCTATTATTGCAGGTCAGACAATAAAAAAAGACATATCTACTAAAAAACACTTCAAATGAAAGGAAAAAAAAGCATTAGTGCCAATATTTCTTTAACACAGTCAGCAGAAAACCAAATGCACTCGTATAACATTTTTTTTTGTATAGACCTTCTGTATAAGTAAGCAGCCATGCCCACATTATGACAGGCATTACCCATGCACACATCGTCGTCACATTCTCACACACATGCACAGCGACTGCGGTGGTTTAATCCACTTACTTGGTCTCAGTCTCACTCATACTCATAATGTGTATGATGCTGCACGCAGCATCGACACGTGGAGAAATGCATCGTAGCCTGAAAATGCCAGCGATTAAACATGTATCACTGCAACAGTAACAAACATGTTCAAGAACGAATAACAGAAAATAATAAAACAAAGAGTGCGTGAGATACAACAGTAGGAGGTCAGCATTTTGAAAACAGATCAATGACTTTTTTTTTTCTTCAGAATTTCACTATTCAAAAATTAAACCATACATCCAAACAAAACAGGAAGAGAAAAAAAAATGACATACACAGTAAGATACAACCCTGATCTTAATCAGAGCTGTTTGCATGTGTTTGGATTCAATCTCTGTCTTTAAGGGGATGTGAATACAAACTCCGCCCCCTGGCCTCAGTGTTCTCTTATTTGACGAAGGTAATGCTGTTTACAGTGCCTGTCTGTCTGAAAGGCTTCTCTGTATTTGGTGTGTGCATGTTTCATGTAAATCGGTTTAAAAAGTCCCCTACTTACTAAGCACATTGCAATCCAGTCGAGTCTTTAAGACTCACTGACTCTTTTTCATTCTTTATCAGGTTTTCAAGTCTAAGCAGTTGAAATCTTCATGTGTGGAAAAAAAAGGCTGAATACACATCTAACAGTCCCTGCATTTGTTTTTTATATAATAGCTTAAGTCTGGCCATGAGAATGTGTGTAAGCATATCTCACATTTCTGCTTTAAGGTGTGTGCACATTAATATGCATACTAGTATACGTATGCATGGGTATGTATTCAGTACATCAATATGCATATCATGTAAATGTGTGTGTGCCATATTAAGTACATATGTATCCCAGTGTATGCCCTATCAGTGTGTTCGAATCCGATCGTACTCGTGGAGAGGGCTCATCAAATGGAGTCGGCCCCTCCCCCCAACAGGTCGCCAGGCAACAGTCCAGCAGAGCTGTCCATTTGGTGCCTTTCCTCCATTTGCGGTGCTCCCCACAGGCTGCTGCTCGGGTATCCGGCGTTTATGCCCCCCCACAATCCAGACCTCCCGCTCTCTACTCCGCCGACGCCCCCTTCTCCGGCCCCGTTGGTGCTCCACTGGGAAAATATCGCAAGCCCCGGTCCTTGGGCTGGAGCCGTTTCTGAAGAAGCGCCCGTACCGTCGAGGCTCTGCCATCCGGAGCCGGACGCCCTCTCCCCTCCGGCGTTTCCATTTCCGCCTCCGGCTGCAGACGTGCCCACCGCAGGCCGCTCACTCCCAGGGGAGCTCCCCCCGCTGCTAGCCACAGCGGTGCCAGTTCCAGAGGAGCTGGGCGCTCCGTTGCCCGCCGCTCCTCCTGAGCTGGCCGCTTCGGCCTGGGAATGTGCAAAATAGCGTGCAACCTCTTCTTCGCTCACAAATTCAGCCAGGATGGTGGTGTTTCCAAGAACACACCTGTGAGGAAGTCAAAATGGAACATTTTTAAAACGAAAAGGGAATTCCTTACTGCAAAGCATTTACTGGGATTACCATTAAGATCGGTGTGAAAAGTGTTGCATTTGTCATAGAATAGGTTCATTTATACTGGGATTAAATTACACAGTCTGTTTACAGATTATTGAAATCTGCAGTAGCATTTGCGGATTCTGGTAAACTTACATGTGAAGAGCACCCTGAGCCTTGGCTGCCTCCTGCCGGCTGTTGTATCGAACCAGAGCGCTGCCCTGGGTTAGGCCCAGGTGGAAGGTCAGCAGGGGGCCGTGCTGCATACAGATAGTCCTCAGCGTGGAACCATCAATCTATGATGGAAAGAAGAGAAGGATTCATATATAACATGTCAAGAGCAGGTAACGAGATGTGAATGATGTCAGCTATACAGATTATACACCAGGTCCATTAACGATTGGGCCAGAAAAGGTAAGGAAACATTGGTGGTTGCGCAATTTTATCACTGCTTCACTTTTTAGAAATGGAAATGTCTAGAGAGCTGTACTGAATGGAATTTTTGTACAAACCCTGTATATACAAAATGACAAGCAGTTTGTGTAAGTCTAAGTATAATAATGCTAATGCATGTGAAAGGCTGGGTCCAAATAATGCAGACATTACTCTGGGTATTGCCTTGATTTGTAACTGGTTAATGGTTATGTGCCATCAAATAACTGGTGTGGATGATTCATGTAAGTTCATAAATTAATTTTATTTGGAGATTTTCCATGAGAAAGGTCCAGTCAATCTTAAATTATTATATGTCTTGTCTCCAAAATCCGATCTTAGGAGGGACCTGCTTCAGTCTGCCTGCTTTGCATAAAATTCGTCAAAATGTGAGTGGCAAAAAAAAAAAAAAAAAAACTATTTTTCATTAAAAAAATAAAAATTTAATGCACCTTTCGATTCCAGATAAAAATACGGTAACTTGGAGATGTCTTTTTTTTTTAACCCTCTTCTGTCACAATCACAGACTTCAATGTGTTTGATGAAAGGTCATGCATATGTGGAATGCAAAGGACGAAGCAGCTCTTTGCAACAAACAATTCTTTAAAGATAAATTTAAAGTTTTGCCAGAGAATCCATGTAGTTTTAGGCCTTTACTTTGACTAGGACATTCTAATGCATGATCACACTTTAAACTACTGGATTTTAGATCAGGCCATTTGTTTTTGGTCATCCTGCTGGATGTCGCTGTTGAAGCTGATTGAAAATGCCAAAAAAAAAACACTTTAGATTGGTGAGGTGTACATTTGGAAAACAACATGATTTCCCTTCCCCTTTACAACTACACATTAAGATGTGTTGGTATCTCAATGAATCCATTTAAGTTTGCAGCTGAAACGTAAGGAAATGTGAAATAGTTAGGAGTTGTAAAACCTTTAAAAGGCCCTGTACTATTTTCTATCTGTAAACAGCTGCATCCAATACTGTTTGTTTATCATAAAATACAGAAATAAGTAGGATTTTATGAAAAAAATTATCATATATAGCATTCACAACTTTGTATATGGGTAGTTTTATCTTTTTGTATTTTATAAGAAAGCCTATTTAGTTTACTGTATGAACCTGACTGAATATTCAGAGGTTGATGTTGAACAAAACAGAGATTTTGGAGATGAATCCAAGGATTACATATCAGTTATTTTATGTTACTTTTGTAACCACCAATGATGTCATCGGTCTCTTATTTCCAGGTCGCTTCCTCTGTCCTTACCTGAGGAGTCAGGTTTCTCAGCAACAGCCAGCAGCTGCCTCTAGAGGAACCACCATCACTCCAAGCTGAGCCTAAAAACAAACATTTATATAACAGAAAGAGAAATAAACAGCAGGATGAAACAAAAAAGATGACAAGCTGATGGCAAAACAGAACAACTAAAGTCTCTCTATAAACCTAACCCAAATTTTGCGGTCACAGTCACAATCAAGTTATGTGAACTGAAACAATCTCATCTAAAATGATAAAACAAAAGCTGACAAAATGGTTATGAAACCAACTCTCTCCAAAAAGTACCTGACCCAAATCTTGACTCTTGGTTCATCCCTCCCCAACTCCGGGCCAACCGTGGACCTCCAGTTCCCCACGGGGAGGGCGAGGCTTGCTTCTGATTGGTTAGGCCAGGAGGGGGGCGCGGCAGCTGCGAGCTATTGCGATTGGCCTTCCATAATTTGTTTTGTCCGATGGGCTCTGGAGGCCAGCTGGGCTTGTACTCCGAGTACTTTCCTGCGAGGAATATTGAGGGAGAGAAGGAGCATTAACTAAACTATGCAGAAATGGCAGCTTTGCAGGCATCCAAAAACCAGAATTGTTTAAATGCAATGAAAACATAAGAGAAGAAGAACTTAAGGTGGACCAGAGCAAAAAGGAAGAAAAATCTGACCTGTGCTGTGTGCATTGCTGAGGGGGCTGTCTGAGGCACTGTAGGGCCAGGCACCAGGTGAAGGCAGCGAGGTGTTGAGGGAGGGGTTTGGCCCTGCAAAACACACAAACATTAAAGGTAAACATCCAATGCTGTGATATACAATAATACAATTATTATTGTAGGGTGCAAAAAACAGCAGCAGGTCAGGAAAAAAAAAAATTAGCATCAAACTGTTTGTTGGAACCATTATAAGAATGGCAAATCACAAACAATCCAAATACTGATTTAATAAAAAGATCTTTGTGTCAGAGCTGCAGGAATCAGGAGAGCTGAGCGACAGCACAGAGAGGAGAGTTCTCCACTGTACTTATTCCTAAGCGATGTGTCATTTCCTTTGAGGTTTATTTAAGATGAGCCTGCATCCTTATAAGCCCCATTTACACTACCCTTGAAAAACCGATCCAGGCCCAGACCGGTCCGAGCTTGGATCGGTAACCAGGCCAAGCTCAGTTTTGACGACCGTTCACACGTCACACTTATCTCGGTTATCTCGACTCCTCGCCTCCTAGTGACGATGTGCGGTATTACTGCTAGGATTGAAGGAGGGACTCAAGCAGCTGGTGGCGGTAATGCACCAAACGCTGTTTGTCAACCGCCATAAAACCCAAGAAGAAGAAGACGAAGGAGGAGGGAATCAAGCAAATCAAAATGGCGGCGCCCGTCACATTCAGAAAGTTATGCTTGATTATTATTGCTGTACTTCCGTGTTTGCGGTGGGTCAGGCGAAGACGGCAACCTTGCGCGGATGTACTTGAATGGAGTGTGAATCGGCATGTTCAGCCAGTCGGCGATGACGCGTTCTGCTCATGCGCTCTTGTTATCAGAGAACCGAGCCAGGAAAAACCGAGCCGAACCCACCTCGGGAACTGGTCTGCAGTTAGCGCGGTCCGGTTATGTCTATCTCGGTTCAGTTCAGGTTGTTTCCGTTCACACACGACAAGTTATCTCAGTTACTGAGCTCGGACCGGTCTCGGCTCAGTTTTTTAAGGGTAGTGTAAACGGGGTAATAGGGTTTAGTTAGCTTCAATGAGCTAACCTGCCCTACCTGAGAGAGAAGAACCAAGCTAAGACACAGATAAGGAAATCTGTAGGAATGGGCAATATAGTCAAAATGTAAAACATTTGTTTCCACCAAGTCCGGTTTTATCGATTTTTCTCCCCCTTAAATTTCATAATAAAGAATGAAAAATTATACACATTAGTTTAAAAATCAGCTTTTTTTCAATCCCCTATGGTAGGTGAGCTTAATTTAAAGGGCGTCAGATTTCAAGCTCTTGAAAGTGCCTATGAAACAAGCGATTTTCACAACAATAAAAATATAACACACTAAATGTCTGCAGTTACTGGTTTTTCCACAGTAAGCTGGTTTATCAGTCATTAGCACACATCTAAGAACAAAAACTTATGAACTTATGTCTCTCTGAGCTATGGAAGCCAGTGGAGTGGAATTGGGAAGGAAAAAAAAAAGTAATAATAATAAAACTGTGAAACAATGAACCACTAAGCAAAAACAATCTTCAACTAATTCAGTAATAGATCAATGGTTAACTGGAGAATATAAATTATCACTCAAACTGGAATCTGAATTTGTTTAGAATATCTATTTTTAGAATTATATGAAAAAACAAAAACAAAGGGTAAGTGAATGGATTACTTATATAAAAGACCTACCACCCCAATAGCTGAACATGTATTTGTGGGGTGCAGTGAAGTACCTATATTGTCTCGCAGTAACGGGTGGTCGGGATCATTGAGGTTTGGGGATGCTGGGGAGCCGAGGACTCTACCAGGGGTCATGTAGGGATCAGACTCTGGGTCTCCAGTGCTCTGTATTCCTTTCCATGGAACGCCAGGCTGGAACTCTGTCGTAAGGGAACAGAAACACCATAAGGAGCTGAAATGATCAGTAAGATTTACATGTATTAACAAGATTTATAGCTCCGACTAATCTCTAATCAGATATTCTAACAATTTTAATCCCCAGAGTTCACATTTTCTGACTTAAACTCCTTAATCTGCAGTTACTTAACCTATACGAAGTAGAGATTTCATACTTTCCTCCTCAGACTATCACTAATCCTGTTAGCTTAAATGATAAGATGTACAAACCTGGAGGCCAGCTTGAAGTGGCCGGTTTGTTTCCCATTTTACTACCAGGAGTTCGGTGCCAGCTTTCTGCAGAGCCCTCAGGTGGGATCCCTAAACCTGCACTGCCCAGCATTTCGTACTGGGAGTAAGGAGACCCTCCTCTGACCTTTATAGAGCTGGGTAAAGGGCCTTATGGATAGCATGCGAGGAAAAGAAGAGAAAAAAAGAGCACAAGTCATTTTCCATTTCAGGTTTCCAGAATGGAGGTAAGTAATAAAGACAACAGGAGACATAACTATTACAGATGTATGAAAAAAAAAAAATCCCATTACCGTTCTTATGAAGGGCTGAGTCTGGAGGAGAGGGAGCAGGGGAATGTCCCTCCATCATCCATTTAAAGCGGGACTGTTGTCCGCTCATGTCTTTCATGCCCCCCATCATGGGGCTGAGTTCTAGAGTAGGAAGGTTACCACCACCTGTGAGCCCTGACAAGAACATATCAACTATCAATCCAGGCGCTAACGGGGCAGTTAGACACCAGATCAAACAGCAGCGAGTGTCTGGAGGACGTACCAGAGTACATTCCTTGTGATTTGGCATGAAGATCTGGTAAGTTACCCCCCATTCCAGCATGTGGAAGAGGGTCTACCATGGACTGCTTGGACACTCCTCCTCCAATGTGAGATGGAGACAGCTTGGGGTTCCCTCCTCCAGGTGTTGCTCCTCCAACTCCAACCTGCTGCTGTTGCCTCTGCTGCTGGATAATAGCCATGATTCTGGCAAGCTGAGAAGAAGACAAAGAAGTAGAATAAGGGCACCATTTCTTGGGCACTGCTCTTTACTCCATAGCCAGGAAAATATTTGATGCCATGGAAATAAAAAAAGCCAAATAATTAACAAAAAAAAAAACATATTCACAAGAATAACTCACTAATTTTATTCACAACAGAATCAGGGATTATATAAATTAAATAAGTGCACAAATAAACATAATAACCCAAATGTGACACCATGTGACAATATTTTATATTGTTTTAGGTATTATTCTTTTAATGTGCAAGTAGTCAAGAAATAGACTAATATTTAGTCTTATACCATGCCAAATTAGTTGTAATAACCCTACTGCCCTTTTTCAGCTTTTACAGCTAGCAGCTATATGGGGGTGTTTATGATGCTGCAGCTCCACCAGGAATCTGAACATTTTCTATCTCATGAGATTTATTAATAAATGTTTATACCACATACACCGACTAATAGAAAACTTTAGTGGTTTTAAAACCATAACTTTTTCCTGTTGGACCTTGAAATCTCTAACAAAACAATTTCTAGAACTTCATGATTGATCGCTCACTCTGATTATTTGATCCTTTTCTGCTTTCTGAGAGCTTCATTTCCTTTCCAGGAAGCCGGTGGTTTCTTTTTTTTTTTTTTTTTTTTTTTTTTTTTTAAACATACCTTTCCTGGCTTGCATAGGCATGCAGGCCTCAATATTTGGTGGAGAAGGAATATAAAAAATATTAGCATTTCTTTGAATGGTGCTAAGTTTTGGAGTTTTTCCTTTTTCAGTTTTCAAACCTATTTCAATTCCTTGCCTTCCATGTTGACCAAATGAGTTTAGGTTAAGGATTAAAGCTTAAAAAAAGACAAAAAAGGTATAAAACACCAAACTGATTCCTTATGCTACGGCTTCAGAATCTATGCTTTATTATGTTGCAGAATCATCTAAAGCTTTGAATCATTTCCTCTAGAGCTGAATGAGGAGACCACTTGATGTCTTTCTTATTTACTTGTTTATAGTTGCTGCTAATGCATTAGCAAACACAAGTGAAATGCTATTCACTCATTGTTTATGTCGTACTGTAGTCGCACCGCTTAGCAACGCAACCACTGAACTCAACCCGCTGAAAAATGAGCAGCGCAGCAATCATTATAGCTTGGCAGGAGGAGTCTGGCAACAAATGCTCCATGACTCGCTGTACAACAATTCCTAATTGTTTTTGCAGACGTCAGGAAATATTTGCGGCCCTAATAGCACGATTGGTTCCTCGCTTAAAGGAATAGTACACCCAAAACATGATTAGCCTTCATTTTCTACTCACCCCCATGCTGAACAACACTCTGGAGTACTTTTTTGATATCTCAAATGCATCTGGAGATCTGGGAGGCTTCTTGCTGTCTGCTGACATTCAAATAATGGAGGTCTATGGTGACCGAGACAGAAAGGTCCATAAAAGTCCACAAAAAACGTGTCAATATTCCTCCATACTGCTCGTCCAATGTATTCCAAGTGTCCTGAGTGGGTAGCATCCAGAATTTACTCGAAACGAAGTCATTTAGAATGTTTTTAGAGCATAAACAGTAGCGTATAGGATTTCCTGAAAGCGCGCACATGCGCGCTCACGACGCTACGGAAGCCGGCAGACCAAACCAGCGCATTCAGCTCGGCAAAGAACTCATGCTCTTCCTCAACACTGAAGTCCTCAGACATTTTTCTTTCATTGTATCTTTCTTTGCACAGGTAAACAGCACATTTCTTCTTCTACGCTTGCATTATTGGCAGAGCAGACGCTGAATGCGCACTCTCATCTGGTTTGGTCTGCCGGCTTCCGTAGCGTCGTGAGCGCGCATGTGCGCGCTTTCAGGAAATCCTATACACTACTGTTTATGCTCTAAAAACATTCTAAATGACTTCGTTTCGAGTAAATTCTGGATGCTACCCACTCAGGACACTTGGAATACATTGGACGAGCAGTATGAAGGAATATTGACACGTTTTTGTGGACTTTTATGGACCTTTCTGTCTCGGGCGCCATAGACCTCCATTATTTGAATGTCAGCAGACAGCAAGAAGCCTCCCAGATCTCCAGATGCATTTGAGATATCAAAAAAGTACTCCAGAGTGTTGTTCAGCATGGGGGTGAGTAGAAAATGAAGGCTAATCATGTTTTGGGTGTACTATTCCTTTAATGTCTTGGTAATTGAGGAGATGTAGCTGAAGCTAAGAAGCTCTAGATCTGCAGGGTATGAACGGCTCCAGAGGCTCACCTGCTGTGGGTCCGTCTGCTGTCTGAGAGGCTGAGGCTGGGGAAACTTCCTCTGGTTCTGCAGAATCTGCTGCTGCTGCTGTTGTTGCTGCTGTTGTTGTATCAGGAGCTGGCAAGCCTGTAGGTTGATAGGCGCTCGGTTACTGACACAAACTAATTACTATGAGGGCTTTATTCGCTTTCAACACCATGACTTGGCTGTTAAAGCAAGGTCGACAGTGGTTGAGCTAATGTAAATTGGTGAAAGCGATCACCAACGATGACTCATCCTAGTGTGCTGCATAACGTTATAGCACGTACCAGATGGAACTGCTGCACGTGGGGGTAAATGTTGCTCAGCATCGCGAGCTGCTGCGGGGAAATCGGAGGCGTCAAGACTCCTCCACCGACACTTGCAACGCCACCGACACCTCCCACCCCCCCGACGCTGCCACCAGGAGAGGGCATCTGCTTCAGCATGGGACCCGGCACCTATATGGGAGGAATGGATTGGGAATATAACATTGAGAGGAATGGAAATCAAAACAGAAGTGCACTGATTGCAGCGGAGATAGACCAGTTCATCTGCCAACAGTTATTTTTGGCTGATATTAATAGTATTTTTCTATCCATCGTTTATGTTTTCTTTAATCTGTTAATAAATGTTTCTTTTTGTTTAACATTTGTCAACATTGTTTAATGTGTATCATGCTACATATTTTAAGAAGGGGACAAGGGTCAACACCCCCCTCTTGGACATTTTGTGCAAAACATTACTTATTGTCACTTGTGCAATATTCTTCTCTCTTATTGTACAATAATTCATCTCAACTACTCTGTAGCCTGTGTAATTTTTAACTTATTTACAAGATCAGTACATTTCGGCAGCACAAGTGCAATAATCCAAGTCAACTACTAGTCTTCCCGTAGCTCTCTAGAGTAGATATTTTTATATCTAAGCTAAACATATTGCTTATATTTTTATGCTTTTTGTACTATATGCTCTCTTTTTATATTATCTGTCATACTTTTATTTTTAATGGCATCTTTAACTCTTTGTACTGTATATGCAACTAGAACAAGAATTTTCCTGAAGGAGTTTTCCCAAGCGATAAATAAATAAAGTTGGAGTGTAAGTCTTTATGCTACAAGTTTGTTAGAAGGTTAAACACAGTAGTGCGAAGTTGATATTTTTTAGGTTTCACACTTATTTAGGTAATTCGCAGGATCTGGTAATGTTAGCAGTATTTTTTAAAGAGCTAACTGCATTAAGTGTCAATTTAGGAGGTCAAAAAACTTCAACTAAACTCTCTTATACACATTGATCAAACTTAGCGAGCCATTAGGCTAGTACTCAGGATATATCACCCACACTTTCCCCATCAAAGTGTTGTTTACATCTCATCTCATGTATTTACGTTCATGGAAACAAAGGAAGCTTATGATCACAATTATTTTGACTGATTTCATTTCTACACCTTTATACAGATACGGAAAATTTAGCAGCTCCAACAAGAGAAACGAAAACCTGTTTGTAACCCAAATAATAAAAAACAAGAGGAAAAAAGTGAGGACAACAGACCTGAGCAGACAGGAACTGATGAGGCACTTGACTCCTTAACCCCTGGGAGGCGTTCATGGAATGCATGCCAGGCTGGTGCATCCCTCGAGGCTGAGGCATCCCTCCAAATACTCCATGGCCGCCCATCTAGTATGAACAACAAAAAAATTTGAAAAAAAAACAAACAAGGAACAAAATAGAACCTTGATTTTTGTTTCAGGTGATTTAATTCTTTTATTTACGCTGATGTTAAAGTTAGATTTTAAAAACTTTAAGAACCTGATCATTTTCTCAGGTCATAGTTACACTCTTACCTTTTCACCATAGGGTCCCATGTCACCGGGGCCCATGTCTTTGGAACTAGGCATGCGGTACCCTCCTCCACTTCTTCCTCCCCTTCTCATTTCTCCATTATAGTCATTCATTCCCCTCTTGTCTACATCCAGCTTTTTTTCCATCCCTGGATCATCCTAAAATAAAAAGGCCCATCATTAGATACAAACTTTTCATAAAAGCAAAGCTGATCAAGTTTCCTAAAAACAACTTCTTACCAGGAGACCCATGTTGGAAAACTGGCGTGAAACTGGATTCATCCAGCTGTCTGCTGCTCCAGTCTTTAGAAGAGAACCACAAACATGACCCTTAGTCCAAAGACTTGTTTTAAAAACAGTGATGCGCTAAACCGCCCGTCCCGTTCCTACCTTGACATTTCCTCTCTTCCCAGCATGACCCTGACCCCAGCCTCCAGAGTTAAACGAAGAGCCGCTTCCCTGAGAACCCGTGCTGTTCCACACTCCGCCATCGCCGCCGCCGTCCTCATCCTCCTCCCAGCTCGGATGCCTGGAGGCCACGATGGAGCCGTCACTCTTCCCGCCCCAGCTTTCTACAGTTTTTACTCCTGCAGCGAAAAACAAAGCAGCCATTATTTGCCGTTTGCTTTAACAAGGAAAAATCCAGTCTTTATTAACTAAAGGTTTTAGGAAATATTGCTAAATTTTGCCAATATCAAGCTTTTCTTCTCTGTTCTTACCAGGTTTACTGGGGTTTGGTGAAGGGTTCCTCCAGCCAGAAACTTTGCTGGAATCATCTGGGTCACCCCAACTTGTTGCAGCATCCGACGCCTGGCCCCAAGCTGCTGTACCATCATCCACATTTTGTGTAGTTCCGCCCCACATGCCTACAGACGGAGAGATCAAAGAGTTCAACATTTTGTTTTCGTCTTATAATATAGAGGAAGCTGAAAGCTTGTAATCAATGCTGAGGTTTTTCTTACCCACTGCGCCGCTGCCAGGGTTGGAATTGATGCTGTGCTGCCTCCTCGGCGGCTGTTGTTGGACTGGTGGCGGGGGGCCCTGCTGACCGTGATTTGGGCCCGGCGTCGCACTGTTCTTGTCCCACAGGTTCACGTTCTTGTTGTTGTAGCGCGTCGGGTCCCCCCAGGCCGACGTGCCGTCGTCGATTTCCATTTTCCGACTGATGGACTGAGGGGAGGGCTCCTCCCAGCCACTGGGCTCCAGGGAGTCGCCCGCACCCCCAGAGATTTGAGGGATTGGACCAGAGGTCCAGCCTAGACTTTGGTTGGGGTTCTTTGAAAGCTGACCTCCTCCTCCAGCACTGGGCCGGCTGTTCCAGCCGCCCGGCGGGTGCTGCCCCTGTGATTGCTGCTGCTGATTTTGGGCTTTCATTGGTGCCACTTGGCTGTTTGGTATCTGTGCTGCGTTGGGTTTGGCGTTCCCCCGGTCCTGGTGGGATTTGCCTCCACCCGCATCGCCTCCTCCTCCTCCTCCCCCCCATCCTCCTCGCTGAGGTCCTCCTTCTTCCAAGTTTCCCCAGGAGGATCCTTCATCGGAGTTGCTTCCGACTCTATTCCTCCCATCTCCCAACCCAGCTCTAGATGTGGAGTCTCTCTTCCCCCATTCTTCTCCCCAACCACCCGCTTCTCTTGCAGACCCCTTCCACCCCCCTGTTCCTTTATCTTCGGCTGCATCTCCCCACCCACTACCCTGTTGTTCAAAGTCTTGCCAGTTTTTCCTTCCTCCTCTGTGACCTCCCCACTGTAGGTCATCCGTCCTCCATCCTTTGCCCTCTTTTTCAGGCGGCAGCTCCCCCCACCCTCCGGCTATCTTTCCTGGGCCGCCCTGCGCATCGTCTTCTGGTGGTCCAGGCTTCCTCATGGTGCTACTAGACATAAAAGGACCACCGGCAGGCTGTGCCGTACCACCATCCCAATTATCCCTGGATGCAGATGAACTGGAGTTTAGGCTGCCAGATGAAGCGTTGTTAGAAACAGAACCGCCCTCCGATGGGTACCTAGAGCTGCGGTTGGTGGTAGTGTTTATGGCTGCCGATGAGAACGCAGAGGAAGATGAAGGGTTCCTGTCATTTCCGTTCCCCACACCCTTCGAGGTGTCCAGGTCCCAGGCCACATTCTGCTTGATCTGAGTCTGACCCCAGCCCGTGTTGGACAGAACCCTGGGGTCCAGGTCAGATCGGTTCAGCATGCTAAGTAAGGCCACTTCTGCCCCGGAGGCCTGGTTGGAGTGCTGCTGCGCAGAGCGCTCCTTTTGTCCACTTCCGCTCCCGGCTACGGATCCAGCGCCACTGGACGAAGAATGTCCTCCACCCTCGCCTACGGCTCCATCCTGACCCCCCGCTCCTCCCCACTCCCCAACCACCCCATCCCCTCCTTCCATCCCTTTCTGATTGTCCCAAGCTTTTGTAATATTTGCTAAATTTTGGGAGGCGGAGTCGTCTAAAGAGCCACCGCCGCCCGCGCTGTCCGTACTGCTGCTGATGCTGCTCCCTTCCACCTCTCCCCCACTTCCTATTGCTGAATTAACAGAACTCACACTTTCTGAAGTGCCACCCCAATTTGCTTCCGTACTCCCTCCTTCCCAAGCTCCCTGAGATTCGACTGGGTTGGTTGACCCCCCGCCATTCCCCCTGCCCCACCCTGCTTTGTCATACTGGCTACCAAACTTCCAAACACTTTCTTCCTGCCCCTGAGCCCCGGTAACCCCTCCGCCCCACCCATCGGCCTGGGAGACACCTGTGCCAATTTCAGATGACACCGGAGGCATGGCGCTCCAAGATGAAGAGACAGAAGTAATGCCACTTGCTTCACCTTCAACCTTAGAGTTTCCCTCGTTGCTGCCTGCCTGATTTGGTCCCGCTTCTTTCGCCGCCCCCTCTGGACATGGCTCCGGCCCTGGGTTCCCTAAGTGCTGCTGTTCTCCAGTCTTGGCTCCCACAGCCGTTTCAGTGTGCTGCTGATAGAGACCAGTTTGATTCACAGATGAAAGTGTCTGAGTGGTGATGACAGTGGTGCTGGCAGAGAATGAGGAAGCTGAAGTCACGGACGAGTGTTGCTGAACGGAGGTCCCGCTCTGGCCTAGGGCGGGCCAGGCAGAAGGGTTCACATTAGGGTTAAAGTTGGCACCAGGGACGCTGCTGCTGCCACCAAAGGGGCTCTCTGGAGGCCCGGGAAGATGGGAGACTTTGGAATTGTAAGACGCTGCCGAGCCGTGGCCTACTTCCACTTGGGACTGGGTGGAAGAGACCCACACACCACTTGGCTGAGCACATTCATTAGGCGAGGAGGAGGAAGAAAGAGGAGAGGAGCGAGGTGGGGAAAGATTGTCCATGTTGCCTTCTCCTCCTCCGGCTGTTCCTCCCTTCTGCTGCATGTTTCTCTCCCCCCATGAGGCACTACTGTTGTTGTTACCAGGGCAGTCCTGCTCCTGCATCCCTCCTCCGGCCCCTTCAGAACTCAGTTTGGGGCCGGCGGTGATGCTAGGCCATTCATCCAGGTCAGTCCCGTCCATAAACACCTTCCCGCAGTCCTGAGAGGAGGACTGGCTGCTGGAGCCTGCCCCCCATGTGGAATTTGCATAAGTTGAAGTAGTAGAAGACGACAGAGCAGCAACACAAAATGAGGATGAGTTGGGCGGTGAAGGGGGGGATGAACCCACGTTGGAATCTGAGAAAGACATTTTACTTTGAGTTAATTCAACTGGAAATGAATTCAAACATTCACAATGTGATCTTTAATCTTTAACATTAAACTGATCCCATTACAACGTTTAATTCTGACGTTTCTCATTATTAATTTAATAAGAAGCTCTGGCTGCAGAAATAATTTTGCTTCCTAAATTATGACTAACTTACTTTTAACGTTCATAGTAGCAGATTTTAGCCTTACCTGTGTTTCCATCTGTGTTTGCATTAGGGCTATCTGCCCCCTGTAAGGATGGGCCACCATCCCACCCGCTGCCGCCCCCGCCGGCCCCTGCGCTGGCTTCCCCTCCCCCCAGCAGCATGGAGGACAGAGGTGGCTGGCCCCTCTTCAGTAGCACTTTATGGTCCTGCTGGCTGCGGAATCGCGGTGGGACCTCTCTAGACATGTATCGTTGCTGCTGCTGCGCACTTTGACTTCCAGAAGGAGACGAAGAGGAGGAGGAGGAGGGCTGTCCGTTGGCCACAGCAGTACGCTGCTTTGCATTGTTTCCACCACCAGGAGGGACTTGGGCGGAACCCCCAGCGGCACCAGGACTGGGGGACGATGGGGCGACGGGGCCAGGGCTGGGGGACACTGAGCCTGGGGCGGCGAGCGGCTGGGGACAGGAGGGCTTGGCTGGTTCTGGCACTGAGAGGTAAACGCAGGAAGGTGGAATTTAAATCGTAAAGGTTACAAATTATAAAAAGCACAGGAACCCTTTATACCATATACCATAAATTAAGTATTGATTGAAAATAAAAAAAAACATACCTTTGATTTTCTGTTCTGGCACCTGAAAAAGGTCAGAAAGAGAACGTTAAGATTTAGTCCTCATTAAATGGTGATAATGATACATTTTAATTAACTTTAAGCAGAATTCCTTAAACGTTTTTCAGTATATAGCCAAGTGATAGTGCTATATTTTCATTCTGCATCTGGGGAGAAGTTCATAAAAAACAAAAACAAACAGAAACTGCGCCTTGCAAAGTGCCCAAACCCTTTAAAACTTGTTTTCTACTTTCTTTTTAAGACAAACAGAGAGAATAAAACCAGAAAAACCCAATTAAATACCCAGAGTGTTTGGCTTACTCAGAAAAGAATGTAAACAACAATCTCCGATCCAAAAATAACACATTTACTTATGCAGCAAAGCTGCAGCACAATTCAGAGAGAGGAAGAAAACATCAGTTGATTTACTTCATATAAGCATCCATTAGCCTCATTCCCAGTTTTTTACTTTTAGCTAATTATTGTAGGTGGTAAACCAAAACATTAGTTAAGTTTTTCTTCCATATGCTTAACAGTTCAGGGTCAGCCCATGTATGCACACGAAGAGTGCATAGGTCAGCTAAACCTGCTTAGATGTTAGCCTCGGTAGACCTCCACCTGTGGTCAGAAATCAGTCTGACTCAAACTAGAAGCAATGAACCACATTTAAACCGCTACTCTAAGCCAACAATAAGTGATATTTACCAACTGAAAACATTCAGTAAAAGCCAAAGATGTACCTTCTGAGAGGTTTCCCTTTTCTTTTTCTCTTCTTTCTTCTTTTTCTTGTCTTCCATGAACTGCTGCTCCCCTTCTTGATTCTCCTGTCTGTAAACAGAAATGCCCACTTTTAATTATTCATGTTATTAATGTCCCTTGGATTTAAACTTTCATGTCTCCAAACCACAGCATCTACATAAACAAACCACTTGAGGTTTTCACCAGAACTTAACCTAAATGCTCAAACAATGTCAGAGTTATAAGGACAGTAATGTTAACCAGGGGGAGACAACTTAGAAATAAGGCCTTGGTACACTGTGTCTGCCTTGCATAATTCATTAACCGGCAAACCATTGCATTTCCAAACGGCAGACAACACAGACTGCAGGAAAAACACTGCAAACATGTCTGGCTGCAGGATCCAGAGGATAACAGGTCTACTGTGAAATGATCAGAGGTGACTCATGTGTTCAGTTCTAAATAAAAAGTGAGATTTGCAATAGAAGAGATTTTAAAGCTGCATTTCATTGCGAGAGATATTTTTTTTGAAAAAAGAAATCTCCCAAAAAAATATATGTTATTACTTAAAAGGCCCTGTGACATCAGTAGAGTGTTAATCAATGGCGCTTACCTTGGCCACATTGTGGCACTATCTTTCTTATACCTTATCCAAAACGCTTAGGTTATCCTGAGCCATTTTCTGCATTTGTGCTGCTATAGCCTTAGAATGCTGGAGGGCGTAGGGACCCCTTTTCCTCATTCTCTCTCTTTTCTCCCATTCTGCAGTATTTGTTATTTCAATCTCTAACATTATGCTCTCTCTGCTTTCTCTCATAGTGGCTTTATCTGGTCTGTTTCTGTCTGGCTGTGACTCCATCCTGGAGGTGGTATTAGCTGTGCTGCTGCCATCAACACCATTGTTTGTTGATGCTAGAGCTTTGCCTGTTTTTCAGTGTAGTCCTGTGTCTCTGACTGTGACTAACTGTATGTGCTCTCTTCAACCACTGACATGGGAGCTGGCTAGGAGCTTGTCTGCCTGGCTGTGTGTTTCCTGGACAGGGTCGCCAGTGGAGTTGATAGACAATTGCCTTTTGTATCTCTGCTTCTTTTTTGCATGTCCGCTTCTATCAATTTGAACCCGTCGTCCTCAGCAGATGGCCGCTCACACTGAGCCTGGTTCTGCTGGAGGTTTCTTCCTGTTAAAAGGGAGTTTTCCTCTCCACTGTCGCTACAAGCATGCTTGGTGTGAAGGATTGCCTTCAAATCAATGAGTATTTGCAAACATAGGGTTTTCCTTGGATAGAAACTTTGAACCAATCTGGCTGTATGATTAAAGTACGTTGAGAGGACGTGTTGTGAATTGGCACTCTATAAATAAACTGAATTCAATATCATTTTTAGGATAATATATAAATCCTAATCTTTATGTCTGCTAAAGGAAAGGAAACTGTTTTAAGAAAACCGCAACTCAAACCTAAACAGTACATTCTGTTAACGCCATTTGTGTATTTATTAGGTAAACACTGGTCCATATTTTTTAACTTCTAGATTCGGATATCTGTTTCTGATCCAGACACTTTGTCTGTTTAATGTCGTCATCGTTACTGTTGAGTTTTTAAGAGGCTGTCATAAACTCTCTACACTCAGGTAGGATATGTATAAACACTAAATGGTGGCTCGATATTAGTAGAAGGTCAGAAAAGGAAGTAATCAAAACAGGAAACCTTGTTTAAAGGGCCAGCTTTATTCCTGAACACAATCATTCAACTAAAGGGTTTACATTTTGTTTTTAATTAACAAAAGACAGATGTCCATAAACTTTTCTGCAGTTCAACAGATTTTCTTTACATTACTGAATAACTGTTCCCCTGTGAATCAGGTCAATTTTTACCAATAAAGGATCTAAAAATGTTCTTCAACATCAGGACCTGTACGATAATATAAGATCCGTGCACCTCTAGTATTTAAATAGTACCAAATATATCGAACTTTAACAACAAAAAATGGTTAAAAAGGTACTCATTGTGCATGAATGTATTCAGAATTTTTAGGGTGGGTTAAAACCTTTTCTTTATTGGTAAAAAGTATATCTTTATAGATTTTTACGTATTGTAGTTTAGCCCCCTTTGCAGTACCTCTTAATGCAGAACGTAACCCCTCCTTCATTGGGGTGTGTCTCAACTAGCTTTCTAGGAACTGATACAGCTGCTAAATCCTCTGCAAAATAGCTAAAACCGAGTCACATTAGATGGAGAAGCTGTGCTTTTAAATTGTGAAGAAAACGTAATTCGATTTAGATCAAATTTCCTACAAAAAAAGCAGAATGTACTCTGTACTCTCCGCCTTGTTTTCAGGTTCTTAAAACCTCTTTTTTTTAGGTTTTCTTTACTTTTTCGCTCCATAAATCATCTCCTAAGCTTCATCGTCTTATTAAGGTGAAGCCTCCCCAGCATGCTGCTACCGTCGCCGCTCCGTATTTAAAACGAGGACAGATCATTCAAGGTGAACATTGGAGTTATGTTACAGTGTTTTGCATCTAGTTAAAAATATGAATTTCTGCTCATGGGTTTCTGCCCAACAGCTTTTTCCCCCCTTTTTATTTAATGTTCCCTTTGACACTCTTTATTAAGCCATAGTGCACCTGAGCAGAGCATCTCTCGAGCTCCTCCACAACCACCATCAGCATCTTGCTGCTTTTTCTGGTTATTTATCTGAAATATTTGCAGCTTTTTCATTTCATTTCCATCTACAGGTTCCCTGGTTTAAGTCAATAGTTTGGGACATGGTCTTATAACCAAAAACTTCCTTTAAACCTCCATCCATAACATCCTCCCTGACCTACTGCTGCTTTCATTTGCCTTCAGGACATGTTTTGCTCACCATCTCCTTTATGAAAACATCAAGAAAAGGTTTTAACCACTTTAAATAAACTACAAAGATGGAACCTATTAATTAATTTACATCTCATCACTGATGTTAAAGAGGAAAGAAAATGCTCCATGCAAATGTAGACATTTGTAAAACAAAAAAGCTAGATATGCCTCTCATTTAGCTTCACAATGTCTAACCACCTTGTGTTGAACTATTATAAACAATCTGATCTAAACATATTTAGGTTTGTGTTTTTTTTTTCCACTATTACAAAGCTCTTTAGTGGCTGTGGATCTCAAACAATTCAGCTTCTTAAAGGAATAGTACACCCAAAACATGATTAGCCTTCATTTTCTACTCACCTCCATGCTGAACAACACTCTGGAGTACTTTTTTGATATCTCAAATGCATCTGGAGATCTGGGAGGCTTCTTGCTGTCTGCTGACATTCAAATAATGGAGGTCCATGGCGCCCGAGACAGAAAGGTCCATAAAAGTCCACAAAAACGTGTCAATATTCCTCCATACTGCTCGTCCAATGTAATCCAAGTGTCCTGAGTGGGTAGCATCCAGAATTTACTCGAAACGAAGTCATTTAGAATGTTTTTAGAGCATAAACAGTAGTGTATAGGATTTCCTAATAGCGCCCCCATGCGCGCTCACGATTCTACGGAAGCCGGCAGACCAAACCGGAAGGAAGTGCGCATTCAGCGTCTGGTCTGCCGATAATGCAAGCGTAGAAGAAGAAATGTGCTGTTTACCTGTGCAAAGAAAGAAACAACGAAAGAAAAATGTCTGAGGACTTCAGTGTTGAGGAAGAGCATGAGTTCTTTGCCGAGCTGAATGCGCTGGTTTGGTCTGCCGGCTTCCGTAGAATCGTGAGCGCGCATGGGGGCGCTATTAGGAAATCCTATACACTACTGTTTAGGCTCTAAAACGTTCTAAATGACTTCGTTTCGAGTAAATTCTGGATGCTACCCACTCAGGACACTTGGATTACATTGGACGAGCAGTATGGAGGAATATTGACAAGTTTTTGTGGACTTTTGTGGACCTTTCTGTCTCGGGCACCATGGACCTCCATTATTTGAATGTCAGCAGACAGCAAGAAGTCTCCCAGATCTCCAGATGCATTTGAGATATCAAAAAGTACTCCAGAGTGTTGTTCAGCATGGGGGTGAGTAGAAAATGAAGGCTAATCATGTTTTGGGTGTACTATTCCTTTAAGCTGCACATAATCAGCAGGGTGTTTACAGTGCTAGTAGCAGCTAACTTTTTCACTAGTTTTTAAAGGATTTATGGATTTTTTTTACAGTTCTGCAAGCAGTAGAAGAAGATATCATCCTGATCCCTATGTAAATAACATGCTAACGTGCAGTCGATGCTAGCTGTCAACAGAGTAGCTTCCCTTCCAGAAGCTGATCCCGATGAATTAGCGGCTGAACGCCGAGATGTGAGCCAGAGAAGCGGGCTGAGCTGTCAGACAGCCAGGTGTCCATGTAGCCACATCCTAAACGCAGCCGAATTCACTACAACCACATTAATTTATCAACAGCCTGCCACCTGCGCTCATTCCCGATCATTTTCACACATTTTCAATTACAATTAGCTTTTTTAAAAAGAGCGTTTGGGTTAGCAGGCTGCTTTTAAAATGTGCAGGGCCAAATTTATACGACGAAACTTGTATGACGTTTGTCCAGGCGAAGCTACCCTAAAACAGAAAGCTTTTAGCTTACCGTGTAAATGAAGGGAAAAAAAAACAAAACCAAGCTGCGGGGTTAAGCTGCTTCCTATTTGATGTGAAAACGCCCAATGAAGCGCATGAACGTTTTAAAGTATTCACTCACCTCGGGAATCACACAGGACATAAAGTGCTTCTGTGCAAAAATTCTTGCAGACCCACCGCTAGCAGGCTAGCAAGGGAGCTAGCCTAGCGAGCTAGTTCTTCGAGGCTTTCAAGGCTAAATTGAATAAGAAATGACATCACCGGCGGGCGAAAATACGTTAATCGTAGAAAAAGTGGAAAAAAAACACAACTGTCCTTTTTTTCTTTGTTTGCTTGTTGCGAAAATGTAGTTCTCAATCTGTAAACAAAAAATACATATCCCCTCGATGACTGTCTATCGCTGTGTGATCAGTTAGTTTACAATCGGCCATTTTGCTTCTCTGTGGAGGTTCAGCCAGTGTATTATATCACCAGGCTGCTTGTTGATCAGAGAGGGGAGGAGGAGCGCGGCCAGTGCGGCTGCTCGCCACCAGGGGGCGCTTTAAAACTGTTGGCAAATTCCCTATTCCATGGGCGCTGCAATTATAAGTATGAGCCACCAGAAGGCGCAATTATTTTAAATTATACATTCAATTGCCCAATAAATGTGATAATGTGACAGTGGTGTTAAAAGTGCACATCTTTGTTACTTAAGTAGAAGCAGGGGGGGATTTAGGAAATTTGGGGCCCTGGGCAAAGACATGCATGGGGCCCTCTGAATAGAGAAGACAACACAAAAAGCAGACCCATAATACAGATAAAGAAATTTTGATAGAATAGGCATACATTATTTGTTCTAACTTTTATTTGGTTACCTTTTACTCCATGTTTTTTTTGTCCCTTTCTGTTCATATTGGCAATGTTTCATGCTGTCTCAAAAGGAATCAAAGATTTTCCAGCCACTAAGCCTATTCTAACTTTGCCGATTGCTCCTTCCTGTGTTTCCAAAAAGGCGACGACAAAAGTAAATCTTTTCACTGAAGACAAGCCATGATCTGCTTATCTGCCCTCCATTTTTCATTTGTATGAAATAATAGCTGCATGAATCATGACAGCAGACAAGAAAGAGGATAGCAGGAGGCGGGGTTATGAATCTACTCGCTCTGGAGAGCAGAGTTAGCTGCTTTTATATGTTGTTGCCAAAGTCTCCAGTAGCAGAAAAAAGTCGCTAGATTTTGGGCAAGGCGCTCTTTTGAAATCAAAGTACTAGAGGGGTCTGAAAAGTCGCTAAATATAGCGACAAAAGCGCTAAGTTGGCAACACTGCTCTTGCCACTGTTTGTTTTTAAATGGTTTGCTGCTGTCTGTTTGGACCTTTATGCACATGTGCAGCAAATGGACTGATCCAATATGGTGGAAACTGGAGGGCCTGAGACACACTTAGTATTATAAGGGTTCTGATGGCATTTTAAGGAAGGGATTTTTATCAAAAACATAATTAATGTGCACAAATAAGGAATAGTTGTATTAACCATACATGTAGACAGAGTTTTATGGGGCCCCCGGGAACTTGGGGCCCTAGGCATTTGCCTAGTTTTGCCTAATGGTAAATCCGCCCCTGAGTAGCAGTATAGATACTGCAGTTTAAAAACACTCTGGTAAAAGTTGAAGTATCAGCTTGACCTCTTTACTCAAGTAAAAAAGTATGTGCTCCAAAAACTACCTAAAGTATAAAAGTATAAAGTAACCTTAAAAAAGAAAAAAAAAAAACAACAGCCAGATGCCGCTATATAAATTGTAAGCTCAATTTTTCGACTATTTTGAAAAATTCTTTGAGATAGGGCCAAGGATGAGGGAGGTGTTGTTGGTCTCCATCTACCCATACGCTCTCGTCTGTGTCCGACCTTTCAGACATTTCAACATCTTTTTCTGAATCTGACATTGTAGCATGGCATAGACAATTCATGTTTGCAGTTTGACGAACACCTGCTTGCTTCTAATGATTTCCTTTAGCTAACCAATGAGTTTTTGCGTTATGTGACTCATCCAATTACACTAGTTTTCACTAGATGTGGATGGAGCCAATGATCTGCATCGGATGGCGCACATGACGTGAAATAAATATTTATAAGCATTAAACTGAAGCCAAGAGTAAAGAGTAACGTTTGTTTTAAAAATGTAAAGGAATAGAAAGTACAGATACTTGTGTGAAATTGTAATGAGTAGAAGTCAGAAGAAAAATAAGTAATGGAGTAAAGTATAGATACCTAAAAAGTGTACTTAAGTACAGTAACGAAGTATTTTTACTTCATTACTTGACACCTCTGCAAATTATTAAACTATTATTAAACAACTTTCTAAGCATCTCTACAAATAATTACCATAACGCTTGTTACATTATAATAACTTATAATAATAACATAACAATATATTGTATAGTAAAAGTATTTCTGATATTCATATTAATTTAGTGATAGTGATACACAAACCATCTTTTACATCAGCTTATACAGGAATAATAAAAGTATCAAATGTTTCAACAGCAAATTTCTGATTATACTGAAGAGAACTTCTGGGTTTTATTTTATAAGTTCAGTATTATACCAGGCATTTACAAAAAACAACAAAGAAATTCCTTGTTAAATAAAAAGCATGGTTTTGCAGTGTAATGCATCATTATATTCCATTAAAAAATAAACACAACAATAAAAGAAATCCAGACCAAAATGCTGTCCATTTTACTTAAACATGTCAAGAAATGTGCATGGCCTTTAAAAATATCATAAAAAAGAATTCACAGTAGTCCAGAAAGTAGGATATATATTTGGTTGCTGTACAATACTAACCATTTTTTTTATAACAATATGCCTTATTTAAAATGCACAGCTTTTAAAAATATAATAAAACTTTTCATTTAGTGAGAAGCCTGAATGTAAAGACATGCTGCAAATTGAAGAATTTCCCGCAGACTTATTTGCAGCAACAATAGCATGCACATTAGGAGTAGGAAGGAAATAGTTAACATCAACATGCTTAAAAGGCTGATCTTGTTCTACTGAAATTCAAAATGTTCTTTGCACAAATACTTAACGTCATAGCCACTATAAAGACCAAGGTTAGGTTTAGTACCTTCTCCTCTACCATCATAATCTAGTTTGTGTATCTATCTAATGCAGCCGGTCAAGTTCAATCCATGCTACTGCCCTCTGCTGCCCTTGGATTGCATTGCGTAAGGCTTCCAGCAGCTCCTCGGTGCAGCTCCAGGTGTTTGGCTCCACAGTGTAGTAAAGAAGAGGCAGGGTTTCCAGCTGCAGCTCCTCGGCCTGGCACACCTCCTCCATTATGTTGTCCTCTCCACACCTCGGAAAAAACTTCCTGTTTAAAATCACACCAACATATCTCAGTAAAAATGGTGCTCTTTAAAAGTAACATTATTCTAGCTTCAACCTGGGAGAACGAGTAAATCTACCGTAGCTTCTTGTGCTTTTTGTTTTTAGGGCGAATGTGGATGACAATGGGGTAAATCCCCTGCCTCAGCAGACCCTCAACGCTGGGCAGCCCCAGCTCTAACAGACAATGCCTGTCCTGGTGGAGATAAAGGGGAAAGAATGGGATGACAACATGCCTTCAACAATGTGTTTGGGTTCTGCTTTTGTGCCACGCAGAACAAAAGAACACCAAGTTGTTTTTACCTGACTGATCACATCCTGTATTGATTCCAGCCGTATTCCCAGATTCTGCTCTGGACGACAGGAATCCAGCAAAAATATCTTTTTGTCCTTTTGTTCTGAAGCGTGAATAGGCTCTAAAAATAGGAAACAGAATGAGATGTTGGTCAAACTTTACATCCACATGATGCTTTATAGCAGAGGTCTTCATGACCCCTAGTGGCTCTGTGACGGTACTGCATAATGCGAGATATTTCCAACATTTTTTTTTCACATTTTCTTTTTATTTAAAAGATATGATTCCACCATCTAGCTAATTGATAAACAGAGACATAAAATAATGTAATTCACTCAGAAATGCTTCCACTGAGTGGGCACACTAGTTTCCTCTGAACCTCTATGCATAAGGTTACCCCATCCATAACTTCACACACTTTATATTTGCAAAAATGTTTGAGTTATTAGTTCTGCACTTAATGCAAAATAACAAGCAGGTTGTTCTCAGCAACACTAAGTAAAAAGTAATGTATTAATTGTGTAATCTTATTAAACATGTACAGCCATAAGGCAGGTTTAACATAATACTAAGCCTTATTTATTGGAAAATGTAATATATTACATATATATATATCTGTCTGTATGCATGTACAAAAGGGAGTCCTTGCTTTGTTTCTCTATCAGTCTTGGATTAAAAAAAATATTGAGTTCAAAAAAATCATTTTGAAAATACTTTATTGATCTCAAATGGGAAATTAAATGAGGACCACTGCTCTAAAGAATCAGAATAAACAGAAGCTTTACTCTTTAAGTGTATAAAGATGTTTTAACTTCTTCATTATAAAAAAGTGAAAATCGTTAATCATTTTCTTTCCACCTCAGAATTATTTTCTTCTTGACACATTTTTTATCATCCTCACCGGGCAGACATGTGTTAAAGTTCAAACCAGACTCCGCCGGCTGCAGCAGCCTCTCGATGAGCCTTCTGGACAGAAGAGAAGGTGAGAAGATGACCGGCCGCTTAGTCTGAACCTTCACCGGCTGCATCAGACTGTATGGGATCAAATGGTCGTCATGACCTGCGGAGGGGAGGAAATATCTATAAGAATAATGTGCTATAGATGAATAAAAACGGATTGCTGCACATTTGGAGGACGAGCTTACGTTTGCTAAGCGTGTAAAAAACCTGCTTTGTGGAATCGCTTCCCCGAGAGCTGGGATCCACCGCCTTGACCAGTCGAATGCGGTCTGGTGTTTTCTTTAAAAACTACAGAAATGAAGCCCAGTAATACAGCATTTAGAGTTGGCCGTTCAGAGGGTCAGTTACATTTTAAGTTATAACCATAAATCAAACTGAGCATGTTTCACGGGAACAAACCCACCATCCTCTTCTTGAGGTTCTTTTGCTCCAGTGACATTTTACGTAGCTTTATCAGCAATAACTGCTGTGCCCTGGAAAAGAGTAGTCCTGCATGTTAAAGGCAGTGAAAATTCTCTAGTTTGATTCCAATCCACTAACGCTGCATCTTCCTAAAACATCACTACTAATAAAGCAGTTGATTCCTTCGTTTCTCTCCAACCTGTTGTAGTTGGGAATGGTTCCAGTCTGCAGGGTTACGGCCGTGTCGTGGTCCACCAGGGAACAGCGCCACTGGTATTTCCCATTGTGCCTTGTGTCAGTGACGTGTATGATGTCATCGCAAAAAACACCCATAGTTGGCGGGTCACCATGAGGCTCCATGTTGAGATTGACACGTGCATAGAAGGAGTCCGCGCCCACAAAGGAGGGTGAGGAGATCTCTGAGCAGAGCTTATAGTAGGCTGAAAGCAGGACACAGGAGAATGAACAAGAGGAGAATGGAGGAATATTCCACATAAGATCCCTGCAGGCATATCTGCAGTCTGGAACAATTTTTTTTAGAGCTGTTAGGTCCTTGAAAAGAGTCAAACCTGCAGATTTACCTTCTAGGTTACTCTGGTGTTTGAGCATCGAGGGTTCGGTCCACCACTGCAGAGAAAAGTGGGCCACCTCAGCAGTGCACTGAACCAGCTGCACACTTCCTCCGCCAAACAGAACCCCATCCAACTGAACAACGTTAAGACAAACGCAGGTAAGAAAGTCTCAGCTTCACCTACAGCTCCAGACAGAAGCTGCAGTGACTTGAGTATTAAAGTGTTTGTCTGAAAAGTCTTCATGCAATTAGCAGAAACCAACCTCTAGCAGCTTACAGCCCTCCTTCAGTCCACACTTTTCAGCCAGAGAGCCTGCTTTCACATGGCTGACGAATATCCCTGTTCGATTTCCACCAACTATGGTGATGTCATCAGCCAGACTGGCTCTTCCCAGCTTTGGTGAGGAGGACGGGCTTGAAGGTAGAGAGCAGGGTGAGGCTGGCTTCCTGAGAAGAAGAACAAAACCCAAATATAATCTGTTAGTCCAAAAAAAATACAGTTAATGTGGATTATTCCTTTGTGGAAAAATCAGGGAATGAAGAGAAAGATCAATGGTAACTCTGAAGGAGCAGCTGAGGTTAGCTGTAAACTCTAAAAATATGAGGTTTATTTTAAAAACTTGCATACACACCATAGATTAAAAAGTTGTAAAATGTTCATAGTTTTGATTTTTATTCAGTTTTTACTTACGATTTTCAATTCTTATTATTTTATTATTATTATTCTAGGTTTAATTTGCTTTTAGTATTGGTTAGTTTAGATCAGTTTATTTTATCTTAGTTTCCGTTATAGGTTCAGTCTTTTACGTAACATGACTTACATACTGGAGGGGAAGACTAAAAATAAAATGAATAGATAAAAAAAATAAAAAAATGAATGAATGACTAATAAAAAGGACAGACTGCTGCAGGAACACAAATGACCTGACTGAGGAAACAGCTGTTAGGATTCCGGTTTGCATTAGAGGTGAGTATTGGCATGAGTGTTGCGATTCGATACATGTCGTGATACTTGGGTCACGATACGATATTATCATGATATTGCAGTATCACTATATATTGCCATATTTTCCCCAGCTATCAAAATCAAATGATGAGATAAAACAGCAAGGGCTGTATATTTTCATCAGAAAATATTGATTAGGTATTATTATCCATGTTGTTTGGGGTTTTCTTCCACTGTGACTGCCTCAAATACAGATTTGGTGCTGCACGCACAGTTAAAGGGCTCCACAGCGCTTTCTGCCAGAGTGGTGGTGCAGAGGTAGCCCATTTTCCCATCACTGTTTTATGTAACCATTTTTTTTTTGTTGAAAATCGATACTAAGAAGTGAAATATCGATATTATATTGGGCAGCCGAATATCACGATATATCGTCAAAACGATTATTTCCCACACCCCTAGTTTGCATTGGTTTTTTTTTTTTGTGTGTGTTTTTCTCTCTCCACCACCAGACGGTGCCCTGTCCTCATTGGGCCTCCCTGCACACCTGCTGGTCGTTGGGTCATTACCAGAGGAGTACTTGAGCAGTGGGTTGTCACCACCTCGACGCCAGAATGTTTGCCAGTATTGGTTACTCTAGCCAAACTGAGATTAGCAAAGTCTAACCTTAGCATTGTTTTCTCTGAGTTTGAACTTGTTTTTTGTCTTTGTTCTTCGGCAGGAAGACTTCCTGTGTTACTGGATAAGCCTGGACCTTCTACCCCTGGAAGGATTTACTGAGTCTCAGCGAGGGGAAAACCTCCACATGATCCGTTCAAGTCCACTCCAGGAAAACCAAGTGACAGTCTGCTCCTTTACTCCTCTGGGTCCAACGTATGTCTGCCTGTCCGTTCTCCAACAAGTTCCCTCTTCTCTGGCTTAAACCCCCATAAATTGGATCCAAGGATCAACCAAGAGCCCCCCAAAAGTGAGTGCCTCTCCAGCATTATTCAAGTCAATTTTCCTACTGTCCCTTAACTGATCATTGTGATCTCCCTTTCACAGTTTCCGGTTCCGGTTCACCAGTCCGCTGAGTCCCAGCATTGTTTCCCCACTGAGTTTCAATTTCCATCAGTGTTTGCAAACCTACAATAAACGTGTTAAACTTTTACCCTTGGTCTCTGAGTGGTTCTCTGCATGTGGGTCAGATCTTTAAAGCCCATTATGACAACAGCAACTGACCTTATATTAATGCATTGTGATGAAGACACACACATAAAATACCCACATTCTCTCTCAGAATTTTGTTTGTTTTAATTAGTTTTGTAAACTCATTGCACTTACAATTTTTATTTCAAGGTCGATTTTTTTTGTTCTTATTCCAGTTAACGGAAATATTTTTAAAAATCTTGTTTTAATCATTACGTTAATTTCAGTAAATGATAATATTTGTTATGCACATAACAGGACCTGAAAACAGCAAACACCACTTTCCAATCAAATGTTGTCGCCTATGATAAACAAAGATGGTGTGACTGTGACTAATATTTATACAGTACACACATTTTGGGCAGGTGAAATGATGATACAGTTAGTGAGCATTGAAACCGAAGCCAAATTGCACCATAATTCTTCTTAGACGTTAAATAATTTCATGTAAAACTTTTGTCGTAGATCTGAAATAGCATCATGATGTTATCATGCAGTCTGAGGCGTAATTAGAAATGAGGACCCGTCACACATAAAAAGAGGAACATAAGCCAACTTAAATCCTGAATCATATTCTGCATATTTAAATGTTTAACAGTACGACTCGTACAACAGATGAGGATATAAATGTGAAAAAAGTGTGAGACATTCTGCTTTAAATGTTTAAGCATCATTATGACACTGCTATGTAATGGTGAACAATGGATGCAATGGCTCTAATGATGCTGAAAATGGGAGAATTAGCAGGAAATGTTTTTTCAAGGATCAATAAGGTTTCCAGGCCCATTATGATAAATGACTAATGAGCTGATCAGACTAGCTAGTGCATCTCTGGGATATATGATCTTAATGAGGTCTAGTGCTGAATAGACTGACCTACGCCATCCCTGTCCATCACAGGTGGTAAAAAGAACAAGGTCCATGTTCACAGCATGTTCACAGCTCAAACTCCCAGGCGTGGAGTGTTAGAGGTTCCGTCATGGGAGGATAAGCTCTTACATGGGATGTACCCCCGAAACATAACCGAAGTGGTAGATATCAGGTAATCCTACAGATGACTAGACAAAGTCAGACTATAGGAAAGCACAGAGGCACTCATCGTGGCTGAACAGCAGCAGGCCCTGAGCACCAGAGCAATCGAGGCCCAGATCTACCACATCAGACAAGACCCCAGGTGCAGACTGTGCAAAAAGCCCCCTGAGACAATCCAGCACAGAACCGCAGGGAAAGCTTACATGGAGCGCCATAACCAAGTGGCTGGAATAGTATACAGGAACATCTGTGCAGAGTATGGGCTGGAAACCCCAAGGTCAAAGTGGGAAACACCTCCAAAGATGGTAGAGAATGATCAAGCCAAGATCCTGTGGAACTTCCAGATACAGACGGACCGAATGGTAATGGCAAACCAACCGGACATTGTGGGGGTGGACAAAAAGCAAAGGAAAGCCACTGTGGTTGACATAGCAATACCAAGTGACGGCAACATGATGAAAAAGGAACATGAGAAACTAGAGAAATATCAGGGGCTCAGAGAAGAGCTGGAGAAAAAACTGGAAGGTCAAGGCATCAGTGGTGCCCCATGTCATTTAAGCCCTCAGGGAAGTGACCCCACACTGAAGGAGTGGTTAAAGCAGATCTCTGCAAATACATCAGACGCCTTGGTCCAGAAGAGTGCAGTTCTACTGTAAGAACAGCAGAGATACTGCAGAACCCTCAAGCTCCCAGGCCTCTGGTAGAGGACCTTGGAGAGAAAAAGCGGGTTAGGGTTTATATATAAAGTCCGTGGAAAAGGGCAAAGCCTTATGCCACAGACATCCTCTTAAAGATCCAAGATTAAGAATGTGCCGGTATATCCAAATGAGTTGACTTTTTTTTTTTGCCCAATTATTTGTCTGTAACTCATTTTTTAAAATTAATTGGGCTTTAGTTAAATATTTTGTTTATTTTAAGAGATAAATATAATTATTTAATAGATAATATAATTTTCCTGCACTGAGGCACTTCATTTAAACTGTCACACACCCATCAAAGTCAAAGAGGCGAGACTCCATAGAAACCAAGACGTCTGATTGGCTGTTTCTCTCAGAGCACGATAAGACAACTTCTGGTTTTCTCTTACTCTATATCAACACTTTTGCATTATTATTTACACATTTCATGTGTAAATAATTTCTAAAATGTGTTGCCATTTATCTACAGCACATTATGTCAGCGATTCCAGCCTCTAGATCCATAGTTTGTTAAAAAGTTAGAGAGAAAACATGAGCAGACTTTACTCAGTGGGCGGGTCTAACTTTGATTCTGCTGAAGTCTCTGGTTGCTCTCACCACCCTAGACCACAGTTAGCTCTCTCGTAAGCTTATAAGATATATTTCAAACAAAACAGAAATACAGAGGCTGGATTTCCTCAAATAATAATTTGCTGTAAAAAAAAAAGCAACATGTTTTTGAAGTTATTTCCACCTTTTCCAGTGATAATCTTAACTTCTGAATAAAAACCAGGAAGAATTTTTGTGTATCTTGCTCAGTGAGGTACAGCCAACCATGTGTCAAGTTTTCCAAGGAGTCCCGCCTCCTCAACTTTGATGGAAGTGTGACAGTTTAAATTATTCCTGGTGTGATTCACTGCAGGAAAATGATTTAATTTATGATATCATGAAACAGCTATATTATCTATAGTACGTATATAATCACTATATTTAATATACCCATACAATTAACTATCTATCGATTAAATAAATTCTGTATTTATTTTCAGTTTTAATAAGTAAATGACACATATGGAAAAATTATCTTATAAAGTCTTCATTTGTTAAATTGTAGCACTTGTCATCCTCCATATGTATGGAGATGTTTGCCTTTTTTTTGTTAGGTAAATTAATAGCAGCTCTTAACTGCTCTGGGTTTCTTATTACCCACCATTGTGGCCATCAAACATATTTATCTGATATTCACCAACACATCCATTCCTACTTTGGTTAAACTATGATTAGTTATTTTTGCTTTCTTTCCTGCGGTTGCCATGGGTAACCTTTAAATAACATTGATCAGCTGGATGTGAATGTGAGCGTGTAGAGGGCCAAACATGAGGTGGAGCCTTGGATGAATTCTTTAAGGTACAGCTGTGATTTCTAAAGGTGTATCTCTAGGTTTAGTGAGTGTGCATGGTATTATAAACAGATTTTCATTTGCTGCATGCTTTTTTTTGTTTGTTGTATTTTTGGTGCAATATTTTTTAAATGAGACGCTTGGCCATCAAGGGACACAGTTAACCAAAAAAATGAACGTCTTGTTCTACAAGAAAAACACTATGATGGTGCTTTTATGGTGCTGTGCAGATTTTTTTTCTTTAGCCTTAAAGGGGAAGCAGGTTAGAACGAATGGGGTAGATTGCAGTTATAATGTTTCGAAATGAGAAAAATTATCAAAATTATTTAGAGATTGTTTAGCTGTATTCTTAATTCCCCATTTTGCATCAAACTTTAGCTTTCTTTCCCCATTACGGTGATTTGTGTTGAGGTGGTACCTGGAAACAATAGGGCTGGATGGGTTGACCAAATCAGGGGGGAAGAGATGAGAATGCAAAGAGGTCCAGGAGTCTGACAGCGAAGGTTCACTCTGTTCCCCTAAAGGAAAAAAAAAAAGGCAGCATTTTTTAAGTGTGGTTAATCATCCCCAAATAAAAGCTGTCAAGCTTCAAGCCAAACTGTTGTAAACATACCTGGAATAATATCATTATCATCACTGCCCCAAGACTCCAAATCAAAGCTTCATAGAAACAGAGAAATGACAACGTGGTTAAAACAACTGTAAAATACAGCTAAAAAGGTCAAAGTGGAGGGTTAAACTCACTCTGAGTTAAACCGTCTGTTGATGGAGTTCATGCATGGAGGAAAGGCGAACGTGGATAGACGATTTATTTGCTTTTCGTTATCTTTTAACTGAGGAAACCAAAGCAAATGTTAAAATGGTGATTCCTGCTCAACGATCATACTGGGGTCGAACATATTTTGAAAAACTCACCGAGCACACCAGGTTCTCCTCTGAGTTGTAAACGGAATCTAAATGAATAGAGAAAATAAAATTATAAGCTTCTTTATATAAAAAAAAAAAAAAGTATAAAAGTATTTTTCATTGAAAAACCATCTTTCAGTTCAGTCTGCTAACCCTCAGAGTTCTCAGTGCTTTGTCCACTAGGGGGCGCCTGCAACAAACAAAACATAAGACATTGCATCACTTCTGGGAAGTAGGATTTGGTTGGACATGTAGAAACTTGCTGATAGTTACATAAGATGGTTTTACACCAGGCAACAACAAGACTCAATCTAACTCAATGAAATACATTCCTTGCATAATAAACTGACAGAAGGAAGTAAAGGTGTCTGAGCAGGATAGGGCAATGTGAGTCATACAAATCCTGTCTCACGATACGAGGAAAAGCATTGCATTCTAAATCAACATAGATTAATAAAACATACAGCACAGATTACTGACAGTAGCACCAGATACCTACATGTGTATTATAACCAAGCAGCAATAATTATAAAAACTGAGGGAGGGTAAGCTAAGGTTTTAGTGTTATTGACATAAACATACACACATTTCTAATTTTCGATTTTATGCAATTTCTTTCAAAAGATCTCCATGCAACTTCACCCCATTTACATTTTTTAATGTAGCAACATGCATTATAATGACTTTCATTGGGATTTAATATGATAGAGCTTCATAAACATTAATGCTTAAGTTTAGTTATAACATACACATATGCATTTCTTCTTCACAAATGGGCATTGGAACCCACATTTGATAAATTTTAAGCAACAACGTGTTTAGGATATGTTGCTAATAGCATAGCTTTTAAGTCTTGCCACAGATTCCCATTTTAATTTAGGTCTGGACTTTGACTAGGCCCTTTAAATTCATTAATATCGTTCGATCTGACTGATTCCACTGCAGCTCTTGTTGGAAGTTTAACCTTTGCCCCCAGCCTCCAGGCTTTTATAGCATCTGAAGGACTTTCTTCCAGAATTTCCCAACGCTGGTCACCCCTGCTTTAGAGTTACCATAGGCCATCTGTTTGCTTCTCTGATAAGCACTCTTCTACCCTTTGAGTTCAGGTGAATTCATATGTCTTGGTAGAACATAGTCTCTGTCATACTCTTTCCATTTATATCTTATTGAATATTCCCTGAGATTGTCAAAGCTGGGATATTGTTTCATTAGTTTATTCTGCTTCTTTCCTCTCCCTCTGGCCTTCAAAGAAAAGCTGGATTCATAAAGATAATCATACACGGACTCTTTTTACCAATGTGGTCATAGGCTGTTTAACTTTTTACTGGGTGTTAAATTTTATTTTAGGGTGTCAAAGTAAAGTGGGGTGAATAAGAATGCATACCACGTTTGTGTTTCAGTTTTCTTCAACCTTAAGGTGTATGCAGTGTATGGTGCTGATCTAAAACAGGGTTGGGCAACTTGGTCATGTCGTGCAGCTTTTGAATGTATTCCTGCTCCAGCACCTGAAGCAAAAGGCTAAATTACCTCCTTTGTATGTCAGCAGGTTTAGCAGAGGCGTGGCCATTAATTTTTCAGGTGTGTTGGAGGAAGAAGCTCTGCTTTTTGCAGCTCTAGGATCGACGTCTACTTCGGTTCTATTAATTAAATCCTAAGTAAACACAAAACCTTTAGCTATAAAGTAACAAAACGTGGAAAATGTCCCTTTTAAGGAGCTAATGCTTCCGTTAAAGTTTATGAGTTCATCTGGATCACAATGGGACAGAGTCCAGCACTGACCTTCCGTAGCACCAGATTAGTTCTGCTGAGCTGAGGACTCAGATCCAGGTCAAGGTCACAGCACGGGCCGAAGCACTGTTCCTCACTGCACAGAGACAGGTGGGACTGGGGAGCAGAAGCATGGAATAACCCATGTGTAAAATACTCTCTAACAGAAGCAACCAAATGACACTACGCCGAGTTCAGTGTTGACTCACGCAGTTCAGGCAGGGACTCTGCTGTATCTGCTCCCGGCAGCGTTCTTGCTCCTTCTCCAGCTCTCTCTGCTGCTGCTCCAAGTTGGCCTGCAGCTCTGCAATGCGTTTACGCAGGCGGTTCTTATCCAGCAGGCAGTCAGTGTACTCAAGCTGCAGGCTGTCCCGGCTGCGTAAAGCCTGAACAAAACACAAGTATAGACCAAAAATTACAACTAGAAGGCAGGTGTTTGCAATAAACAGTAGAATTGCAATTGCTTTGTGTTTTATCCAATCCAAATATTTTATTATTATGGCCATTTAGTTCAGCTAGTCTCAAACACAATGAAACAACATCTAATTTTAAAACCTGTTCTCTTAATTTGGTCAAAGTTGCTAAAAAGTTGATAATTATTTATAGAGGAATTATCCAACATCTTTAGTCACTATGTCCTGACATTTAAAGTCTTCATCCCAGTTGATAAATTCTTATAACTTTAAAAAAAATCTACAGACAGCAGTAAAACTCTTTAGAGACAACCTTTACATTTCATCTCCGCTGTTCTGAAAGAGGGCAATGGTGAGGTTTCAACAGCACCAAATTAGTCACACCCCTGTTTTTGTAATGTAAACAAAATGTTCAGCTTCCTTTCAAAATGTTCAACATATTCTACATGAATTAAATATTGGTTTCATTGAAGTAAAAAAAAATAAAAATGAAAAAGCAACACCTAAAATGTCTGATCATATTTACTGACTTGGAAAGGGTTAATTCTTTATCTAGCCATGCTGGTTGTTTAAACAAACAAAGTCAGAATGCATGCGATCTGAGGGTCGCCTGACTTTAGCATTGTTATGAAATGACCCAAGAGTTTTCAACATGCTGAAGCAAGCTACACCGCAAAGCAAAGAACAAAAAAACATGAATCAAAAATTGCATACATTTGGTTGCAACAAGAGTTAGAAAAAAATGATCAATAGCTTTCCTATGAGCAGACTTTAACCAGCCATTGGAAACACGAAAGGTTGATTCCCTACAGTCCAGCCATGTAATAGAAGAGACTGACCTAAATTATTTTGATAAAGCAGTGATTAAAAACATTTTGACAACAGCATGTAAGTCTGAATAAGGGGAAGTAGGTTCCGGCAAGGAGCACACCATACATGACACAAACTATTTTCAGTTAACCAATTTCCTTTCAGTATGGTGGTGGCAGTATTATTATGTGATCCTGCTTGCAAACCGTTTTAAAACACTTACTGAGGATCGTTTTCTCTAAATTACCTGGTCTCTCTCTTTCTCCAGCTCCATGATTTGGTTGAAGTAGGAAACGCTCCTCTTCTGCTCCGTCTCCCAGTCCAGCTGGAGAGTCCTGACCTTCAGTTGCAGCTCCTCACACAGCGCCTCCAACTGCAAAAAGTTTGCTTTTACCTCCAGTACTTAAAGCAAGAACATCTGTATTGCTAGAGTTTTAAATAACGGTGGAACTAATTGCTGTAACACTTATATGAGGCCTCCCATCATCTGGGTGAGATTTTATAGTAAGTATTCATAAAGATTCATCTTTACCGTATTTTCTGTTATATCCTGGTTACAAAATGACTTTCTTCCCTTATAACACTAAAAGACAACAGTGATTTTTACGACCACCAGATAAATTGAATGAAGCATATTTAGCAGCATATGCTTCCTCATATACTTTTTGGATACATCTTTGCAATCATGCAGATCTGTTTTTAGTGATTTTCTGCTCAGCAGATCCCCAGTTTGGATGAACAGAACAATGTCATTAAACATTCATGTTTTTCTAGAGATTTTTGAATGGATTTAAGTCCGAGCCATGGTTTGTGGCTCAAAGATATGTGTGAGAGTATGACAAATTCTAAGAAGAGCGGCAGATAAGATTGACAAATGGTGGACAGTCACCAGCAGTGTGTTAATTTTCTTGGGTTTAAAGTTTTATTTTTCAGAGTGGACAGTTTTGAAGCATTTGGGTATTTATGAGTTCAAGTGAAAGGAGCTTTTGAAGTGTTAATGATGCAAGAAATATCCAATTCTTTTGCTCCTTCCTGTAAAGGAGAAAGATCTGTGAAACATTGCTTGAAGGCCATAAAGAGGTGAATGATTGAGTTTAATGTAGGGTGTTCCTGCAAAGAGTCCTCACAAACCCAGCAAAACATATTTAGGGAAAAACAGTTGCTGTATTTGTAAAATAGTAAAAAAGAAAAACAAATAAACACACCTAAACCTTGGGGGATAATGAAGATGTTACATCTGACATTTTGTAAGTTTTAACTGAAAAATGTCTTTAAAAGAACTTTTTTATTTGACACTTTACAGCTAAAACCTTGTTTGATGAGCAGACTGACACCTCAGTTGTTTAGTGCCGATGAATCTGAAAGCCTGTGGCCTATTTTTCTGAATTTATTTCGGGAAGGAAGTTGCCGTGCTGTTCGGCAGACATAATGTCAAGCGTGTCCATGTTAGATGGGTCCAAGCAAGCCAAAAATCAAAGCGTTATATTCAGTACTCAAGTTGAGGGTTGATGAGTGGGGATGGCATCCCCCTTCTTAAAAAATATTAAAAATCTTCCCCCTTCTTTAATGACCATCCCCCATACCTTTCCCCTGTGAAATTGTATCAATGGATGTGTAAAATTGCTACTACATATTAACAGTAATGGCCATAATATTTCCCTTTCAACATTTGGCAGGCTGTGGGCTTACGAGTTGCCTGAGTAGAATAAATAAAATCAAAGAAGTGACCTTCCACGCGCGTCCTCCTGACTGCAGCAGCCGGGCGGCAGCGGCAGGTTAAGCGGTGAGGGGGGGAGTGGGGGCTGGGGCGGGATTCAGCGTGTGTGAGCTGTGATTGACACTCCATCAGACGCTCCTCTGGCTGTGATTGGTTGTTTTGACTCGTCCCGAAATATTCTTTCCAGATTGAAATACAGGCAGTAGGCGGGACCAATTGAAGCAGTTTTTTTCACAGGTTACATATCACATGTACTGCTGTCTGGGCATAGGGACAGTTTTAGCCAATATGACAAAAAAGTGATTTTTAAAAACTTACAGACTGCAGCTTTAACAATACAGCCTTTTCAAGATGGTTGAAAATAAAGACTGCTCTCTGCATTATCGTCAGCCACGATAGTTGTTTTTCTTCCTGCTTCTGCGTTGCAAGAAGTAGAATAGTGGCCTTTGATGAGTATTAATGACGTACAGGTCAATGAATGCGACCTGACCGTTCACACACAGGTCGCATATTGAAAGATCAGATACGTATCGGATTCAGGAAAAATCGGACCTGTGTAGTTCAGACTGAAAAAATCAGATACAGGTCGCATACGGGAAAAAAAAAACTGATTTGGGTCACTTCAGGCTTCTGTGTGAACGTGGCCTTGCAGACTAAGATGTCACCTAAGTTCATATGTGTATGCTGGCATACTTTTGACCGTAGTGTATCTATATTAAAATATTCTATGTCCATTTTTGTTAGAAATTGTCAAAGCTTATACTGAACATTTCTGACTTTGTTATGACCAGGTGTATCAAAAGTTTACATTTAATCAGTCTTTGAATGTAAAAAAAAAAAGAAAAAAGTAAATAGGAAGCCTGGGAAGTATCTGGTTGCCCTGGATAAATTTGTTTTTCTCTACCTTGTCTCTGTTCTCCTCGGCGTTCTGTAGCTCTCCCTGAAGTCTGGTGATGATTTGACAGAGCTCCTGCCTCTGTTCTGCAGCCTCTCTGCGGTCCTGCTGCAGGATATCCATCAGGGCCTGAGATAAGCAGAGACCCTCTTATTAGAACATTAAATGACCTCAACATGCATCTTTTTTTTATGTGCATAGACTTACATTGACTCCGGGGGAGGGATCTGAGTTTCCCTTCTGAATTCTCTTGCCTTTTTCATCTTGAACATCAGACGGCTGAGATGGCTTCTTTGCTAAAGCAGAGCCATTTATCCCATTGGAGAGACCGCTATGGCTTCTGCTAATCTCTGGACCGTTAGCTTTGTCAGGTCTCTTATCTGCCTCAGCTAGTCTGGACTTCAGCTCCTCTACCTGTATGCAGAGAAAGAACTCTGAGAAATTAGCAACTAAATATGCAATCTAAACATGCAGTTACGATATTTGTTAGTTCCATTTTTGTTGCAACACCAATAACTCTGTTGTGGTTTATTTCTATAGTAACAACAGAAATAACAAAGATAGTAAATTTAATATAAGTGCTTCCTGATCAAACCACAACGCCGTCTCTTTTTGTAGAAGCAGGAAAAACAAGCAGAGTAAAAAAAGTTTCTGTCACCATGGCTGGATCTGGTCAGTTGTGTGTTTACTCTGCTATTGTTGATTTTAACTGAAAGTAAGAATCTTGATAATGATATTATCATTCATTTGCGACAAAGCAAATCATAACTGAGGGACCAAACAAAGAAGAGGAGTTGACAGAGCTGCAAAGGTGCCTGGAAATACTTTGTCTAATACTCAGATTTAATGCAGGCCCCCTCATGTATTATAAAAAGACATACAGGTTTTATTTGCCCAGAGCTCCCAACATACCAGCTTACACTTCCCCGTGTTATAATTACAATCTCACATATATTGTTATACAATTTTTTGTGACGTTTTTCAGTCAGTGTCACATTTTGTGTCATAATAGATTAAAACAGCATATTGAAACAGCATATTTAACAAGACATCTACTTCAATTTACAGGCCAGGAGAGTATTATATAAGATAAATTGTGAAAGTTTATTGTTAAGTCTATAGGAACTGAAGAGACCCACTGATAAGGTGAGCAAATCTCCAACAAGACAACTCTGCAGTAAGAAAGTCACCAGAACTGTACCTTAAACACGTCCATAAACCAGTAGACAAAGAAAATATTTAGATAAAGGTGTATCAGATAACGTGTAGAAAATATCCCATAGGCTAGCAATTTCCTCTGCGGAACATGGTAGTGGCGGCATATTGTGGAGATGCTTTTCTTCAGCAGAGATAGTGCTCCCAAGGTGTAGTTAGAGGATAATGCCAAATTGAGTTAAAAACTGGGCAATTCGCAAAAAAAAAAAAGTTTAAACAGGGGTGTTTAGTTAGGTATGAATGCAAATAAAAGCTGCATTCTTTACCATTTTAAAAGCAAGTACTATTTTATTTTCCCCTCAGAAATATTTACTGCTTTAAATTGCATAACGTCTTAAAAATTTTGTAGTTGTGATAAAATGAAATGTGAAAACATTTAAATGGAGCTAGCAAATCAATAAATCAAAGGGCCTGTAATATGATTAATCAACTTTTATGAGCTTTTAAAAATGCTTTGATTATATTCCTTCCACTGATATATATTATGGGATAGGACATTGTTCACTCACAATGGTTTGAAACACAGGAGAACTCGCTATGTACTGAATCAGGGTTGGTGCAGAAGCAGAAGCTTCAAAAGTATGAAAAATAGTTTTTTTTTTAACCCCTATAAACTTTTATGAGACAGTTTGACTGGAATATAGTTGAAATCCATATGAAATGAATTATTATAATATAAAAAAATATAAATATAAAGAAAAAAAATATTACCTGGTAAAATATAATAACAAATTTAATAAACAGGTTTCAATATTCATAGTTGGCAATTCACTATTTTGGTTTTGAAGGGTAAAATGAATCTAAAACATGTTTTAGATATATGCTATGCTAGATTTTTCACTTTTGGGCTCTAGTGTTTATGTCTTAGCTGCTCCGTTGTGAACAAACATTGATTTGAGGTTGGCTAAGGAGTTTTGTTTTTTATCCTCTCATTCTCTCTGTTCCTCCTTCTCTTTTCCACGCTCAATATTTCAGTGTTTCTCTGCCCCACTGTTACTGACAGCCTCAGCCCCAAATAAGGGGCAATAGGGTGTCTGTCTTCAGTCTGAGAAATTGTGCAAATCATAACATCAAATATTTTCTTAGCTTTATTTATACACATATTTTGTAAAAATCAGATAAGAAATAAGAATGAAAAAATATCTTTATAGGACAGTTCCATGCTCAATCCCCATTAGAGCAGCAAGGTTGATGACATGACTTGAGGCATAGCAATGGCGCCTGGGTGCGCATGTCACTAGCTATAGTGGAATAAGAAGTTGTCCTACCCACAAATGCATACAGATGATTCCTTATTAAAATGATGCCCATGCATTGAATTAAAATGTATTTATTCATGTCTGACTACTCCTCATGACCCCTGCTCTGAGCTGCAGTCCCTCCCTGTCGTTGAAAATGGTGTGTATTGATGTGAGAGGTCATTTTTGCTTAAAGTTGAAAAAAAGTGGGTCTCTAGTACCTAATTTTCACATATGAAGAAACAGCACTTTTTTAAATGAAAGTGTTTTGGCTATAAGAGGTCACGCTTTTTTTCTCAGCCTTCCTTTAAGAACAGCTTGAGTCTAGAGTTGAAAAACAGCTGAAAACAAGTTTGATATAGAACCTTAATAATGATCAAGTTAAAGATATACATTTTTTTTGTTCAATTTTACTGAAGTTCTTCATGGTGGACCTACCTGACTCAGCAACTCTCTTTCTCTAATGGTGGCTTTGTTCTGCTCCTCCAATGCCCTGGAGTATTTCACCGCCTGTTCAAGGTGTCTGTCTTTCAGGTTACTGAGCTCTCGGCTGGCTGACTCCCAGTCTTGACGCAGCCTAAACACACATATAGGAAACATGAGATTTCAGTTTAGATGTTCCATCAATTAGATGATCTCTGTAGGAAAAAAGTATTGATTTCAGTAGGAAATATAACATAAAAAAACTGAGTGATTAACCTTTTTCCAAAATTGTTAAGAAGGAGACAGACCTTTCAAGCAGCATTTTGTCATGCCGCAGCTCCTGAGCTTTGCGTTCGGCTCGGCTGCGCTCGTCTTCCGCCATTCGACATCGCTGAGACAGACGGCGCTCACAGAGGCGGCTGTTTCTCAGCTGCTCCCTGAGTTTACGCACCTCCAGCAGCAGAAACTGAGTCAACCCCTCTGGACCTTCTTCGTCTGCGAACACATTTCCGGTTCAATAATTTGATTAAAGGTTTGATGAGTACAAATTTTTCTACTAGGTAATCTATACTAACATGTTATTTTGCCAAAAGTCCTATTTCCTCCCATTTAATTCTAGAACACGTTGTTTAATCTCACATATTCATCTTTTCCAGCATATGCTCTTTCGCAGTCATATCACAGATTATGACTCAATATTTTAAGTGGTTGAACTGTATTTTAATCATTCATATTTAGAGAGTTAATCTGGATCATTCTACACAGAACAAACATAGCTAAGAAAACAAACTGAGATTTTTAAGAGCTGTACCCTACTTGTTAAAGACTCACAAAAAATAAACTTTTAAGGATTTCTCGTTACTAGGTCTATGACATTATTCATGAAAGTTTCGTGTTTTTCATCTGAAAATTAACAAATTAAGAGAATATGGTTTCCCACAACCTTGACCTTAAAATTCAATATGGTCACTTAGCATGACCAATTTAGCGATAACATCTCTGTAAAAGAATGTTAATTAGCACCTGATTATCTAATCTCAACAGTTATTTCTACTTTGTGGATTTGATATTTAGTATTTAGTGAACCAACTGCTACTGTCTTTAATCGTATCTTTAGCTATTACTGCTAAAGACAGTTAGACTGGACACTTATCGTAGAAAATTAAAATTTGTCCCAAACGTGGACTGGAAAATAATTCAAATTCTTTTGATATAATTTCAAAATCTAAATTCAGGAGTTTTAAGGCATTTTGGTGAGTTTACATGTGGATAGACCATAGCATAATAGCCAACAGCACTACCATCTAAATTAATTTATACTGGCGCTACTGGACGTTTTTCTTTTCTTTTTTATTTCTCTCTTTAGAGATGTTTCTGATAAACCTAAAATCAGTGCATTGAAATAAATTATTAATTGGCAGTTTATCATTATAATCCCTGCATCAGAGCTTATTTTGATTAATCCAGCAAATAATTAATGTGAAAATTTCAAATGAATGCCACTAAATGCAACTGAAGTACCAACTTTGGCAGAAGAAAACAGTCTAAAAAACACTGAACTAGATTCTAAAGATATTAGAATCAATCATATATTTTTTTTTAGGATGGGGTTTTACTGATTTATTTCAATATATTTGGAAAAAATATGTGTTAATCTTTTTACTACTAGTCAACTCTGGTGCTTTTTATACAACTGTTTAATATTCTCCTGAGGACATTTTTTTTTTAAATTCAGTTTGTTGATCATTATCTGCCTTTTTGACTTTAGCTATGAGTTCCAACAGCTTATTGCTCTATTGGCACATTTTCACTGTAGTTTTAGCACATTGTCCCATTATGAATCCATGATAAATAAAGAGTTTAATGGTGTACAGATGTAAAGTAAGAGTTCCTTGCCCAGTATGAGGGAACATCGCTGCGTCGGCGGTTTTCCTGTCAGCTGTGTGTACTGATCTGGATGGTAAAACTCCAGCGACTCCATGAAGGCCTGAATGCCTCTCTGGCCCTGACCACGCAGAATGTCCAGCAAACGACCTGTGAAATTTAAGATAGCTCAGAACAAAACCCATCTGGACGGAAAAGAGCCAACTGATACTTAAAATGAAAACAATTCAACTCTGTTAGTCTTCTCTACAAAAATGCTGCCTCTTTGATGTGTGGAATCTTCCCTTTAGTCAAGATGAATGTCATAAATGTCTGACATGAAATGACTCACAAAGTACAGTAGAAACAGCTTTAGGCAGTGTTGATGCGGGTACCTTTTAGAGCATCAATCTTTTACCTTTATGTCCGTCCACTCCTCCTACTGTCTCTTTAATTACCAACTTATGTCACTGTTTCATAATTCTTGGAAGTTTATCTTACAAATATAACATCTTCCTTTAATCTGGTGTTGTGTCTTCTGTAGTTTTATTGAAAGAACTACAGTTTATTCAGATGAGATTGCTGACTGATGTTGATCCCTAATGGGATGATTAATTGCTCCCCTACCAGCCTTGCTGATGCGCAGCGGATACTGCGTGGAGTTGAGCACTTCATCCTCATCCTGCTCGTCGATGACCTTGCACTGCCGGAGATATGGGGTGAGTTTTGCCGGGTTGAGGATGCGGGTGAGTTTGTGCCGCACTCCCTCCACACGATCCCACAGCTCCTCGCAGCGCTCCTCAGACCACTGGGGGGAGGATCTGGCCTCTTCCTGATATCCTTCGCCCTCTAGGAAGTCTGTATCACCTGAACATAGACCAGAAATCTGATGGTTTAAGAAGGATGTTTTCAGGATGGCGCTTCTTTACACTGATTACTATCAGTTTACTAAAACGCATTCTTGCAACTCTGCGACACGTCTCTCTCTTCCAGTCCTATCTCAGCTTTATGTGGTACTTTCAGACATAGCACATGTCCACTATCAGACTAAATAAACATTCCCGAGGGAAGTCAACCGGAATTTGTTATTGTCTGCTGGCTTCTATGTATCTTTATATCTGTGAGAGTGCATTGCTAGCAAATAATGTCCTATTAACACAAACAAACCTTTTTGGAATATGTGATTTCTTAAAAACAATTATCAACATGTCCTCTTTCAAAAATGGAATGACTTCAGATGAACATATGCAATAGATCGTAGGTTTTACTCCACCCTGAGTTAAAAAGATGGGAATCTGCCAGGGAATTCCCGAATGTTTTTTTTGCCCCCTCAAATAAGCCATCTAGAATCCTTGTTATATACTCAGAGGTATCTTCTTAAAAGAAGGATTTAACAGTTTTAAGATTACAAAATAAACAACCATCTGTGAGGAAAAGAAAGACATCTAGATGAGATAAGAACACAGTGCAGGCTGAGGGCGGAAGCACACATATGCTCATAAAGTGGGAATAACATCTCTACATCCTCTCATGAAATGACTGGAATAATATGGGTTATTCTATGAATGCATATTCTCTAGACTTAGACAACTTTTTATTGTGACTTTATATAAATAGAGTGTATACAAAAGAAATTGTGTTTAATACAGCTTTCCAGACAGTAAATCAACATTTCCATTCCATAAAGTGCAGCAGAGATCAAATGCAAACAGTGTGGGAGAAAAAACATTGTGCAAAAAATGCATTAATATGGACGTTGTGAGCATGAAATATATATGGTGCAAATATGCAGTATTTTTGGTTTGGTGTTATCAGTGTGATGCAAAGTCTGTGACATGATTTAGAGTTTTTCAACAGTTCAGCAGTCTGATGGCAGTGGAGAAGAAGCTGTTTCAGAACCTGCTGGTCCTGCATGGAATGCTGCGAAGCCTCTTCCCAGAGGGCAGCAGGGAGAATAATCCATGGTGGGGGTGTGAGGGGTCACTGATAATGTTACGGGCTCTGGACATGCACCGCTGGGATGAAATGTCTTTAATGGAGGGAAGAGGAGCCCCGATGATCCTCTCTGCTGTTTTCACCACTCTTCTCCCTTTCTTCCAGTCTGAGATGCTGCAGCCTGAACGAAACTTGTTTCTGAAGCTACAACAGGAAATGATCTCAAACATCCCAGACTGGTTTTGCAATACATAAAAAGTAGTTAAATATTGGGCCTCTGGAATATCACCAACCTAAGCATGCTCAATCTATGCAGAGATTAAGCTTAAATGTATGGGAAAAAAATCTATGTCAACAATTTCTACAATTTCTAATACTGTTCTTAATGCAACTTACTGTATGTTAAGGAATAAGACAACAAAAACAAACTACTTTTAAAAGTAGTGAATTTGCATGCTCTTCTATTAAACCAGCCATACAGAAGAAGAGCTCAAATACATAATTGAAAGCCCATCTTTGTTCTGACATCAAAGCCAGTAATGAGTGCATGTCAGCATCTGACCGGAACCATCAGTGGCCGAGTATGTTAATCTAACAAAAGGTCTTGCCCTGTGTGCTCATGTGTGGCAGTGAAGACTCAGTAGGTCATTATCTCAGAGCACAGGAATGAAAACTAATGCGTGACTCATGTTCAACACCTAAAAACAAACCAGCCGACCACATCCCAAAGCTTTCTCTGTGCATTCACTCCAGGAAGCAGCAACAGAATATTTCAATAAAAGCTGCAATTTTTTTAATCCAACTTAAACATATCGATGTTATCAGTTATCCTCATATTTACCAGAAATAATCCAGAGAACTATTTCTGAACTAAACACACTGCAACATAAAACCAACTCCATCGACCCTGATTTGAACTGCAAGCTGAATCACATCACTTTTTTTTTTTTTTTTTTGATACCCTTGGCAACAACAAAAGAAGTTGTTATTGAGGCTATTTATCCATCACATCTCTGCTGTTTCCAAGTGTGTTACTAAAACTATGAGTAAAAGCTAGCAGCTGGAGGGTTTAAAGCAAACAGACAGGTTAAGGCGTGTTCCTGGATGCTTTGGAAGCACTGTTATTACCCAGAAATGGCCAAAAGAGACTTTGCCCTCACATGATCACCACAGCTCACTACTATCAAGACAAAAATGCTCACAATCTGTGATACCTGCTATCTATGATAATTCCAGATACTTAAAACAAGTAGTTATTATCAAGATAAAGATCTGTTGAATGTTCAACGGATAAATAAAGACCAGAACAAAATACCTTGACTAATGGGTAGAACCTAAATCTAGGATAAAAGCAGTCAATGTTTGAACCATTTAAATTCATTATTAATTCATGCAAATGATCTTTCTGAACTAGTTTTCAACAGATTGATCTATTGATAACTTGTAAAACACTCTGGCCTGTTTGGGCAGAGTTTTTCTGAGCTTTAAAGGCGCCTTAACTAGCACTAGATTCTGGGGACCTCTCCTAGTTAAAGGGAATACTGTTTTTTCACAATCGGCCCTTGATTTTACGTTACTACATCATGTTCTACTCACCCATATGAGTTTTGTGTCATTTGGAGCTGTTCTGAAGATATTCCATTAAGTTATATCCAAGTAACGTCTTCCTATGGGCAAACGAGTTGAAGGCACAAACTAAAATGTTCATAATTTATCATTCATAACATGTAGGGGAATAACTGTCCCCCAGACATCCGCGGTTATATTTTTTATATTTAAATCTTTTAAAAACAAAGCGGAGTGTGTATGACGTCATCCGCAGGCGCTGGCTACTGTTCATTCATCCTGTCCTCTGAACTGCTGCTAGTTTTACTCACATGCCTAGAAGATGTCTAGTGCTACTACCACAGATGTCTGCTCTTGAAATGGAATTGAGCAATTTTGTTTAGCTAGCCGAATTAATAGAAAGGGTAGAGCGTAGCTGCCTGTGGCCCGGGCCAGACATGGGCAATGTGGAGTCAACAAGTCATCTCCATGTCATGTATTTGTTTTACCCAGCCACTGAAGCAGGTGAGTCCAATCTTCACCGTGAATTAACCTGTGCAGATTGGACTCACCTGGTTAATTGGCTGGGTAGATTAAATACTGTACATGACATGGAGATGACCTGCTGACTCCACATTGCCCATGTCTGGCCCGGGCTGCCTGTTATGACTCTAGTCCGGTGCACGGATGACGTCATACGCACTCCGCTTTGTTTAAAAAAAATATAACTATTAAAAATATAACCACGGATGTCTGGGGGACAGTTATTTGCCTACATGTTATGAATGTTGGCGTACCATAAAGAATACATTATGAACAATTTAGTTTGTGCCTTTTAGTCGTTGCCCATAGGAAGATGTTACTTGGATATAACCTGACCGAATATCTTCAGAACAGCTCCAAATGACACAAAACTCATATGGGTGAGTAAAACATGATGTAATAACGTAAAATCAAGGGCCCAATGTAAAAAAACGGCATTCCCCTTTAAGGCTGATTTATACTCAGAAACCAGGTCGTCTGCATGTGTGTCGCAGTGGACGCAAATGTGCCCCGCTTCTTCAGCAGACTCTCTGCTGCATCTCTAAAATTGTAGGTGACCGCAGACATTGCTGCAGACAGGCGGCCTCTGATTGGTCAAATCTACACCTACACTATGCGCATTTCCTGTTTGGTACCTTCCTGGCTTGTTTTGTTTGTATGACCGCCATTGTGGAAAACGACTCGTGAAGATGGACCAGCTAGAAGAGCGAGGTGCGCAAGAACGCTGGGACCCTTTTCCACCTGGATCCCCGCTCTTTTTCGCCCTCATGTCCCTCCGTTGTCGCAAAAACTTGCCCACACCTCCTCACTGCCTCGGCCGTATCTAGACCCACAGCTAGTTTGTGACTGTCCCTTTTGCTTCGTGGCGTGGAATAACATATTACAGACTGCGCTTTAATATCGGGCATAAATTAAAAGTATCACACTGCTCTGGGAGTATAACCAGCCCTTTAGCCTGTCTCCGATTTACTTTTACATAATGAATCTAAATTTTAAGTAACGAAATTCATCAGAAAGAACAAGGGGTGGCTATTTGTTTAACATCTGACTTGGAATGCTCTTAGGAGGATGGACCTCCGTGCTGCTTAAATACATCGGCGCTCCAGCTACAGCTTGCTCTGATGTGTGCAAACAGAATTGACAAAGACTCCTGGATAAGTGTTGAAACGTCTTCAAAAATCTGAGTGAAAGTCCAGTTGTCTTCCAGTTAAAACCTGTTTTGTGATTGCCATGACCTGAATGTCTAAGAATTTAAAGACAACACCATACAAGATTCGTTTGAACGTCCAATCCCTTCAAAACATCAAGGACAAGCTCCAGGAAAACGGCCTTCACCTTCTTGAAACGATGGATCCTTGTGTGTCGGCTCTAACCAAAACTGGGCTTTCTAAGAGCGACAGTGATTTAGACTTGGAGCTTAAAGGCTCTGGGACTCCTGTTCAGCTGGATAGAGACAATGAATTACCAGGGAAATCCTAAAGAGGCGAGGTCTCCATATATATCAACAAATGGTTGAGCAACAATGACAAAGTCCTGGAGTCTATGCACCCATGATTGAACTGCTGTTAGTGTCAGTCTGACATGATTTCCACAGGGAGTTCTCTCTGGTATTTATCACAGTGTTTTATGTTCATCTCAAAGCCAACATAAAAAAAACGAAGCTATTCTAAAAAAGTGAATTCATGGAGTAATTACAGCTTTTGTCCTCTGATGAATCTGTTTTTATAATAGGTGATTTTTTACTATTGCAGGCTAAGCTCTTCCCTAACTCATTCTTATGAGTATGTTACCTGTCCTACTCATTTTAACAAAACTCTTGGTCTCACCTATGGATTCATTAAGGATATAAATAAATCATTTTTGATCCCTCCTTTGGCTTCTTCTAATCTAAATGGTTTCAGCCGGTATCCATCTACAACACTTTTAAAAAGAGAGATTGTCCAATTAAAAACTGTGAAGCAGTGGACCAAGGATGCAATCCAGCATCAACAGAGCAGTTTCTGATGTTACTCGTCTAGAAAAAGAGCAAAATCACTGCTTGTGGTTCTATCAAGTTTTGGAAAGAATCAGGTGCTCCTGTTTCTCAAGCCATTGCTTAATAAGAAAAAAACTCATAGAGAAAGGTAAAGAAGTCAAGTGATTGGTTAGAACAGAATTTAAGAAAGCTAAGATAATTTATAAGGAAAAACTTGAACATTTTAAGAAAGATAATTTTAAAACAGAGTGGAAAGGCAAGTCATATATAACAGGGACTCAGAAAGTACATAATTTACACTTCAAAGTAAATGGATTTAATTAGTTTTAATAACTACTATCTAAGGTCTGATTGTGTTTAGAGGCCAAATTAATTAAATCAAATAGCGGATTCTTCTCCTCCTTCTTTGGGAAGGAAGTGCTTAATAGGATTGAAAGCACATAGATAGTATTTAAGGGCGTCTTCTTACAATAGACTTTGTGCAGACCAACTTTCCAGTGTTTTCTAATATATTTTAAGAAGTCATGGGGACACCAAAGGGTTCCAGCATTGAGGAAAAATTATTCCTTTGAATGAATCCTTTGTAATGATGAGACCAGATAAAAGCAAGAAATCATGATATGAGAGTAGCTAATAAATCAAACCCACATTATCACCGTACAGCATGCTCAGTGATGCCTAGGCTGTTGGAGCTGCTGTCTGTAACAACTTGAGTTTTAGATTTTAAGTCAAATGACCGTTGAGTGTCTGGAGACTGAGTCTGAAATTAGGCCACCATTAGGTACCCTGCTGACTAAGCAATGGCAGGAAGGTTCGGCTTAGAACAATTATGGCAGCTAGAGCTAAACCAACAAATATGGAGCTAAATCAGTCTCAATTTTCAGAAATACACATATGTGATTTATACATGCACAGGACAAGCTCCACACACACACAGATTCACTCAAGCACAAAAAAAGCATGTCCTGGAGCTTGTCCTTTGCATGTATGAATCACATATGTTTATTTCTGAAAATTGAGACTGATTTAGCCCCATAAACAAAACGTTCTATCCTGGGGTTTAAGTTTTAATGAATCTAACAATATAACATGTTTCCTCTGATTAAAAGTGAATTAACATTTAACTGGGACTAATTCAGACTCCTGATCCTAATCTGATAGGGAATATATGGAGCAAGATAGATAACAAGGAGGCTTGTCTAATCTCAAAGTCCTGGATTGCATTAACACTGAAAATTAAACAGAAATACCAGTGAAATTATAACAAGGCATGATTACTATACTGTAGACTTTTTCTTTTCTACCTGGCCATTGAGAAGGGTGTATAACTATTTTTCTACATTTCTCAAAAAATGTAGTGTAAACAATATCAACCAACCAGATAATTTATTTGTAAAACTGACACATTTCCTTTTGTCTCATCCTTTTAAAGTAAGTTCCAAATTCTTATCAGAAAGGATAAAGATGCCTGATTGTATCACAATATTTTTAGATTTGATTTATACTTTATTAGTGGTCACTCTAATGCATATGTCTGAGTATTATAAGCTTAAATACAAGTCGCACCCGATCATGCTGCTCCTTTAAAGCGCTACCTCTGACACACGAAGAGCTGATTTCTTGGTACTTATTAACAAAAACAATCTTTGTCTGATAGTTATTTCCTCGTTATGGATGAAACTGCCCTGCAAGCCAAGCTTAAGTGTCTTACCGCTCATCGTTTCTTTCAGTGGGGAATCAGACCAGGTTAAAGGCAGAGTAAACAGTCCAACATCCCGCTTTAAAGCCCTAACTACGAGTCACGGGTGAAACTGAAGAGTGGGTTGTATGACAGGGTTCAGCGATGAGCGCTTCCTGACAGAGAGCCTCGGTGCGCACAGGCGGGCTTTATTTTACGCACACACTCAGCTGCGCGCACAGCCTTCCTGCTCGGCGTATCTCTGCAAAATCAAATCCCACCGCTGTAGATGTGTCATATTACTAACTCTGTCAGAAAGTCACTAACAGGATCCTCGGGTGGGACGTCTGCTTGCTGCGTCCGCAGGCACCAGATGGCGCTTTGGACTTATAAATGTCCCTACAGAAAGGACTATCTGCTCTGCGTTATTATAATTCCCAATGTTACCATATGGTTTCTGAAGTGAAAATCCACATTTAATCACGTAAGATTGACGGTTGAATATGAGTTTCAACATAAAACCACCTCCTTACATATCCTCGAGGCCAATGACTCATTGAGGCTGTGATTCAGCCCCAGGGGTTTTTCTCCAGGAAGGTTGAAGAATATATTCTTGCCATGGTAGCTAAACAAAAACAACTGATTTGAAGTATACGCTCATATCAACCGTTCTTCAACAGGTTTGCCTCAAACGTTGGACTGTATTAATTGTATCCATTAACAATTGAACCTCTGAGCTTTTTTTTTGTTTTCCTGTCCTTGTAAAGGAAAAAACATCTCCACAGCACAAGGCTGCCACCACCAGGGAGACTGGGTATTCGGGGGGATGTAGAAGGCTATTCTTAATAACTTTCCATGTAGTTTAGACATTTCAAAATCTTGGTTTTTATATTCCTTCTTGTTCACTGATGTTTTCCAGTCTTGAGGTTTGTGTTGACAAGATAGATGCAGAAGTTTAAGCAATATGAAAACTATTGTTGGCCCGTTTGGATGAATGGACATAGATTGTGTTTTTTCCTCTTTTTCATCAAATTTCACAGGAGATTTAAACACATTTGTTTTAAAATTGTTGTACATGATTCCTTTACTCGAGGTCCACAAATTGAGTCTGTTTTTTGTTTTTTGTATCTTTGAAGATGATTTATTTTACGCTGAACATTTTGGATTTGCTATTTATTTATTGTCATTACACTGTCACAAGTACAGAGCAACGAAATGAAATCTCTGTATTTAACTCATCCCCTTGCAGAGCAGTGGGCTGCAATTGTGTGGCCCTGGGGCAGCAGTATGGGGTTAAAGGTCGTTAGCTTAGGGAGCCAGGGTGACAGTCTGCGGGAGTGGAGTTCAAACTCAGAACCTCAGCATTCCAAGCTCTTCCCTAACCACTAGTCCGCCACTCCCCCCTCAAATAACTCAATAAATAAAAAATAAGTTATTTTACTTATTTCTAAAACAAACTAACTAATTACACCTTGAGTTTGAAGACATATGGAGTTTTGAAAGTTGGGTTCTGTAAACTCATCCATAAAAGTTCCCTTAACTAAGAGGTCAAATCAGTGTGTGCTACCCTGAAAAAAATAATGCAACCGTTTTTGGCATTTACTTAATCATATTTAGTTACCAAAAATTGCTTTATGTCCTACCCTGCTAACAGGAAACAATTGTGTTAAAGTAACTAAATATGATTAAGTAAATGTCAATTGCGTTATTCTTTTCAGTGTATTTAAAAAGTAAGAATCCTTAGATTGGTGAAATCTAACCTACTTAGCAGATGCATGCTGAAATATTACACTCCACCGAGTGATTGATGTGATCAATAGATGGTGAAACCAGTGGAAAAACAGTTTTAAAAAGTCTGAAACCCGGAAACAGTAGTAATATATATTCAGTGCTGCTGTACAACCAACAGACAGCCTCAGAATCCAAAGATTTACTACATTCTTGTCAGAGTCAGGGAGGAGGCGAAGAGCCAGAGGGAAACCTAGAGGACTGATACTATCAGCATAATTTCTAAAACAGGTTCACACAGAGACGTGGGTGTTGCTTTTTAGAAAACAGTGCCACATATATAAACAGTCCCTTAAACTCGTAATATATTGTGTTATGCTTATGTGTGGGCTGCTTTTGTTAGCACTGTTGATATGTTGCTAGGGTGCATGCAACAAATTTAAGCCTGGAGTTTTTCTGTATGGAGTTTGCTTCCTCAAACAGTAAAAAAAAACATCCCCCGGATACACCAGACGTAATTTAGAGGTTGGTTTTTAGGCTAAATCTGGTCGGTCCTTCAAAGTCTTGGTTTAGTCCAGAAATAGTTGATGAAAATTGGCCTATTTTTGGTCAGTCTGATTTTGTCCCACTTTAGTCCAATAATAGATGTTGAAAACTGGGTTTGCAATATCTTTTAAAAAATCTGAAAATTATGGCTTTTCACCTTTCACATTTCAACGAAATGTCGGTTTGACGTAATTCATGTCATCTTTTCCACCAATATTTGCTTGGTGGGATGACTGGAAGGTGAAAGTCAATACTCAGATTGGCCTTTATATTTTAAAACAGGTGTACATAGTCGTATGATCTTTGTTACTCTGTTTGCCCTCTGATGGACTGATTTTCTATTTACAGTGTATCTGATGTCTAGATGTCATGTTTTTCAGTTAGAGTGTAGAACCAGAAATGATCGGTGCCTAAAGAGAATATTATCTTTTCATTAGGTGTGCATTTTTTTCTGCAACGCATATTATAATCTGAATAAAAGAGGGTTTCATGATGGGACTTTATGTGGTTTTGGTGAAGAAAAGAGAAGTTTAGCAAAGATAGATCGTAATGCACCCACTTATAACTTATTCAATTATGTTCATTTACTGTCTGGAAAGCTGTACTAAATTAAATGTCATTTGTATACACTGTGTGTAAACAAAATGACAATAAAAGTTGTCTAAGTCTACGTCTATCCATACTGAATGATGAAAAACATCTGGTTGGTTGTTAGAGCAGAAATGTTAAAAAAGGCAAGACAAGTTTATTCTGTACATGGATGATTCAAAGTGCCTCACATGAATTAGACAGTCAAATAGAAGAAAAATAAAAACAGAGTAAAAGCAAATAATGATAAAAACATGACAATAAATTAGTAAAACAAATGCAACAGTTGGACCACAACCTTAAACCTCAGTTAAGATTTGAATGTCAACAGTCGAAGGCAGTTTTAAACAAATTTCGTTTTTAACTTTGAATTAAAGGAACTAAGGCTTTCAGTGCTTGTTTCAGATAAGTGTAGCATAGTAGAGTTAGAGTTTCCATGTTGAAGGAACAGATTCAGCTGTAGTGATTGGCTGGATACAGGAGATGGCGCTGTTGGAGTGGAGGTACTTCTGTTGGGATTTCATGCCTGTTTTTGGGGGTCTGAGGAGTGGTCACTGCTCCAAAGCAATGATGGATGTGACCTTTATTTCCCTACTAACACATTGACCATTTCGGCTGTGTTTAATATTTGTTCATTCCGTTTTTGTTCCTGTCTCAGAACTCATACGGCAAGTCCTCAGCAGAGTGGTTTATCATCAGGGAAACTCTTCATCTGGTTTTCATTCACATCATGTACTTTGTTCAGGTAGTAAAAAATGTTGGTGTCATGAGCTGCCCTGATAGTTGACCTTAATTGTTCATGTCACTCACCTGCCAAACTCTGCCCGGTTCCTAATCATTCCTCATCTTATCCACCTGTGTCTGTTCCTTTTTATTCGGCTCAGCCCAGCTAAGATCATGTTTGATGCCTGTTTGTTTAGGTAGTTTTGATTTATTCCTGGGGTCATGTTCTTGTCCCCGTAAGCCAGTGGGTTGAGAGGGTTTTGGTGTTTGTCTTGTCTCCTGATTGTGTCCTGGCTCCTAGGTGGAGTACAGTTTAATGTCTGTGATCCTGGCTCCATGTCTTGTCTCTGTCCCTCAACCACAAGGCCTGTCTGCATCTCTGTCTGAGCTCGCTGCTGGACTCATGGAACTCTGAACCTACCTTGCCGCTTTGTGGATTCCTGGAACCCTCCATCTGTCTGTTCCTGCTTGGATCAGAACCCCTGGTCAGGCTGCGGACTCTTGGATTCCTGAACTGTCTCATCTGTTTCCCTGACCAGGATTGGATCCCTGCCTGCTCACTGCGGTTGCTGCGTCGGGGCCACCGGCTAGATCCTGCCTTCTTTGGAGAGGATGGACTGAACTGATTAACAAGGTAAGTGACTCACTCACATTATTCTCTCCCATGAAATGTTAGTGGTCACTTATCCGTTATTCTCCCTACAGAGTGTCAGTGATTGGGTGGTGCCCCAGGGGCGGATTTAGGGAATTTGGGGCCATAGGCAAAGACAGGCAGGGGACCCTCTGAATTGAGAAGACAAAACATAAAACAGACCCTTTATACAGATATATGAATTTTAATAGAATAGATATTATTTGTTCTACCTTTTGTCCCTTTTCTTGTTGTTTTCCTATCTATGTTTTTAACTCAGCTGACTTTTCGGGGGGGGGGTTGCTGAGACACACTTAATATTATAAGCATTCTGATGGCATTTTAGTGAAAGGATGTTTATCAAAAACATAATTAATGTGCACAAATAAGGAATAGTTGAATTAAACATACATGTAAACATAAAGTTTTAAGGCCCCCAGGAACTTGGGGCCCTAGGCAACTGCCTAGAATTGCCTAATGGTAAATCTGCCCCTTGGAGATTCAAACCTGAAATGATGGCTTTTAGTGTGCAACCCCAAGATTTTTAGTTGCCCCATCTGGCCACCCCTATGAAAAATTTCTGGAGGCGCCACTGCATAGTAGTTGCAGCTTTAATGCTGTGGGATTGTTATTTTTCTGCAGCAACAGGAAAACTGGTGAGATTTGATAGGATGATGGATGGAACTAAATACCGGACAAACTTAAAAAATGAAAGGGAGGGAAGATAAGGGCAGAGGTTCACATTTCAGAAGCCATAAATATACGGTACTAGTACTAGTCAGATTTTTGTTATAGTTTTGTGTATTAAAAAAATGTAAAAAAGTTATTCACTATGTTCATTATACACATTAGGTTTAACAAAAAATATATATATTGCGACGAGGATCTTATTACAGAATGATCGCCACTTTTTCATAGAGAATTCAATATTTTTAGGGAGGGGATTGTACAACTCAGCTGACAGGATATATTACAGTTCAGTCTAGGAGTGTGATTTTTTTTTTTACAAGGAATCTTATTTTAGTGATCTACAAATGGAACAACAGAGAGGAAAGAGCTTGTAATAAATGTAAAAA